AAAAAAAAAAAAAAAAAAATCTCCAAATTTGTCCCTTTTCTTCATTTTTTAGTGCATCACCATGTAGCCACTTAACGCACACGTGAAAACAGATACATGTGTCATGTGGCCTTTTTTTTTTTTTTTTTTTTTTTTTTCTACACCTTTTTTATTGTCCCCATTTGTGTAACATAATAAAAACTTTTAAATCAATTTTGTTTTAAATAATTTTTGTGTTTGTTCTTCAAAAATGACAATAAAAACTACCAACATAAAAAAAAAAAAAAAAAAAAAAAAAAAAAAAAAAAAAAAAAAAAAAAAAAAAAAAAAACACTTCAATAAATTGAATTCTAACATGATGCATAAAAAAAAATTGTCGAGAAAAAACGCTTGACAAGATACAACTTAACATACAATGCAAAACGCTAATGTATTCGCACGGTGAACGTTGTAAAAACGGGGGAATAAGTCGTCATCTTCATCATCATAAGTATACGTTTGAGACGCAGATACACCTGCGCGTATGCATCAACTCCTTGGTGCGAGGGTATACTCCATGCGTCCACGTCGGAAGGAATATTTTATTCTTACGAAGAGAGGAGTAACGTTGGGGATCGGCCCAACATAGGAATGGAAAAGTCTCACAAAGCTTGACAAAGCCTGACATATGTTTGACCTATCCTGTCCTACTTACATGGGTCGGGCAAGGCGTCCAGCTTGGTACAGTTCAACAAAGTTCTGAAGCAGTTTTTCTCGCTACATGCTTTGCATTCGTCATTGCACTGGTCCTTGGAGCATTGCTTGTTGCACGAAATAAAGGAACATCCGATGAAGGACGAAAAGCAGCTCAAACATGTTGGAGAAAAGTCAATGTTGTGTTTTTTCAAATATTTATTTACACATATATCTATTAAATACGGTTTTGCCGATGACGCCTTGGCGCAGTCAAAAAGTACTTTGTAGAAATCATTGGATGCAACGCTATTCGATTTGAACAGATGTAATATGTACTCCCTAAATTGGTTCGTTTTCAAACTTATATAATCTTTAATATTTTCTGCATCCTCACTTTTATAATTTTGGCTTAGGAACTTCTCTCCATTTATTAACCTCTGCTCGATGTCACCTGTACATCCTTTATTGTCACTTTTTTCCTCAAATATGCTCAAATCATTATGGAAATTTTCACTTGGGGATTTGTAATTGTTGTTATTACTGTTACCTTGCAGGCAGAGTACGTTGACTTTGCATGCCGCGTTCAGAAGAACGCTAAACAGGAGGCACTTAACTGTATATTTCATTTTTCACAAATAGAAATGGGTAAAGTCACAGCGCAGCCTTATTCTGCAATGTAGCAATGTTGTTTTTTGCTTTCAGGAGGAGGGGATATTTAAGTATTCAAAATTGTGCACGTTGGCGGAAGTTTACAAAAAAGCGAAAATTATATTTTTCAAAATGTTTGCACGTGTTTGTTACATGGGCTATTATTATAATGCGCAGCTTACAAATGCTACAGATGTTGTTTCTTCAAACGCATAATTAAAACATGGTAAAAATGCGGAAAAGAAAAAAAAAAAAAAATAATAATAAACTTCTTAATTTTTGCATAAAACGGAGATAACAGAAATAGTTGAGTATAGCTAGGGTGCTTCCATAAAACTTATCATGACAATGTTTTTTTTTTTCTAGTTTAAACCCTATATTCTTTCTTTTCTATTTTTTTTTTTTGTTGCATATTAACAAATGGGCGTGTTTTTTATACTTTCCATCTGTACAGGTGTCGCTACTCACTCCTGTTCGACCCATCTTGTATGGAATGAGAAAACTATTTCGGGCTGGATATCCAATAACACCGATTAATTGCAAAGGTCTTATAAACATATAATTTTGTACGTACGCCGTGGCCTATATATAATGAACTATATATTGCAACTATATTAATAATATTCATGGGGGATTAACTCTACATCTGACCTGCGCCCCTTTAACTCATCCTGCTGGTGTTACCTGTGAGCTGTAGGTGCGTAAATATGAACATGCATGATAATAGGCATGCACGTGGTGGCAGCTATTTTGTAGGACGCGTGAAGCCACCCCGTTTGTTTTGTTTTTTTTTTTTTTTTTTATGCAACGGCTACGCTGCATATATATATTATATATAATTATATTAATATGTACTCGTTCACGTTACATGCCGCACTGGGGGAGAAGAATTAAGGATGAAAAAAAAAAGGCACGCGCAGCACGTGGACCCTAAGAACGCGGACAACAGGGTGTTGCCACCCAAAAGGATATGTGCTTCTCTGTATTTGTAAATAAGTGAACGAACGAAATCTGCGACAAAAAAAAACTAAGAAATAAATAAAATAATAAAAGATCGCTCCAAATAAACAACTCCAACAGCTAAAAAAATATATATATATAGAAGATATGATCAATAATTTCTCTACATTAACCGAATCGCATGCCCCCATTTTGCTTGGCTCGCGGTGAACAAAATCATTTATAGTGACCCCCGTACCTCCGGAATAGACCCATATGCTGACTGCAACTTTTGAAAAAATGCGCCCATTGCTCCGCGGTGACGTAGCCAGTATATATACGTTCCAGAACCCACTTCATTTCTCTAATTATAGGGTGTCACACATGATGTGCTATAAAATGTGTTCATAATAAAACAACGTTGCGTGTATATTTGCTTCTCCTATCAACGTTCGCTACGTATACCTCTACAACGCCCTTGGGGAAAAAGCAAACAATAAAGGCAACAGTAAATATGAACCCTAAACCCCTATTCCAATTTTTACGCACATTATTCACTATTCGAAATACGAAATTTTTTCACGGAGCATAGAAAGCGTGCGAGCTGTTCTTTTAGGGGCTGGTCCTCTTTAAGTAGTAGAACAAATCATACTTTGCTAAAAATGGAAAGGCTTTTTGTTGTCAGAGTTGCATTAAAAAATGGTCGATCAGCACACGTGCAAAACGAAATTAATATTGGTGTATCAGTTTTCATTGAAAAAATCGAATGATAAAATTTTTTTAAGCCCAAATGAAGACCCCCAATGGGTACTTTTTTTTGAAAAAGGGAAAAAATTTATGAACAACTTATTCATTTTTAAGGCAAAAAAATGAAAAGAAATAAAATAAGATGTAACCAAGTGAGCATCATATTGTTGCACATGAATTGTGATCGTGTTTGCGGCGCATACAAATGACGACGCAGATTGTCCCACTATTCCGACAAGCTCACTCTATTTGCAGAGTTCTATTCCTAATTCTTAACCCGCAACAAAAGAAATATGGGGGTGGGTTCATCCCCATAAAGGTGCAAAAATAACAGGGCCTTATCAAACCACGTGTTGGACCTTTTCCTCGCCTGTTTATATATCGTGGCACCACTTATTTGGTGACTTAACCAATCTAATGGTAGAAAAGAAAAAAATAATAATATACATTGTTCCATTCATTGGACACACCAAATTGCCCCCAACAGCAGCACCACCTGTCGTGTACTTATAACAGTTCCACTTCCATATAAAAAAAAGAAGATAAAATGAAAACAAATTTTTACATAATAAAATTCTCAAAGAAGGTAATAATTTCTATACACATTTAAAAGAAAGCGTGACGTGAGACAATCCCATAAGACTACTCATTTGATTCCTAATAACGGTTCGAAACGTTCGTAGTAAATCTTATTCCCTATTATTAACTAATTTACACTTACCATAATCAACGTTTAATTAAAAAAATCGTTTTCTTTTATCGTAATATATGTGGTTTAAACGCGAAAAGGAAGTGCGCGCGCGCACCAATCAATCTTATATCAAGTTGAATGAAATAAAGCTTGACCCTCTTTCCCATGTCGCCCTTCTGTGGGCTTTTCACAATAGGCCGGCAATTTATTTTTTCTCTCCACGCGTATGGTGCAAATATTTTAGACAAAAAATTGGAAAAAAAAAAAAAAAAAAAAGTACTGTAGTGTGAATGTATGTATCCTTTTGCCAAATATATGTACCTTGATAACCCCTTCAATTTTGTTTTCACTTTTTTTTTTTTTTTTTTTTTTGGCGGGGGGTGTATAGTGTGCAATGTGGGAAGGCTGTCTTTGACAGATGAAATTAGCAAAAATGGAGAGCCTATAAATGCAAATATGCGCAATGCTGCTATGTTTAGTCTCGTAACGGAAGTCCCTATGTTTTTTCCCCTTAAATTAAAAACATCATATTTGTAGTCCGTTCGGTGAGGCTTATCTGACGCCCCCAAAGATGAGGACAAACAATGCGCCAGCAAAGAAACTTCGTACCCTTGGGGGACGCATCTAACTGGGTACCCTACTGCAATATAGAACCTTATGTGTATTAGTACACATGTGTACATTCTACGTATGTCATAATTATATATATACACAGGCAAGCTGATAACCCGCTCCCCTTCCTGCGAGAGGCAATGCACACATGAAGTGATGCACGTATGCCCTCATTTATTCTACTCCAAAAGGACAGCAATTAATTGGAAGGGGTAAATATTCAAGAGAAACACACACATATACACGCACACACATACACACACACATGTGTAGATGCGCCTCCAAACCTGCGCACACCACAGTGCCCTGTTCTGCAAACCCGCATCACCTATTTTTTTTTGAATAAAAGCAAAGCAAAAATGTTGACGAAAAAAAAGGACACAAATGTGAAGGAACAGTTAAAAACCAAGACTAACGGAATGAATTACAAAAATTGGGGGAAAAATCCCAAAGCAGAAGTAGTAGATAAAGAGGAAGATTTCAAACACCTAGAAGAAAAGGAACATGAAATACAAAAAATATCCAGAAGAATTTACGAAGAAAATAGTAAAATAAAAAAAATCAATTTACATCATAAAATAATTAAGGAAGAATTTGAAAAGAAAAAATTAATCGATCAAAGTGATAAAAAAAAAAAAAACACTCCTGATTATTACAAAAAAATTACAACAAAATTACAGAACAACATAAATAATGTTGAAGAATACATTAACAACATTACAAATGATATAAACATTTTAAAAAGCTCCATAGATGACGAAAGAAATGAGAGAATTATCTACAACAATAACATGAAAATTCTGGTTAATGAGTACAATACTTTAAAAAAGAACATCAGTAATTTAGTTACACAGGAAAAGGAACAAAACTCGCAAAATGAAAAACTAAAAGTGGAGCTGAATGAACTCATTAAAGAAAAAGACAGCCTGGAGAAAAAACACAGAGAAGATTTCAAAATGCTGCAGCAAAAATTGAAGGAACAAAAAATATTATCGTCTGAACAGAAAATACATGAACTAATCAAAAAGAAGTACAACTGCAAGGAAAGGAGAAATAACAAAGCGGCAGAGGGGTCCGAGGACGAGTTGGAGCGAAGAAACGAAAGACATGCTACCTCCTCGGCCGCCAGCAACGATAATAACAGTAGAAATCTCTCTGGGGAAGGAAATCACACAAATGAAAACTACTACCTCCTGGAAGAAGCAGACTACGAAGATGAAAAGAAAAAAAAACTAAATGCAAAAATAATTCTCCTAAAAAAACTATGCCTGAGAATCCTATTCATTAACGAATATCAAAAACAAAATATTAAAAAGTTAGAAGAAAACATTGAAAATATGAACAAGGCAATCAATTCTATAAGCATTTTGACATCCAAAAAAGGAGACTTTGATCACATCATAATAAATTTAAATGCGTCCAAGGAAAAAAACTACAGTCTTATTTCGAGAATTAACCTCCTAAATTACGAAACGAATGTTTTAACCAAGTTGAATAAAAAAATGAAAGAGAAATTTAAAAATATCAACCTCCAAAATGACGAAATGGTTAATTTAAAGAAAGAAATTACAAACAAAATGAACGACAAAATGACTCATATTAAGACATCCCTACTGAATAATCAAGAAACATGCAAGTTAAAAAAAAAATGCTTCCACGATTGTGTCATGTACTTGAAATGCCTATATGATTTTATCAAACAATTTGAAAATATGAACAACAAATTAAATCTAAGGACACAAATTATAAATAAAGAAAAAAACTTCCATTTTAATTACATCCACAAGTACAATGAAGAAATTCTGGTCGATGAAAATCACCTAAATGACTTTTTAATATTTATTGAAAAATATATTTACGCTCTTAACTTTTACCTTCCTTCACCTACATTCAATTACAAAAACTTTATCATTGAAAATCCCAATGTTAGTGTTCTCGGTTCTGCCTTATCGGCTCATTCTATAGATTCTGCCTCGAACGAAAACGCTCAGTGTAGCACACTCAACTGTGTCACCTCCGAAAATGAATTCGGCGCGTCTGAAGGAATTTCTCCAGGGGAAGACGGAAATTTGGTGAATGAGCCCGTAAATAATGCGCCGGTGAATGTGGATACACCCAGTGGTGGCGACACATTCAAAGGGAATGATTCCCTGGATGACACAAGACAGGGAGACAATCAGATCGCAAGCATTCCCGCACAAGGGCACCAAGCGGAGGCGCAGCACATAGAGGGACACGACCAAAATTTTGCACCCAATGAAGTGGAAAACGACCCAAGTGAAGCACACCAAAAGGAGGAAGAACAGAAAAACGAACTTAAAAAAGAGAACGAACTAAGCGACAACCAAATTGACCAGCACGCTGAGGCGAATAGCCAGATGGGCAACCTAATTCCAGAAGTAGAAAAAGAAGATCATAAGTTACAAGATCAGCAGCAGAAGGGGGAAGAGGGAGGAAAAGAAGAGGAAGAAAAAAATGCCATAGAGGGAAAGCAACCAAAGGAGGGGGAACCTCAAAGCGAAACAGAACCAAGTGATAACGTGGCAGGTGGAAATGGACATGGTAATGATTTACCAAATCGGGAGAATGAAGGTGACGCGTCGGAAGGGGCACCAAAGGAGGAAAGTTCACCTGGCGAGCAAATGCAGGATGAAAGTACGCCTAACGAAGAAGTGAAGGTATCAGATGAGGAAGAGGCGATAGTGTCTGGTGTGGACGAGGTGAACGTGGCAGATGAGGAACAGGCGATCGTGGCAGATGAGGAAGAGGAGATCGTGCCAGGTGAAGAACAAAGCAACGAGACCAAAGGAGAGCAGGAACCTTCACCAAATGAGGAGCAAGTTAACGCACCAGGGGAAGAACCGATAAACGCACCGACAGATACGCAGCAAAGTTTACCGAACGAAGAACCGCTGAACGCACCAAGCGAAGCGCAGACAACCCCCGTCACCCCAGATATAGAGGGAGAAAACCAAAACTACAATTTAAATCATTTTAATTCGCGCAGCATCGAATACGATAAGCTAAAAGAAGAAATTCCCACCGAATTATTAATGAAAAAATATGACTCTAAGAAAAACTCAACGGCTGCAAATTAGGTGTGGAGCACAACATACCAAAATGACTGTCCACAGCTGTTGGAACAAAAAAAGGGTGCACCCCGCTCTATTCCCTTTCACATGTTACACCGACGTATATTATGTGCAATAATATGTACATGGTTTTTTTTTTTTTTTTTTGCTCTTGTTTTGAAATTTTTAAAAGACGAAAAAGGAAAAAAACAAAAAAACATTTAAATAAAACATTTTCATCATGTTCCTTGTTCCGATAAAACTTTGTAAACTTTTCAAGGCAAATACAAGGATAGGCAAAAGGCTATAATTCTGTTGAGAGACGCGGTGCTGGGAGTAACCGTACCTAAGTAAGAAGACAGCTTCTCTCTTCAGCATTCTTACAGCTATCCAAAGGGAGAGCAAAAATGTAACACATATATTGTGCTAAACATGTGCCGTTTACGTTTACGCTGCGCCCAAAATGAAAAAAACAGCTGTCCTTCTCCAGTGTACACTACCACCTTCCCGCATTAGTTGCATTCTTACACTGTTAAAAAAGAAAAAGGAAACGCGCAGGGTACTACACCTGCCCCCCTGCTATGTATAGAAGGATGTTCCCTCGAGGTGTCCTCACTATGCGAAACAAAAAAGAAAACTGGATCTATTTGAGTATATCATTTGTTTCCTTTTTGTTTTTACCAATTAATTTGTAAAAAAGTTCACATACGGTTTGCAAAAAAGAAGAAAAAAAAAAAAATAGCGCAACTGCACTTCAAAACAGGTGTAATGTCAAATGGGGGGGGTTCTATAATAGAGTGATACACGCACCCATTACAAAGGCACTTCCTTGCTCATGGGCACAACCCATCTAACTCTTAATGGAGCACGCGCACAATTTAGACAAGTGGATCTGCGTTTGTTCAGCGTACGACGACGCACTCAAAGGACCTGATTTAGCAAAGACTCTAGGGGGTTCCGCTTAGTCATTCCCAACAGCTCATATATGTACAAATACACCTTTGCTCTGCTGGTGCCTTCCAAAAAATGATAAATCGTAATTAGCTTATTTAGGAAGATATAACCAAAGTGTTTATTACCATTGTAGCATTTTTTACGTAGCATGTGCAAAACCAGCTGAATTATTTTTCCGTAGTACGCATAGTTTGATCTGTTTGGGGATTTTGCGTGCGTCCTTTTCAGCAGCGTGTTGTGTATATCTATGTGGTAACTTTCTACGGCCGCTCTTCCCTTTTGATGTTGCTTATTTTCGCAATGGTTCTTCTCCACTGAAGGTTTTCTCAAGCCAAGGGAACTAAAGTAGCTATGAAGGACTACAACATTTTCCAGAAAAATCATCACCTCGTTGATCACAAAACTTAGGTCTTCATTTAAAAAGGATTCTTCTACCGGCACTTTGGTTGAAATGGAATTATGCGGGAATTCCCCGTTTGGAATTCCCAGGTCGAACAAACTGGTGCAAATGCTAAATAAATTATTGAACATAAGAAATATGTACTTTACAAAGGTTTTGCATGTCTTCAAATGAGCTTTTTTCATTTCTCCAAAGTTTGTTGTAAGATCTGCAGTTAGCTTTTTCCGTCTCTGTTTCGCACTCTCCTTTTTCTTCCCCTGCTTCTTTACCTTAATGAAGAGGTTAAAATATTCCACATGAAACAGGTTGATAAAAATGTAATACAAACTCCTATTCAAATTTTTTATAATTTTTATCAAGTCTGAAAAGATATTTAAATTCGATCTTTTCAGTGTGTTTCCTTCCTTCCTTATAATGAATGTGCTTCTAACTTTAAGAGAAATGTACTTGTGGAAATTGCTGTACCAGAAATTCCACAATTCGAATGTGTTACATTTACTTGGTTCCCCTTTTTGGTTGATCACCTTTTGTGCGTTATTTAGTATAAATCTTTTTATTTTCCTTTTTTCATGTTTCAGAAGCGTATTTGTAAATATATGGGCATAGTCCACACTGGGGTAGAACAAATTCGAAACGATGTTACTTACAAAGAGGGAGAGGTAAAAGAATATTTCAGACGTTTTTTCGTAGCTCTCTTTAAAAATATAGCCCATTATGTAGCGATTTTTGGTTATTTTTTCGATGTGCGTTTGATTGGAGAACACAATGATAAGGGATTCTTCCTTCTCCCTGGTGCGACTGTTACCATTTGGTTGTACTTTTATTTCCTCTGTGTCGTCTTCTGCATCTCCAGTTATCGGTTCTCCTTCTTCTAACCCACTTTTGTGCATTCCCTTCGTCACAAATGATTCCCTCTTTTTGGACGTATATGAGGGATGCCATCTTCCGAAAGAGGCCATTTCTTCCTCACTTTTCCCTCCTGAGCAATCCGCTTCAACGTTGACGCTGTTCATGTAAAGCTTCTCATTTTGACCATCCGTGTCGTAAAAATTTATCACCGGCATCGTAAAGGAGGTGGGGTAATAAAAAGCTATTTCGTCTTGGAACAACTTCTGATGCATCATTCGATCTAGCCATAGCAGAATGTTATTCCTTGTTATCAGTTTCAGCACAAGGTTATTTTTGACGTAGTAGGCCACGTCGCAGTTGTTCTGGTCCGTGCCGCTGCCCCCCTTTTCCCCGTTGGTCCCATTCGCTGCATTCTCTTGTGCACGGCTTTCACCATAGTATGCGTGACCACTACCGTCTTGCTGTTCATCCGCCTGCCCATCACTAACTCCGTTGCGCTTTCTCTCCTCCGTGTCACCATCCCCCACACAATCAAATTGCATATCCTCGAGAACCAACACTCCACTACACATGACTAGCAGAATTAAAAACTTCTTCAACAAATTGTAGTTCAGATAATTACTAAAAAACATAGTCAGGTAAATCTCGAAAATGTTATTTTTATTTAATATATTCAGAATCGTTTTTATAGCATTTTTATGATTCCCCTGAATGTATTGCAGTTTATCCATAGTTTCTTCTTCTTCCTTCTCTTTGTTGGTAACTCTGTTTCTGTTATCATTCTCTTCTTCCACATCCTCATCCTCATTTTGAAAATCGTAAATCATTCTGTGGTTGACGTTGGACGTTGCGAAGAAGCTCCTATCGATGGTGTTATTTTGCCGTTGGGCGTGTGTTGCACTATCATTGTACTGGTGCTCATCCATATAGTCGCCATTCTGATCATACGCGGTGGTGTAATTTGCATTTCGGGTGGAATAGTCCCCATCATTATCATGCTGCTGGAACGTTGATCTTCCATGTGCTTTGTTGTAATGTGTGTATGATGAGTTATCTTCTTGGCCGCTCCCCCATTGGTGATCTGCATATTCTTGTTCACATTTTTCACCACTTTCACCCTCGATCACCCGGGCGCTGCCCCTCAAGTTATACCTCGTGGAGAAAAGCGCCTGCGTCGAAATGATCAAGAAATTGATGACATTTAGCGACGTAAAATTTGTCTTCCTAAACTGGTTATTCAAATATGCGTGAAAAAAATGAACCGAAAACGTTTTGTTCCTAATCAGGTTCTTAAGAGTGTCTCTGAAGCCTTTTTTCTTGTAAATTTCGTTTATTAAAAAAAAGGAGTAAGTCGACACGCAGGGGTTTATATAGTACGAATTGGGGTCTACTGAATATTTTAATTTCTTCATAAAGAAGAACAAATAAAATAGTTCCTTGAAGGGAATTACCAACATCCGTTGCTTCTTTTTTCGACCCCCACTATTGTTCATACTAATGCTACTATTGTGGTGCCTTTCCGAAAAGCTATTTTTCCATATTACGCCATGACCTGCTTCTTCCGTCTGCCCACTTGCGCCGCGAGATCTCCTAAACGAATTTAATCGCTTCCTAATTTTATAGAGCACAAACGAATTCTCAATCAACTGGTAAAATATGGACAACCCCTTTATGCTAATCATCCTCACTATGATGTCATTACTACTCAAACAGAATATTAAAATTTTCAATGCATTCATGGAGAACGCTTTTATCCACTTCCCAAAGAAGTCAATGTCGTTAAGAAGGTATCTCTTTAGCAACTTTTTGTAATTTTTTTTAAAATGAATATCTTTCATTTTTCTACCGTACAATAGATCGCTACTGTCGACTATACAGTCTGTGTTGATGCTGCTACTGGGGTGATTCCTACTCATGTTTGCCATTTTCCCCTTCTGCGTGGCGCTCCTTCCTGTGTAGTTTCCCTGGACTCCGTTTTGGTGATCGCCATGGTGACCGTTCTCATTGGACGAGTTCTCCGGGTCAGCACTTCCATCATCGGCACTTTCATTGCCAACACCATTCTGTTTGTTATCCCCATTTTGAAAACCCTCCTGTGCAACGTCCCCATCAACTTCCTCCTGGGGCTCCTCCCTAAATGTGCTGCAATTCTTATACGCGTTACCTTCATACGGGCTATTCATAAAAATACTCGTTCGAATGGTCTTTCCATAGTAAATCATATTCTTTATATTCGCTTTTTCTTCCTTGTCCAGTAAATCTAAAATTCTTGTGGATCTGTGCACGCTGTGAATTTGTTTGAATTTTATACAAAATTTGCAGTTGCTATTATTTTTCTCGTTCTTCTTCAAATGGTAAAAATGTTCCTTTTCTTCATCGTACGAGACAAGTTTGTTGGAACTTCCAAGGGGGAAGCCTCTCTTTGTGTGTTCCTTCATATGATGCATCCCTCCGTTATAACTGTTGTGTGGATCGGTGTCGCCATTGTTACCATATGTGCGGGAGAAATTCCCCAAACCACCTCCAATCACATTGCCCCCATCGTGTGCCCGTCCTCTTTCCTCATCCTCGTTGTTGTCATAGTCTATATAGAAATGAATATCTGGGTACTTCCTTATGTAATTCTTTATCTTTCTGTTAATCTCCTGCATATTTAGCAAGTCAAAATTTAAAAACACATTCTCATGGCGATACGTTGTGTACAAAATTCTAAAGTGATAAACAAAAATTCTCAACTTTTCCGCCATCAACACAAAGCACAAAATTAATTTGCTAACTATTAAGCACAACAAAAAGAGGTAATCATAAATGTTATCTTCCAACTTTATTCTATGTGCTAAGAAAAAGGCTTCCCTTTTAATATATTCATTTTGGCTCATTATGCAATGAGGGAATTTTGTCCTGTAAAGCTTCAGCAACAGTTCTCCTTTTTTCATATTCCCGTTCGTTTGGTAGTAATCACTGTGGAGTCCTCCTTTCCTACGTAACTGTTGCTCATCCGATTGGACACAACTAGAACCATTTGCACCCCCGTTGCAGAACGCGTTGTGGTTAAGTTCTTCCCCCAAGGGGTAAACTTCCCTCTCGCAACATTCGCTCTGCCCTGATCTGTTCATGTGCAGATAAAACAAAAAGTGCTTCTCCCCACTTTCCAATTTCCTGCGCACATTTTCATTCATATAAAAGTAGAGGCACGTCTTATTCAGCATGCTCGTATTCATATTCAGCCAATCGTACCTTCCATCATTATCTAAATTAAATTCTTTAAATTTCAACACTTCATCGATTAGCTTATTGTCCAGGATACTCTCCATCGTGACCGACTTCAAATAATGCGAAATGTCCACGAAGAAAATGCTTCTTATGTGCACATCCACACTTTCCAGGGTGTAACTGTACGTTTTCTTCAGCGCGTTGAATAGATCCCTGTTTAGCGTTTTCAAACATATGGCTTGCATTTCGGGTACCTTCCCTCTGCTCTGATCATACCATTCTTCGTAAAATATTTTTACCAGTTTTAAGATGAACAGGAGGGCGTTCTTGCTTCCATCATTGCACTCATCATTGTACCCACCACTGCGCTCATTATCACCTTCATCATCACAATTATCATGGGTTCCCCCATGGGTGGTTTTCGCAACCCCTCGCTTCACCCTAAACGCTTCCAACTGCTGCACAATGAGCCTCCCTACATGAACATCTCTGAAAAAAGCCTCAACCAACATGCGCACGTCTAAGTTTCTGAACTTCACATATTTGAGAAGCAAGAAGAAGGCGTAGAAAACGACATACACTTTTTTGCCCTTTTTCAGCTCACCCACGTCGTGCTCGCTAAAAATGTACATGTAGTTTTTCATTGCATTTTCATAATAAAAATGATTTGTCTTCCCTGTTGCACAAAACGCTAGGTCAGTTAGCAGATCGCAAACATGTCCATCCACCATCCTTTCCATCTTAAATTTCCTCACATTTTGATTAACCATTTGCAAAAGTAGAACTAGCAAAGTGCAATGATCGTTTGTTCTTCCTGTTCTTAACGTTCCTTTGGTGAAGCTCTCGTTATGTACCGCATCACCACTATTTCTACGCCCCATTTCTTCTTCCTCTTCTGCGCTGCCCCTTTTCAAATTTTTAAAAATTCCCTTGAAGGCAAAAAACATGACTCTCTCGTAGCATCTCATCATATACTCACCCTTGGGAATGTCATTTTTGTAAAAGTACCCATAAAAGTAGAAGAATTCGACTTCGCATATTCTCCTTATAACGTCTTTGCCGTAATCTCGAAGCAGCTGTCGCATTCGATCTTTTCCACTTAGCATGTTTCCCAAAAAGTACAAAACGGATAAGGCTATTAATAGGCAATTTTTATTTTTCGTCTTCTTCGTGCTTAACAACAGCAAGCTAATTCTGTTTCGCCTTCTATAAATAGATTTGTATGCGTGTGCAAATTTCTTCAAATAAATTTCGGCCAACATGTCTGAGAAAAATTTTCTAGGCAACATAAATACCTCTTCATACGTTACGCTCTCTAAGCGCTGTATATCAATTTGGTCAAACAGTGGAGGGGTGTACTTATTTTCCATCAAGTAAAGAAAAATCATAAAAATGTAATTCTCCATGGTGTTATTACAGGCTGCTTGCTCTGGGGGGGCCTTCAAATCGAAAAGGGCCACATGCTTCTGCAGAACGTGCGCTTCTATTTCTCTCTTGATGTCCCCACGCCGCTGCACATGTGTTCGCTCGTTTTTGATACCACGGAAGAAGTAATGTTGAGTGGTACTTCTATCGGAGGTGCCATTTTCCTCCCTCCTGATACCGTGGCGAATAACCCTTTCCACAATGACACGACTCAGCGGGCAACCGCTATCGCCGTACCACTTCTTAACATACAACTCGCACAACTCATTTAGGATGGCGTTCATTTCGTCTTCCAAGCGTTTATCTCGCGTGATGGTTTCAATTAGTAGTGCCACTGTGTTAACACCGCTTCGGTGCATACCTTTCACGTCATTTTGTAGTCCAAACTTAAAACCGTTTTTCTCCTTTTCGCTACGCATAATGTTGACGAAAAAAAGAGCGATATGTTTCAAAAGAAAAGACCTGCAGCTTCCTATGGCTTCCTCCTCCCCATTTGGATCATTGTCAGTTTGGTTACTGTCACCCTTAGAGGAAGTGTTTCCAACTATTAACTTCCTCATAAAACCTCCCTTCGCATCTAACATCTGTAGCAAGGACAGAATCATGAGGGATAATTTCCCCTTAATTTGTTCTTCCCCGTTATGTGTATCCTGTTCCGCAATGATATGTATCAAATTAACAAGGCTCTCCCCCACAGGCTTCTTATACCTCTTCTTTTTTAGATTAAACAGTTGGATGCTCTTATGCACGTAACACAGGATAAGATGTGCGAAGTGGTGAAAAACCACACCATTCGTTTTAAGTCCCTTCTGCAGATGATCCAATAACTTTATAAATAATCCATTCTTAAAAATATGAACAAACAAAAAACACATGGACCTACTTAAATTACGTATCTTTTGAAAGAAATTATTGGCGTCATATTTTGTATCCCCTTGTTGTTTTCTACTTCCACAACTAGCGATTATATTCTTAACATCTTTGTATCTTCTTGTGTGTTCCACATATGAATGAATGTTTCTACCTACAGTGGCACTCAGGGCAAGGAAGACCTCCACCGTTTTGCTTATTTTGTCAATCAAATACTGTAGCGTGTTGGTGTCAACGTTACCATAACCATTTAGGTACGCATAAGTGGTGAAGAAATAATTAACTATGAGAGTGCTAACATTGCACAAATTGTAAAGCAATAGTTCAGCTTCTTCACATTTTTTCTTCGTCTGCTCCAGGTTATCTACACTGGTGTAATAAAATGCAATGTTATTATGTTGCAAGTAAATCTGCAACACGTTTTCGCCCCCGTTTGGAAAGACCCCATCAATATCAGCTGTACCACTTTTTTGTACAATAAAGGAACCATTTGGATTATTACTTCCATCATTAGTTACATCCTTTTTTTGTACCTCACTGCAGAGCTGTTTTATTTCTTCCTGATATTCTGCTGAATTATTCTGCCCCATTTGAACCTTCTCAATTTGCCATAAAAAGGAATCTATGCTTTGTAAAAATGTTGTAAAACTCACAAAGGCAGCCTTCTGCTTATTCGATTTGTTCTGATATGCTACGCTTTCTTCAGACCCTTCCACCATGTTGGTTACACCCGATTGTGGCTTCTCACTCGATGGATTAAACGCGGCGGAATTGCTGGGTGTAGTTCCTCCCCCTTGACTATCACAAAGGTCATCCCTAGTTTGTAAAAAGTCCTTCTTCCTCGTAAAGGTACAAAACAGTTCCCCTAAACTTCTCTGGTTCTTTAACAGTTCTCTCACGCTAACATAAACATAGGGGTTCAACAACAAAACATATTTTACATAACCCAGGTAGTTTATATACACCTGTACGATGTCCTCAAGGGTGTAATCGAACACATCGCCGGCGCCTCCCTTAGTCTGCTTCTCCTCCTTGATGACCTTCATAATTGGTATTCCCTTTAGGGCCAAGTTCAAGTTGTTCGTGAAGAACAGTTCTACTAGGAGCTTGAAAAACGGGGAGGCTTCACTCTTACGCAGGATCCCCTTTTGGAATTCTTTTGTACTCTTCCCCACCTTTTCGATGGAATGTTCCCCAGCCACTTCATCAGGCGCGCCCCCATCAAGATGCATTGCCCTACTTCTGTGCAAGTTAAAAAGGCGACAAAAAACGGACAGCGCAACGACGAACTCGCGCAAGCTACGAATGGCCCTCAAAAAGTTCAAAAACAAAAGCACATCATCCACAAGAGAGGAGTCGAAAAATTTCGTCTTCCTCAGCATTTTGTGTATAAGGGTCTCCACGAAGGAGTAAAATGCCAACTGCACATCTGACGAACATTCTGCGTGTGGTGAAAGCACCCTCTTCTTGTAGTACGTTAAAATGGAAAACAAATTATCCAACAAATGGTAACTTTCGAGGGGGAAATAACACTTCTCGAAAAATAATTTCAAGAATATATTGTACACATTGTCGTTAACATTTACAAACAATTCAAAATTTCTTACTTCTATAATTCTCTTCTGACTGTACAGCTCATTTAATAATTTTTTCTTCAACTCGCAATCGTCGAACAGGTTGATAAAAGTCGTCACTAGCATAAAATGGTACACGTACAAATTGTCCGTATTTATGTGGACGTCATTCAGGAAGTAATGCAACTGAAGGATCTGCTCGCGTTTTTCCTGATTTTTTTCACTTCTCGTATTCACTATTTCGTGATCCTTGACGCCGACGTTAAAGGTGTAGTCATCCGAGTCGTTGTCATGAAGAGGGTTGCCTCTATCACGGGTATCCTTCCTACACCCCTCATTATTTTGCGCCCCTTTAATCTCATTTATAATGTACCTATTTATATACGCAATATCGAACAGGTAGTATGAACTAACGAGGTTGTAAAAAGCGAGGGATAGGTCTTCTTTTATCCTGTTCAACAAAACGATTTTGTTCACCCCTTGAGGGAAGGGCAGGAACGAATCCAGAGACAGTATGAACATGGAAACACACTTGTAAATTTCGAATGTGTAGTGCAAGTAGCACATAATAAAATAATTGTAGTAGTTGTGCTTATCTCTCTTGGTAAACATTTCTACAATATACTTTGTTACATTCATAGGTATGAAAAAAAACAAAACTTCTTCAATTTTTTTCTTGTAATTTAATTCGTTATCCAAATGGTGCAGATAATTGTTGGCTTCTTTCACATTTTGCATCACCACCCTGCGATCAATTATCGCTCCTTCACTGTTCCCTATAGACCCCTCTTTAATCGCGTCGTACAATTCTATAAATATTTTGTAATGAATTACCTCTCCACATAGCTGTAAAAAATTTGTATTTCGCACCACTTCGTTATTGACACTTTGGTACACATACCTGTATTGCAGCAAGCTGGGGGGACCTTCTCCCGATTCGTTCAAGCAGTTGTTATTTATTAAATCACTGCTAGTTCTTTCTAGTTTCTTTTTTTTCCTTCCCAACTTGTCCCTGTTCTCATCGCTTGGTGCCCCGCTACTCATTTTTCTCTTCTTTTCACTTGTCGTGAGTGCAATTGCCCCTTCATCGAGACACAGATCGGGTATGTCCCCTACTGGGTTTGTACCAATTATAGTGCTCTGCTGCATGTCGTTACATCGAAGGGTGAAGTATCCACACACTTGGATGGGCAAGTGGCACATTGCTTTTTCCCCCTTCCTGGGAATATTCGCCCCAGTGGTCCTATGCAGGAAGAATATTTTACTAACATCAATGAAGAGAAGCAGAAACAAAAAAAGGTTGTCGTCACATGTTAAAACGTGCAGTTTGCTGCTGCCATAGTAGAGGTTGATAAAGTGCTGGTACTTTTCTATACTGATTACAATAAGGTAATGGTTAATAAAAAAATTTATTTTTAAGTCAGTTAAGAAAGAGAGGAAAGCATTATTCACTTTGTTCCGGATTAGCTTTTCATCATTGTAGGACTTATCCCTCAACAGAACAACCTCCTCCTCTTCCTTCACGTGGCGTGTGATTAAATACTGCTTCGTATCTCTTATGCAGGTAGCTATATACATTTCTAGATTTGCGAAGATGAGGCATATTCTACGAATGTCTCTTTTCTGTATTCCTATCACGAACAGTTGATTTCCCACTTGCGCATACGTCTTATTTTGCATGTGTTTGGTGCCATCGAACAAATCACCATACATGTTGCCTAGCTCACCTCCCCTGTCCTTTCTATTACAATTTACGGCTAGGTAATACGATGATGCAGAGGGAGAAGAGTCAAATGGGGAACGCCTTTTTTTTCCCTTCTTTTCTCCCCCCCTGTCTTCATTCTCCTCTTCATACGAACACTTCAAAAGGAAGATACAATTACAATTAAATTTTCCATTTTTGTATATTTCGCTAAAATTCCTCCTCTTTAACAACTCGTTTATAAAAAACAGCACCGTCGTGTCCATCTCACTCTGTACATAATTGAAGAAAATTCCAACAAATTTTATCACATTAAAAAAAACATTCATATTTTTATATGTCTCACTTTTTTCTAAAATTTTGTAAAGGCACAGAATAATGTAGTGTCGTAGCGTTTCCCCACTGCTGCAGTATATTTTGCGTATCTCTTCACAGATCGTGTGAAAATGGGTGTGTATTTTATCGCTCCTAGTGCTATCCAAGTAGCAGTATGCACACATAACTAGGATCGCCACCCTCACTGCTTCGAAATCGTCCTTGTTGACGGCTCTGCTATTTGGAACTGCTTCATCTGTGTCACGTCTACTTCGTTTTCTTCTTTTGTGCTTCTCCCTTTTCCTATCTAAAATTTTTTCATTAAACATTTTCGTTTTTCCATTTTTCTTCCTTATTAGCATTTCTGCGTAAAATTCGCAATTGTCCACAATCCTCTTTTTTTCCCTCTCATTTGTCACACCCCCTATAGTACTCCTGCTGAGTAAGTGCTTATACAAAAGTACAACTTCGTTTTGAAAATTGTAACTGCAAAGAAGAGTTTCGTCCTCTTTGATGTATCCATCGCCTGTGGAGTACTTCTTGTACCCGTTTTTTGTATCACGAGAGTTCCCTTCTTCTGAATTGTCGTCATTTTGTGAGTCTTCTCCCAAAGGGGACTCACCCTCCGTTGGAACACTTTGGTCTTCCTCCCCATCGAGGATCTCCCGCCGTTCCCTCTGGACCTTCTCGTCTATCACGTCATCCAGCTCTTCGCCACTGTCCTCCAAATGGGTCAACTCATTTTTCCGCTTCAACTCGGAAACATTTTTGAGATTCTTTTTCAATTCAATCAAATTTAATAACAACGAGGAGGAACGAAAAACAAAATGAAACTTCTCATGGAAAAGGAAAAGGTAGAGAATGACATTTAAAATAAATATTCGGTTATAACTGAAGTTGTTCAAAATCACAATTTCTAGAAGGTTCATTTGTTCACACAAGAAAAGACCTACATTTCGGAAGGCCTCTGATTTGACAAACTGTATTTGGCACTCATCATCCGGGGGTGTTTTCCCCAACTTGTTTCGAAGGAGCCAATTTAAACTATAAAAAATTATTTCAACATATCTCCGATTAATGTTGTGTACTGACTTGGTTCCCTTAGTTTTCGCAGCCTCCAGAGATAACACAAAAATTATCACATCGAGGTAGTTATTTTCAATTAAAACATTCACACACATGTTGTAATCTTCATCATCGAGGTCTCCATTATTTTTTATCAGCCCATACAGGCTTTTTAGTCCTCTTTCGATCTCCTTCTCACTGTCGCTATTCAGCTGGGAACATATTCCCTTCAGTGCGCCCTTTAACTTCTCCATCGTGCAGGATTTCAATTTTTGTTATTCATGACCTGGAAGGGTTCATATTATGGACGATTTCAAGTGTTGCTACTCTACCTCGCTGCTTCCGAAGCTTACGCAACTGATCGATCTCTTCTCGTTCAACACAAAAAAAAACACGTTTTTTTCCTTGTCCACTTGTAAACACAAAACTTTTTTGTTCCCCCCATTCAGTTTCTTTATACAAATAAAAAACAAAACGGGATATAAGTATCCCGTACGGAATATATTTTTTTCCCTCCTTATTCCTTATGCTCCCACATATGGGATAATGCGGGCGCTACGCATTCGCATAAGTTCTGTAGAAGAGGCCCTAGGTTTGGGGTTCCAAAAGAAAAACTCACTTCAAACACGAACAAATTGGAAGTCTCACAAACGTATATTTTGTACATAAATATAAAATGGTAAGCATTAAAAAGAAAACACCACCAAAAAAAAAAAAAAAAAAAAATTGTACGTACATTTATGTATATATATTACTTGGATGGGCGAACATATAAATGGCTTCAAACATGATTGCAAAAAAGTATTCACTTGATTCTGTACGCTCTCATTAGCTGGTTATGCGGAGTTGGCAAATGGGCACAGTGTACCTATTTGTTCCAGCGTCGGACGAGGGAAAACATGTTGGCGATGATTTGTGCCTGCTTGCAGCTATCGTAACGTGGTGCCGATCGGCGAAACAACAGAACCATCTACCAAATTGCCGGTGCTAGATGGCTTGTCGCCATTTAAAAAAAAAAAAGTGCATACGTGCATACGCAAAAAAAAAAAAAAAAAAAAAAAAAAAAAAAAAAAACAAAGGATGGGGTTTTGGCCCCCCCCCCCCCCTTTTTTGAAAAAAAAAAAAAAAAAAAAAAAAAAAAAAAAAAAAAAAAACACAAAGGAATACACCTGCGTTTGCGTATGCTCTGATGTATAAGCTTTCCAAACAAAATACTTATTTAAAATTATATATATAAAAAAAAAAAAACTTTTTACGTGATTTCCACATCTTTGTACAGTGTTTCATCAAGTAGGACTGCGTGCAAAAAAGGGACATCGTGGACATCCAACTGGCCATGTAATGGGCGCCAATTTAGCGCAAAAACGTAAACAGCGAATCTCCAATAAAGGGGCAATTCTCGAAGAATACTGGTAGCGCAAATATGTAGGAACGTGCAGGTCCCCCCTGCGCATCCCCTCCCAAGTCGATCCACGCATGAGCATATGTAACCGTGAAAAAACGAGATAACCCCATCACACGCATTTTGTTGCGCACACTTTTGCGGAAGAGTGGTGTATTTTCTCCGTCGGTGGGGAAAGTTGGCCCATGGGGTGGAACTCCACAAAAGTGCCAAGCCCAGATATAGGGGAGCTCCACATATATATGCACATATGTATATGTGCATGTATGTGGTGGCCCCCGCCTCTGTGAGCAACCAGGAGAAACTCTCGCGCCGTCACCCGTACTTGCTGACGTACTCCTGCCACAAGAAAGTTATCACCTTCTGTACGAAATGGTTCTTGTTCTCGGGGAAGAAATATTCCGAACTGTTTAAAACTATCCCCTTAGGGAAAGTCATGAAAAAGAAACTTATGTTTTTAAAAAAGGTCTGCAGGAGGGCGAACTGCCTGGAGAGCTTATCTGTCAATTTCTTCCTACGAATGTGATTGTTACTTTCACTAGACGTGGCGGCGTTTCCCTCAAAAAACGCCTCCCGAATATCCTCGCCCATAAAACCCATGTGGACCATGTACAGTTCGTAATTATTAAGGGAATAATATTTGTTACTCAAATAGTTCAGCAATGTGCTATCGTATAGTAAAATTTTTTTTTTTTTTCGTTGCTTTTCCATAAATGAAGTTTTTTCCATATCGTTCATGTTCTCAGCATTATTGTGTTGGTGGTTTGGGTTATCCTTATAATTATGACTATCGCTGTCGTCATCATCTGATACGTCTGAAAAAGGGGGTGTGTCAAGAGCGTCCCGATTTTTGACACCCTTGGGGTCATCTACGTTCGCCTCATCAGTCTCGGACTCCTTTCCACCATCCCTTTTCTTCCCATGCCGGATAGGCTTCTCACCAAACAGTTCGTTATAACTACTAGTCAAAATGTTTTTATTCAAATTCAATTCGAAAAAGGTAAAAACATCTTTCATACATAAAGGGACGCTCAAATATTTGGTGAAAATTTCACGCTCCCCCGAAATGAAGGCATTATCTTCCGCATTGGTGTTAAAAAAGGTTATGTTCATATAGGAGTTATCAACAAAGTCTTGGGTATATCCCCCAGTGTCAATATCATCCGCGTCATTTCCACCCCTGCCTATATTTCCCGGCTTAATAAACAAATGCTGTTTTTCTTTTTTGCAAAAAAGGGATATCAATTTGTTGTAGCTTCCCAGCAACTTGGTTCTTTGTTCATTATTTTTTATCATGTAAAATATTCCCAATTTTTTTAAAAAAAACATATCTTTTTTTAAAAATAATTCTTGTAGCAGGTTGTTGTCTTCCGTCCGCTGTGTGTGTATGCTCTTTCCGAACGAATTTCTCATTTTCGTCCTTACGAATTCTTCCTCGATGATGAAATGAATTTTTGCAAGTTCGATATCCTTATGGGGGAAATTTCCACCATTGATGCTGCTACCGGGGATGCGGTTGTTGTTGTGACTATTCCCAGAGAGGTCACCGTATGAATACAATTTGCTAGAATCCAATCCGCTATGCTCACTGGGTAGTTCCTCCCGCTTCGCGTCGTCATCGAAAAAGGGAAATGGCACACCTTCCCCCTCAGCTAAAAACTCCCCCAATAAGCCACTCAACTCGCTGAGAGGGCTAAAATTGTACATAAAATTATTCAACAGAAAGGAACTGTTTTTACACTTCATGCAAAACAGAACAAAGGAAGTGATCACAACGTACAGGTAGTCCTTATTAACCTGAGACACACTGCACATTTGCAGCAAGCCGTCTAGAATCTTCTGCTTCTCCCCAAAGTGACTATATATGTACGCTAAAGAAATGCACTCTTTTACCCAAAAAAGGTGGTGAAAAAAGTGGAAGAGTTTCTCATCATCTAATGTTAATGAGATTGTTCTTTCCCCATTTTGGAGTTTCTCCTGGGCACAATAGAAGTCTTGTAACCTCTCCTTAAATGTAAAGTTACCCTTCGGCTCATAAAACAGAATTTTATTTTTAATCAAATTTAACCTTTTAAAAGATGCCCTCAATTTTAGCATGACGTACCCTTGAATGAGGACGGGGAAATTTTTCAAAAGTTCGTCCACGTTTATTTCGTCGTCTAGATTTTCTTTAATAATTATTTTGCACAGGTGGGCAAGGAAGTCCGCTATACATAGCATGACGTTGAAGGGGATATCCACGCAAGGGATGTTCTTGGGACAGTATTCACTGGTTTGTTTTCCCCACTGTGTGCTTCTCACCATTGGTTCTTCGCAACGAAGTCGGTCTTTCCATTTATCACAATTTGGCGAGTTATTTACATTTTCTGCACCTCTCCCTTTGGGAAATTTCCCCGCGTTGTTGTATTCATCCGTGCTCACATATACACAGTAGTGATTGTAGTAGTTATCCCTGAAGCGAGCCAGCACGGTCTCGTTAAAAACAGTGACGAATGCGAATTTGATGTAGGAGCCCAAGTCATAGTAACTCTTCTCCGAGTCCAATTCGATATTCCCACTTCTTCTCGTACTTTTGTAAATCCTTTTCAGCAAAACGTTAAGTATCGAAATGGCGTAGATCCACAAAGACGAGTTTTCATGAAACAACTTGGCACCTTTTAAAACATTCAAATAGACAAACTTAATTTCTTCCTTTTTGATTCGCTTAAAATTGGTAATACACTTAACAAACATATACTTTTCATAAGTGCTAAACCCCTCGAAGTAGTTGCTGAAGTTGCAAAAGATGTGCCCATATGAATTGTTGAAGCAGCTAAAAAGGGAGAAGTATTCAAACATGCTGATTCGACATTCGTACAAAATCTGCACCCTTCTTATAAACTCCTCATAAACTGCGTAATACCTTTTCATGTTCTGACTTACATTTTGCGCGATCTTTTCAATCATCACTTGGAGGAGGATGTAAAAGATTGTTATCAGTTTGGTTACATAGGAGTATATGTTCAGGACAGTGTCCTTTATCTGGACATTCAACTTTACATAATTTATGAGCTTCATCGTTTTTAGGAAGCTTCCCAAATGCTCAAACAGTTCGCTTCTGAATAGGTGTAGGGATTTCACATCTTCCCTCTCCATATCGAATAGAATATTCAACCTGACTTGTTCATACTCTTCATCTTTCTTAAAAGAGTTTGCGTCAATGTCGAGGAAGTTTCCCACTTTTAAAAAACCTTTTATGTAATTTTCAACCCTTAACAAGTTCGAATAGACATGGTACAGCATATTTTTCTTCTCTAGATTTTTTACCCTAATCAGGGATTTATTTACCTCTTCATAATACTTATAACAGAACAAATAAATCAGTGTCAAAATAGTGCCATGGTCATTTACTATAATGTCATTATTCAATTTGTAATTATCATTTTGATAAAGGAACAAACTATAGTCCTGTTTTGCACGAGTGCTGCTTTCTTGGCCAAAAGCACCAGTTCTCATATTTTTCCTTTTCCACAAGGAACTACTCCCACCATGCAAGGTTTCACATTCGTCTTCCGATTCTGTACATGCCAAAATGTTATTCGTTGCACTTACACATTTTTTAATTTCGAAATCTTTTTTTATAAATCTATTCATAAATAAAATGGTCATATTGGAACACTCGTTTGAATCAAAGTAGTCGGCCGAAATGCACTCCACGCCGAGACTTCTTATCCCAATCAAATTGCAATATGAAATGAGACTCACGTTTTTATCGTCGAGTTCTTCAAAGTACTGCACAATGATTTCGTGCATCCTATGCGATAGAAATTTCATCGTTTCTTTGAGGCCCTCACTTTGGTTTGTCCCACCACCCCCAGCTCCCTTGACCTCTACATCGTTACCTGTGTCCCCCCCCAGAAGGCTCTCTTCGCACACAAAGCAGTCCAAATTTTTCTTGTAATAAAATGTTAAGACGTGGTACAGGGAGCAGAGACCATATATGACGTATTTCGAATCGTACACCAGGCCGTTGCCTAGATTTACCAATACCATTTTGATGGTGCTCATCATTTCGTACACATCGATCACTTTTTTTATGTAAAGGTACATCATAACGTTAGCGAGCGGGACAATAGCGTTGTCCACTTTTCTCTGTAACGACTTTATCAGGGCGTCGTAAAATGCCTTCATCGACTCGTCGAATGTGTGGCTGTTGTAGTGCTTGTACAGGTAGAAGCAGAGATTCCCGAGGGAGAGGAAAAAGTGCAGGTTGTCATCATCATCCCGCGGTTCCATTCCTCCAGCATCCCGTTGCACATTGTCCCTGTTACTATTTTCGTCCCCCCCAGTTTGGTACGCCAAGTTGATCCCATCGCCACTACCCAAGTCACTCTTGTGTAGAGCCAGAATCGTCGAAATCTCCGCGCCGCTCAAATTGGTGTAGTAGCAGCACGAACTCAGGCACAGTAAGAGAATATTCCTCACTTTGCGGTTAGACACTTCATCCAGCAGGTTAGTAAGAAACAAATAAAAATTTGGAATCTGAGAAACGTTCGTGTGAATATAATTTAGGCAAAGAAAAATCAAAACAACTTCGTTCTGGTTGCCTTGCAACTTGCTATCCTTGTCCTTAATATACGAGTCAATTCGCTCATAAAAGAAATTTAAAATCTCGTTAATGTCATTGTTGTGCTTGCACAGGATACTCAATACGGGGTAAAAAACATACACGTTCAGATTATCCTCACCTATGATTCGTTTTATTTCTTCGTACATCCTGTTGCAGATAAATTCGTATGTGATTCTTTTCTTGCCTGCTTCCGGAGGGGTTGCACCCCCCTTCGATTTTTCAATAGACCTATCTGCTTTGGAAATCTCCTCTTCAGCTCCTTTCTCCTGTACATGCAAAATGAACTCTTCCCCAGCATCAAACTTCTTTTGCATTTTCTCAAAAAAGCAATTCACCACGTAAAAAAAGAAAGAAACGTAGTGGACGTGAAAAAAGGGCAAATTCTTCAAAATGGAAATGATCTCTTCCAGGTGCTGGAATTTATCGGTAAGCAATAACTTCACATAATAATTAAAATTAGAAATTTTATCATTCTTAATGTTGGAGTAGAAAAGTTTGTAGAGGACCCTCACCAGGTGGTTGCTGCTGCTGTTATTCTCATTCCTCGGGTTGTACAAGGAAAGGTTGTTCATTTCGTCCTTCAAAATAGCTTTCTGTATGTTCTCATAAATGTTTTGGTACGATCCGCTTTTCAGAAATGATTCGTGCACGAAGTTCTTATCGAAGAAGAGGCTCAGCAGATTCTTTTTCTCTTGCACATTTAGTTCGCACACCCCAGGGTTGGTACCATACATTGCGCTACTGCTATGGCTAATTGTATGGGTTATATACTGGGCCTCATCATCTGGTCCTCCTTCCCCTGGTTCGAAGAAAACCCCGCTACCACGGACGCTACCCCCGTGTCCATTTACATCAAAATATTGGTAGTACACTGGGTAAACAACCGACATGACGTTAACAATCTCTGCCAGGATGCTCTCATTGTTCACGCTCAGCAATTTGTAGAAGTCTTTAAAAATGTATTTCAGCTTTGTATGGTACAGAATATCATACTGTTCGGCGCATAGCTTCTCCTTGTCATAAATCATGTGCTTGATGTAGTGCCTCGTGAAGGAAATGACAGAGCAAATGATGTCTTCCCCGCCGTTCCCTCCACTACTTACCGCGGTCTTTAAAAAGTTCTTCTTTAACAAATTATAAATAATTTCAAACTCTATGTACTTCTTCATCGACAGGATCACCAAAATTAGTATGCTCATTTTGATAATGCCATTTTTGACCTTGTCAATATAACCCTCCTGCGAAATCCCACTTTTGTATTTTTTAAAAAAGGAGTTTATCAGCTTTATGATACTGTTGATATAATTGCTAACGTTGTAAAATCTGCACAGCTTCAACAGTATGAGTACATTTTTTAGGTCAAACAGTACGCCCACATTTTCCTTCGTCATGCAGTCCATGGTGTTCCCGTTGTTACTACTATCATTTTGATGTGATTCATTTAGAGGGGGATTCCCCCCTTTGCTGCTCTTCCGCATTGTGTGTTTCCTCTCGACATACACATCATCCTTCCCAGTGTGGCTTGCCAACTCGAAGGTACCCTCCACATACTTGAAATATTTGCTGATTATATTTTCGTTCACGTCCACTAATTTGTCGTAGCAGTGTAGGAGGTACAACTTGTTGAACAAAATTTGGTTAGACAGGTTCCCCTCCGTTTTATGGTAGTAGTATCCTCTCCTTTCCTCTCCCTCGCTTGCACCCGACTCTATACCATCGTCCGTGGGGCTAGTTAACTTATCAGCGGGGCACGATGACAAGTCTTCCTTCTCTCCCCCTTGGTCATCGCCACTGTTGAGCAAAATACAAATGCAGTTATAGACAACTGGAATGTTCCTATCGCTGCATCCGATTTTGGTCAGCACGTGCAGAATTAGGCTCCTCAAAACAAATGCATGTCGGCGCGCATCTCCCTGGTCAGTAGATTCACCAGAGGGAGAAGGGCTCCTCATTTTGAAGCTCCCCCCCTGTAGTGCGCAACTTGAGAAAGACATCTTATATACAAAAAGCAAACAAGGAATAAACCTCAACAAGTCAAACGAATTTATTAAACAGTAATATGACATAAATTTAAAAACGTAAAATAAATTGCACTCGAATAGAGACAACATTAACAAATTGATATAAACAAAATTCACTTTGGATATATTTTCATTTTTCAAATTTTCAAATGTGTTAATACACAATTTTGTGTTCATTTTGGAGAGCATAAGTAATTCTCGGTTTTTCCGTACCACATCTATGCATTCAAATTTGTGCTGATTATTTTCGCACAGTTGGAAAAAGCGCATTAGATAAATCAGATCGATGTGGACAAATATTTCGTGCAGATAAAATAAAATATTATTTACACACAGGACTTCCAAAACGTCTGCTTTTGTTAAATTGTTTGCTTCACTCGTTAGGTAGTTCACCTCATCCATTATGTTTTCCATTATGTTGAGGTGGTTTCCCCCACTCCACATCGATCTGTGGAACAGTGTTGAAGGTTTTCTTCCGTGAATACAATCAGCCAAACCGCGGGACATCTCCATATCTATCCTCCTTAAGTAGTCTAAAAAACAGTTATTATAATTTGTGAAGAACGTAACCCACTTACTTTTCAGCCTCCTCGAGGTTTCCATAATTCTTCGATTGACCCCGTTTGAATTTTCTTCGTTGTTCTGGTTAAGATTGTACTCAAGGTGAATAGGAATTGTTAAACACAGAAGCAACGGAGACACATTAAATTGAAAAAGGTTCATCTGGTGAGGATTCCACTTAGAGCGGACTGAACTGTTGCCCCCCATGACAATTCCCTGCCCTTTGCTCATATTACTATAAGCTTCTGTTTCACCTCGTCCTGATGTTGTTATCCCCTCCGTTTCACAGCAGAATGGGTCCTCATCATCTGCATCGCCAACCTCGTTGTGCTCTTTACATGCCACATGGGCGTCCTCATTAACCCCCTCCATTGTAGTGCTTTCATCTAGTATGTTGGGGGGTGCATCGCTCCCGCTGAGGAATACCCCATTTGGGTAATAAACTTCAAGCAGTATATCTAAACATTCCAAAATGTACATCACTGCTTCATTTTTGTCAATATTTAAATTGTGAAACACCAGAATGAGAAAAAATACGATCGTTTTTAACACGTGGTAAAATCTGTCCTTCAAGGAATGTACATTTCGTCTTAGCACATGCAGAAACTTCTGCAACGGCTCCTGCACGCACCCGTTAAGGTAACTTATGTCGTATATTTTAAGGGAAAATATGAGCAGGAAAAGGACTAGGTGTTTCATTCTTTCTTCGGCGGCGCTTCCGGCCAGTTGGTGAGTGTTCGGCTGGGCTTCGTCAGGTAGTTCATCATTGGAGATGTCATCGTTGGGTACGGCGCTATCCCCTTCTTCACCGTCTGTGTCGTCATCTTCTGTTTCTTCACTGTCTATTTCTTCATCGTCTATTTTTTCACCCTCTGCCTCGTCGAAGCGCAGTTTCCCACAAACGATGCTCATGCAGAGCTCCAGGTTGTACGCGTTATACACATTGCGCAGGTTCAGTATGCACAGCGGCACGACGTACGTGTACAGGACCCGGTTTCTCCACACCATCTCATTATTCAGCAGTACGTGATACACGGTGCCTATTTCAAACTCATCACAGTAGGCAATAATTTCTTTAAACATATGCACAACACGTGCGCACAATTCGGCTTCATTTATGTGCACATGTTTAAAGCTAGCTTGTTCTACATTTTTCAAAAAAATATAAAACACATTTTTGACAAAACTTTTATCAATGGTGATTAGTTTTTTTAAAATGTTGACCAAGTTGATGTTCTTATCTTCCACGTCGTGGGTTTCATCCTTGACTTTCTGTTCTTTCGAATGCATCAGATAGCTTTTTTGAATATCACTATGACTGTGGAAAAAATTTTTCTTTTGTTTTTCTTCGTCTTCCATACCAGTGGGATCGCCATGCTGCTCATGTAGGCCTCTCACAAACAGGGTGAAGATTGTTTCGATCAGGATGTTCACCAATTCGTCATTGCAAATTAGATGTTTGGAATAATTCCCGCTTTGTGGAGTAACCCCATTTTTGCTGCTCTTAATTTGAAAATCTACGTAAATTTTATCAACTAAATAATTTATATGTACACATCCGTTCAGAACACTGTTGCAGATGAACTGAAAAATAATTTTTTTGGCATTTAAAAATTCGCGACTAAAGCTACACAGATTTTTTTTTCTCAAGGAAAAATAGTAAGCATCCTCTTCATTCACCTTTTCGATATTTCTATTCTTCACGCATATTTTGTACTCTTTGCTAACTTTCGACTTATTTTTCCTTTCGGCGTTTAAATGTAACTCCTTGTTCCTTTTCAAAAGGTTATAATTAAACAAAAAATTTTCATTGTAAGCATAATTATTTTCCTCTAAAAATATGTCAATAAGTTGTATAACTACGTGACTGTCTTGTCTTTTTCCTTCATTCTGATAAATTGCATTTAAATTTTCCAGAAGGATGTTTTCATTTTGCGTGTACTTTACGCTTTCTACAATTTTGGCGTGTCTCTTTTGCTCCTTTTCGTTCATATTTGCATGTCGTCCTCTCGTTGCAGCGAAATGGGTTTTGCGCTGTTGAGAAGAAAATGTGTGTCCTTTTTGCTGCCCAGTTGCCGTGCGAGGTGCTGTTCACGACGCAACTATACTTACTTTAGCAGAAATGCGTTAAGCCTGAAGAAATGCCCTTTTCTTGGCATTGGCTCCTCTGTTCGTTCCACCTGGACCGTTTCAACGTCGCAGCCGAGGGTGGCAGGACGGATATTCACTCTACTTTAGTACACGTATGCGTACAGCACATAGGTTGCATGTAGGCGTATTCGTGTATACGAGTTTATGCATATGCCCCCCACTCGCATGACAGCTTTTCAATTTTCTTATCTTAAAATGCACATTTTTGAAACTAAAAAAAGGAACACAAAACAAAACAAAAAAAAAGCATTTCTTTATATATTCGATGTAGCGGGCTACTCATGTGGCGGTATATATATATTTGCTCATTAATTTTTTTTTGTTTTTTGTTGCCATTTCTTCATCCCGTCGTGCATATTGCGTCAAACGGGGAGTACCTTATTGGGAAATTTTTTCTCTAATTTATATGCTCAAAATTTTGCGTTACACGATCCATGGGGAGATACCTACCAGATGGCACAGTGCTCTCACTAACGGGCATTTTTCAGTGAACCTTTAATTTTTCCACCTTCAATTTTGCACTCGTTGGGGCGCAACTCACGTGGGAGAGGTACATATAATGGCTGTGCATAATGTAGCACCATGACACCGTTGTGTGATTGCCTAAATGTACAACAAGAACAAGAAAAAAAAAAAAAAAAAAAGCTTCTCTATCTTGCAGATTTATGTAAATTCAACTTCAATGTTGTGAATGTGCCTGTTCGTACCGCTTACTAGAGGACCTGCTGACCCCCCACACGTAGCTGCCATTTGTTGCAGCTGTTAAAAGGGCCAATAAAAGGATACGAATGTTTGGCTTCACTTTTGGCCAGGTTTTCTCTTTTATGTTCACACTTATTTGCGTATAAAGGGTTCTTTCTACAATTTGGCCAAATGGGGACTTAAAGTTCATTTACCCCGTCAGGTGCCGAATGGCCCCGATCAAAATTGATATTACCTCCTTTTTACGTCTAGAACAGTTGTTACCCACTCGGGGGTCACGCTTCATCCCATTTGACAATGTCTCCATAACCTTCTGAGCACCTACGATTGCATATCTGTGTTCATACACAAATGTGTACATTTTCGTTGGTGGGAAGGTAGAACCTCCTTCATGAACTCAGCAGTTCCAAATCGAAGGCGTGTGTAGGGGGGAAGGACGAATATAGAACGGCAGTCAATATCATTTTCTGCAACCAGCGCAGCGAACCAAGATGTACAAGCGAACTCCTTGCGCCCGGTACAGAAAGTTTCCTATGAGAGATCCCCGATTTAGCGCCATTTATCAGTTTTTAAATGTCAACCAGGAGTCCACACAGTATGTATCTGTGGTGCGGTAGTATTGCTACTGACATGTGTAAATGCACGCATGCCCGAGTGAAGGCTCCTATTTGTGTACACCTCAAAAAGTGGCACACATAAAATGGGCGACGTGCAACTATCCCATAGAATTTGATAATTTCCCCAAAAAAAAATGGGGTTAAGAAATATTTGTAAAAAAAATATTTTAATGGTACATGTATCAAAGTGTCACATTTGAGGGGACACAAAAATTTGGTGTATGCTTGGTGGCAAGATAAATTACAACCTCCGGAGACATTTCAACTTGCCCTCATTCGTATTCTGCTCGCACGAGATAGCATTAAAAACAGAAATAACTAATCCAGCATACGTTTGGCATATGTGCAGTTACACATGTGTACAAATGCTTACGCCTCTTCGCGCATTGCTTTTTTAAAACATAATAGGTTTCTTTTTGCTGAAATGGCGAAGTGTTGTCATTTCTGGGGCGTTTACTAAAGCGGGCAATGCCTCTTTTGGGCGCGCAAACAAAAGAGGGCAGAACAAAAAGGAAGAATAATGGGAAGTTTCAATGGCACGTACTTTTGCTTTCCATTCGCAAATACACATTTATGTGAAGTGATACACGGGGCTTTTTCAAATAAACACCTTTGTTCCGCACACAGAATTAACTAAAAAAAATATATATATAACCATATGGTTGTTTGTTAATTATCGAATAGAACAAATTTCCCACTTATTGTCCTTATTCTTTTTTTTATTTCCCCCCATTTTTTATGTGCAAAAATTAAAAAAAAAAAAAATATATATATATATATATATATTATCCTTTTTGTGTACCAACACATGCACACATAGGCAAACGAAAAATACACTAAGCATTGACAAAGTTTGTATAATTTTTGTTAGGACAGTGCTAAACTAAGAGTTGACAAATGTTTCATTAACTCGAATGCTTTAGGAATGCTATGGATGTCATGCATTTCTTTTCTTTTTTTTTTCACATTTGTATGCCACGTTTTGTCAGCTTGTTTCCCCTTTGCCTAATTTCCGCGATTTGTTGAAAGTCAGGAAATACGGGAACGCCTAATTTGCGATACCCTTGGAAGATTCACTTTGTTCGATTAATTTTTTACGCACTGCATTTGTTTCGCGTTTGTATTCATGTTCACTTCACCGTGCTTGAACTTTTTCCGAGCATCATAATTCGTTGCTGAGGAAAATGATACCCCCTTTGTCTGTTCCGTAACTTTTTTGAAGACCAAGTGGAAGTTGTCTTACGTGCGAAACTACACTTAGCTGTATTTGTTTGTTTTACACATATGGGTGTGTCTACGCCCGTGTACACATGCTGATGAGCGCAGACTCCTTCACGTGAACGAGCCACCCCTCGCGCATAAATATATTTGTCCCCCCAATTTGCATGCACGTAACTCGTCAGCAAATTGCTGATTTTTTCTGCATACTTGTAACTACCCCCGTGCAGCGCATACATTGCTATGTCGTTATGATGATATTATCTCATCTTGAGATTTTAAACACCCCACGTTAGCACACATATGCACGTACACATATGTGCATAGCCCCCACGCGTGCATCACCATCACCCCTTTTTAGCCAAACAAAGGACGCAACTGACGCGCAGCATGAACAGAATAACAAACCCGAGCAATTCAAATGAGGGCAGCCTGGAAAACGCCACAGTGCCTCACAATGTAGACGGAAATGGCCATGTCATGGAGGGGCAGACTTGCCACTCTGCTACCTTCACCAAAAAGGACGAAAAAATGGATAAAAAAAAGAAAAATAAGAAGAACGAAGGGAAAACCAATCAGCATGATGGGGAAGAAAAACACAACAAAATTACAAATGAACTTTTGCTAAAGCATGATGAAATAGTTAACTCGGATATGCAGAATAGGAACATAGATCACAGAGTAAAGAAGGATGCAGTGGTGAAGGGAAAACGAGAAAATTTGAGCATCAGTTCTTCTAAGGCAGTTTTTCTAAAAAAGAAAAAAAACATCTTTGGTGCCCACTTGACGAAGGAAAAATGTCAAGAAAATATCGATAAAATAAATGAAAAAATAAACAACACAATGAAAAAGATACTCAAATTATGCGAGTCAAGCAAGAAGCAATACTTATCGAGGTTATTTGAAATGAAAGACATCAGTTGCCTGTTCAGTTGTATGTTCTTGTGTCTCCTAATTATATTTTCGATTCTGAATGAATACGTGGGAGTGTTACTCTCCACCCTGCTACTGATCATATCTATACAACTAAAAGTTAGTCGGTCAAATATGGCTCTGCTGAACTCGATTGTTGCCATTGTTTTCATTTCTATAGGCACTGCGTATGCCTTTTCGAATATAAAAATAGCGAACATCCCCGATGATAGCATTACACACATCGATATCTCAAATGCGAACACGAATAAGAGACTGCTAATCTTGGAGACGGGTATTTGTCTAACGTATGCTTCCATCCTATTTATATATATGCTTTCCCTACGGTCTGTAAAAAGATGCAAAGAAAAACATGTCTGGATATATCATCACATAGTCACCTTATTCAACTTCCTGGATGTATGCATCCTCCTTACCTTTGGAGTGCTAGCCTTTTTCTTTATCTTTATTTGTCTTGGGGAAACTCTATTCATCATTATGTCATTCATGTTATTTGCAACCAGTGTCCTTACCTATTCCCTTCGTAAAAACAGCAACATAGGAACCTTGATTCTCCAAACAATTGCAATAATAACGAATTCTATTATAGCTAGCACATATTTATCGGAAAACACGGCAACACACACACTGGCACAAGTCCCTCATGACGAATTAGGACAACTGACCGACAGAATATTCCTCTTCTATATGATCTTTCTTATCTTCTTTCTTGTTCTTCACTTGTTATACATTTTTTATATATTTTTTTCTCACAAGAATTTCTTGTCCAAGTGTTTTTCCCAGAGGTCCGCGTACTACTCGAGCATATTTCCCCATCCCGCAAGCATTGAGGATGATGACTTTGCTGATAGTACCCACAGAAGTGCGAACAACCAAAGTGATCAAAACAACATGTATAGTAAAAAATACGATGGGTATAGCAGCGGCAACCGCCCCAACAGCGGGGATATCCATTTTGTGCGAGAAAAGTATCTACTAAGCTTAGATGATGACAACAAAATTCTTAATGTCCAGAGGAGAAGCTGCAAACAGGTGCATCTCGATTTGGGCAAATACACATACAATGAACTTCATTTGTACAGGCACCTTCTGCTCAACACAGTGATCGAGTTGAAACGCTCGCTGTGGAGGCGTAGAGGAAGAGGGGACACATCCAGGGGGACAAGGAATAGGGACAAAACGAGCATAAAAGAGAAGGTCAAAAGGAAGAAAGTCACACATAAGAAGATCACACAAAACAAGCTCAGTATGGATGCAAAAAAAAGACCAAAGCGAACGCAACGTTTGACAAGTTCACAATGCCAAGGAAACAGCCAGACGGAAGACTTTGTACTAAGCATCAACGAAGAAACGTCTGAATATCAGACCAACCATTACAACACAGATGAGGGTGCCAACACACAAGCAAATAAAGGACGCTGCAGGAGGAACAGGAACAAGGGTCCACCTAAGAGTACTAATTGTCTTGTAAAAAATCTATCCCTCGTTCAGCAGGAAAGAAGTAGAAATAAGGTCGCTCCAAAGATCCCACTGCAGAACCATGATCTTTACCTTACCCACTGCGAAAACGATATATATAGCCCATCCTCCCTATTTTACACAAAGTACACACACATAATAGATGTGCTGCTAGAACATTACGATGAGCTTATTTTTTACTTTGACCGAAAGAAGTTCTTCGTGGAGCTAAGCGAGTTGGTTGAGAGGGGAAATCCAACTATGAACGGTGAAATTATTTCCTGCCAAAATTGCGCAACCGAAGGGGATATATTGAAATGCGGGTCGTCTGCAAACTCCAGTGCACTTGTATCCAACAGTAACATGAACGACTCTTCGCCTCCTTTGTCGCATCCAACTTTGGAAAATATAACTGAGTCGCCATACCTTCAGCATGAATCTCCAGAGTCTAGCACATTAAAGGATGCTTCTGTTCCCCCATTCGAAGAAAGAAGTCCCAATTACATGAACACAAATTGGACTAGCCAACTTAACAGTAGTGTACACTTCACGACCGAATACGGCGCAGCAAATGAAGGACAATTCCTAAAGGCGCAAAGTTGTACAGCCGGATTGTTAGCTGAGGGGTCCAAATGGATAGAGTTGCTCAACAAAACTGAAGACGAATTAAATGAGTGTTACTCATTATTCATGCTAAACGCAGAAAAGAACGCAGCAAGGGAAAGGACCAACTCGCTATTTAGCAATCTAAACAATGATTATATGAACATCCCTGTGTTCTCCTCCACGTTCAACTCCTTCAATTCCAATTCCCTCACTTCCAACTCCCACACTACCGATGCAGAAAACAAAAAAGCAGAGAACTACTTCTGGTACTACTCCCCTGGTATTATCGGAAGGGTTTACAAAGAATGGCTAAAATGTAAAAATTTAGATTATAAAAAAATGAATAATGATTTTTATTACCTCTGTGCTAACTCGAACAAGCTGCACGAATTCATAAAGTCCAATCACAGCACTCTGGAAAAACAGGATGAAATTAAACTCTTCGATATTAGTCAAGTGCTAAGTAGTAATAACAGCATTCTAAATTCTATTCAGAAATCCTTTTCGTCTTTTAAGGCTTCTCACTTATTTTCTGAGGAGGTACCTAGCAGCAGCTCTTTAAATCGAATAATAAACACCTTCCTAATGGACACTAGCAGCAACATTGAAAGACTGTGCTTGTTTGATTCTAAAAAGGTACATCCGTGTTTAGAGGATACAAACATAAATAAATTTCTTTCATCATTGTACGAACAAGGAGGGAACGAATTTCTTCAGGGACAGATGACCCTCTCCTCATCAATGCTTACCCCAAATTTGATTGAGCAGATGAACAAGGTCGTCGCAGAAAAGCAATTCGAACAGGGAACACAAATGAAGGACTATTGTACAAACGTCTTGGGGAATGTGTCTCCTCTTGGTGCGGATAGGAATGATAACCTACTTGCGGGCCAGCACAACGCCATTCCAATGAGTTACCAAAATGGGACACCTCCCAGACGAGAAGCGAACAAAATGGTATTCCCCCCGTGGAACGCTCTAAATAGTGCCCCGAGGAAGGAGAAGCAACTATCACCGCAAGACAACAGCAAAGACATGGTAAATCTCAGCACATCACACCTGCAGAAGGAACAAGGCGAAAAATTCGACTTGAATGACCTTCTAAATTACGCTGAGTCTCTCATCTTGCAGAACAAGCAAAATGAGGCAACCAAAGAAAGCCAACTAGCGAGCACAGGCAACACAGGGAGCTCAGACGTGCAGGTGGAAACCGATTCGGACGCCGATTCAACCGACATAAAACACTTTGACGAAATTTTAAGCAACTTTATTAAAAATTTCGTGTCTACCCGGGACAACAAGATGCCTCATAGTAGCGCCAGACAAAGTGAACAGAAGCATGGCGACCAAATGAACTCCTTGAAAAATATAGAGCAAATTTATTCCAATATAAAAAAAACCATATGTGATGAGGAGGCAAGCGGGGCGGCCACCGCTGAAGGTAGTGTCAAAAAAAATGGAGAATCCTTAGCCAAGCAAATAATCCACACCAAGAAAAAAGAGATGCACCTAAAAAAAAGAAACGTGCAGAATGAGCATCACCTTTCTAATGTAATTAAAAGAGGAGATGATCCAAATGGAAGCAACCAATTAAATCAAAGCCTCCCAACAGGCACGACGGGACACCAATTGGGCAATCATAACATGGCGAAGAACAAGTCCAAAGGGAGCATCGAGCGCTTAAGGAAGCAGGGCAAAAAGGACACGAACCACTGGACATATAGCGCATTTAATGAGTACATAAATAACGATTTAAATCTTGAAACAAAGACAAAAAATATATATACCAAAACGGGTCCAAGCAGAACCAATTCGATGCCCTCAGATGATGTAAGCGCACATATGAAGTTCACCCTAATTTGTAGTAGCAGCGAGGAAAATGTGAATGATCAACAAAGGAGAAAAAATAAAATTCTCCAAAAACAAAAATTTCACGTTGAAGATACTCAAGAGGATTGCCATCTAAGTGAGACACAAAATTGGGGCAACATCTCAGAAGGGTATCTACCTGCTTATGCGACTAATGGGGGACATGCATACACAAAGGGTAACAATTTCTCAACCTCCCAGAAAGGGTTGTCGCCCAAATTGAACAGCGTAAAATTGGAGAAAGAGGAAAACAACAACCCCAAGCAACGCATCAAAGCAAAGAACAATGACACACATTCTAGCACCGTCAGCAGCACACACGAAGGGGGGACCGCTAACGCAGAAAGGGTAAATGAACCGTACAACCGCTTACACAGGGGGGAGATGAAAGATGGACCAACTGAGAGCAAATTTTACACTTTAAATAATCACAATGTAGATAAGGACAAATCCAACTTAAAAAACGGCCCTCAGAAACCAGTCCTTCAAGACAATCAGAAATGGGAAGGAAAAAATGAAAAGTGGAACCAGACTGGGGAACTAAAATCAGACGTTGCGCATAATACAGAAAACGGGATTCTTTCCAATGGGAACGAACTGCCTAGCAGCGTCTCCGCGCCCGTGATGAGATTCCCCCTTGGTCAGGTTACAAGGAACAATAAATACGATCATGAGGGGAGGCAGAAGAGCCCAAAAATGGAAAATCACCATCTCGGAGAGCACAAAGAGATACCATCAAACCAAAGAAAAGAAAAAGAACATGTGGAATGGAATCACCATATGGTGAGTGGAAAAGTCAGTGGAGCAAGTAATCCAACAAACAATCCATCCCCTATGAAGGACTACTGCATACATAGCAATCAAATGAGTTACAACAATTCCAGCAACTTCGATTCAGCACAAGCTTGTGAGCGACCCAGTGAAGTTTATCCGTATGGAAGTGCCTACCACAAAGGGGAGTTCGCCTGCACCTCTGAGTACCCCACAAATGCTGAAGAAAAAAATGAACATTCTTACAAATTTTCTAATGGACACCAAACGAACAGCAACTTTAACCTGGACACGCATGACCTCATAAAAGATTTGAAAAAATATTTGTGCTCACCTCCAAATAGTGTTGACCTGGAGGACAGCAAACTCAATGATACCTTTCTACTCGACTTTATCAACAAGTACTTGGAGAATAGCAACCCCTGTGAAGTGAGTGTATACAACGAAGTGGTTTTTGATGAGGCAAGTGCAAAAAAGGATAACCACCATGTTAACACTCCGAAGAAGCAAGATAAGAGCGAAGGAATCACAATAAGAAACACCGAAGAAAGGAAAACACAATACTACCATCTGTATGATGATAAAAAAAAGTGGCAAGGACAAAAAGACAAAAACGTAAGTGGAACACTCCCCCTCAACTTTTACGATGAACATATTGTAAATTTCCTCAATACTTACATGTTTGAAAACAGCGATCGGTTGATGAAAAACGCCATTTTGAAAGACAAGCAGAAAGGTAATGCGACGCTGGAAAAGAATATGGGAAAGGCTAGACTACCGCTGGGCGCTCAGTTTGCAACGGTGTACAGGAAGGGTGGAAAGGAGGACGGCTTGCACCAATTGGACTATGGTAGCTCCTATGTTAATGGCGACCATGTTGACGGGAAGGCTAAACTCCACAATGATTACCACGATAAACAGGATATATCGCAAAACAAAGAGGAAAAAGTTGCCCGCAAAGGTACTCACCTAAGGAAGAAACAAAATGACACCCATTTAGCAGCAAGTAATTTAAATAAGAAGGAAACTAATAGATATATATGCAACGACAATCAGGTAAGCATTAATAGGGAAGACGCTGAAGAAAACGCATACACGTACAAGGACGGAAACAAGAAAGGGACTGTCGCTTCAAACAAGAGAAAAAACATGTTTGAGGAGTTAGTTAGTTCGAAGGGGAATGAAAATGAGGTAGAACAACAAAAGCAAAAAAACGGGGGCAAAAATGAGAAAATAAAAACAAGCAGTGATATCTTCTACAGTATAGGCAACATAGAAAGTATTAACGATGATGAACCGTTGGCACATCTAAGAGGTAAAATGAACAGCAGCAACAACCACCCAGGGGAAGAAAAGGAAAAAGAAAAGATAATTAAAAAGGCGGATTTAAATTTAGTCCTACAAAGTAGTGGCAGCGAAAAGCAGAGTCATGAAGATGTCTCCTCGGATGACGGAAACTCTGCAAACGGTGTGGAAACTTTACAAAAGGAACATCCTCTTCACATTTATAAACCAAATGTGAACATATTTGATCAAGCGTACGGATTTGAAAGCAAAATATCTGACGTCACCTCATCCTCAGGTATTGAACCCTCGGGGCTACTAGTAGGAAGCAACGCCTTGTATGAATCCTTCGCTTATAAAAGTTTCGAAAATATAGACAGTATGAAAAAAAGGAACCACCAGCTTAGCAGTAAAGAAGCAACGGATGATGCAAATGGGGATTTGGACGAACACAAATCCGCAGTCATAGCCAGTGGGGCAATGGATGGATCCAACTCAAAGGATAAAATGGAAACCCTTCACTATAGCGATGTTGCCAAGGAGGGATGTGGTAATAGGAGCAGTTGTGGTGAAGAGAAGAAGGGGGAACAGGATCCAGAGCTTTGCGTCCCTTCACCCATTGCGAACCATTCAACGGTGCATGCCGTGGGGAAAGTGACAAAGGAGTGCAACTATTTGGCTGGAAAAGACGCGATAAGTTTAGGCAAGAAAAAAGAGCTAAGAAGAGGTGAGCCCAATCCAAGTACAGAACACCTGGTAAGCACACACGTGGATGACCAAATAGTGAAGGGAAAAAACTACGTAAAAAAGAATTTTACCAATTATGAAATTTACGAAGGTTCAAAAATACGCGCTGGTAGTGGTCAGAGAACTGGTACAACTGCAAAAGACCAATCGCACAACCAATTGAGTACCCAGGTGGAAATGAATCTTTGCAATAAAACTCCTCCCTTTCAGGAACAGAAAATAATACAATCTAAGTGTAGTACCAATTTGGGAGCAGCTACCCTCGGAGATAGTTACAAAAATATTAAACACGTGGACGTACTCGAACTGAACAATAATATCGTCCCCAAAATGATGACATATGATGAACCAGAATCAGGGAAAATTCCACTGTCATACACATATGGCGGAAAACTACACAATAATGTTGGAGGCGCTCCGATCAACTCATTGTTGTCAGGGGATATTTCTTCCTCCTTGGTAAGCAAAAGGCTCATGGATTCGCAAAACAGTACACCGAGTAACCATATAAAGGGTAGGAACAAATCTGGATGCCCCAACAGCGTGGAAGTAGCAAAACAAAACATGCCTCAAACAAATGAGCAAAAGAAGACTCGCAGTAATCCCTATGAGCAGCACTTCCTGGGAAGGGGAACAAGTGTGGTCACTGGTGCTCGAGGAGCACAGGAAATCTTTAATGAGGAAGAGAAAAAAAAAGATGGTGCAGAAGAGGTGCACGTGAACCAGGCCATCGAAGCGATCGAAGCAGACATAGACGACTTTTCTGAAGAATTTTCATCGAGGGCGAAAACACGAACGAGTTGGAGACCTCCCAGGAGTCACACCAAATTAACTCTCACGGACAGAACGCCCATCAGCTTAGAAAACGCTCAAAGCACTGAAAGTGAGGTGGAGGAGGATAAGGGTACAACGCAAAAATGGGATTTGGGGGGGACAAATCGTTATAAGCAGGAAAATGCATTAAGCACAGGAAGGAGAGAGAGAAAAAAAAAGTGTTCCACCGTCAGAGGACGCATAATAAATAACAGCGATCACATTTTCGACAACACAGACTACATCAAACACTTTAACAGCATCATTAAAACGTATTCATGGTCACCGGAAAATTTACGCATAGAACAAAATAATTATGCTCTCAAAACCTACAACACGTGTATAGACACGGCTAGCACAGAAGATAGTGATGACGCATCTAAAATGACATACTTCGTGAAAGATGTCCTGGGGGAAAACTCCAATTCGATTTCTTCATCGAGTGGGTACGAAAAAGGAGACACGAGAAAACGCAACAGGGAGCTCAGCGGTGAAGCAAAATTACATCATCTTTTAAATTCACGCAAAGAAATGCGTAGAGAATACATGCACAAAGGCGTTCATGGGGATGTAATGCAATGTATTAAAACGGACACACAAGAATCCTTCATTGACCTAATCGCACAGGGTAACATTTTCCCCACCATCAGACGCAGCAGGGACAAAAGTGGTGCCCTCCATCGTACTCTGCCCTCAAACGGTTACAACGGTTTGATGCAAAAGGGAGAAAAGTTATCCACAAGGAGACACACATCAAATTATTCCCGTTGTTCCCACCATTCCAATTTTTCCAATTCCTCCGACCAAGGTGAACTTGCTCCAAACAATAACACGCAGACGTGCGCCAGGAACGAACGCAAGGAGGCCTCCAAAGTGCGCAGCGTGTCGGAGAATGGCATCAACATGGAAGACATAAAAATTTTCACAGACGACGGATTCAACGATGAGTACAATCTGTTTTACAACTGGAACGAACTCAATAACGAAGTTAACCATGAAATGAACAAAACGGAAACTTATAAAAAAATATATTCCTCGAAAAAAAAAAGGAACAGTCTAAAGCTGTTCAAAGGAAATCTTAACAACTCACGCAGAAAACTCCATTTAAGTGAAGACATTTATGTCGATGGTGGTAGCTCACGGGTCAAGCAAAATAATAGCAATTCAACATTTTACAACAACACAAAGCGGATGCGAAGATCGGTCCCTATTGGGGATGGCAACTTGAGCAATTTTTACAGTTTAGAAAAAAGGGGCAAGGAAAATGCACACTCGTTGGCGAACGCGTTGGGAGAGGAAAACACACGGAAGAGGCCCAACGTGAAACGCGCGAACAATGTGTACAACTCCAGTTACGAACTGAAGAACAGCCCAGCGAAAAGAAGACACAAACAAAACAACAGCTCGTCTGTCATTTCATTCAATGAAAAAAAGTTTGGAGGAAACGACTTAACCATTACAAAAACTATGCCGCACTACGAATCGGTTCATATAAATTCTAACTTCTCTTTCGAATCCAAGTATACGGGAAGCTTGTGGCAAAAAAGGAAAAGTGGGGCATTTGGGGAGAGGACTAATCTAGAGGTTAGCACCGTGATTGACTCCCCCACTGGGAAGTATCACCCAAAGCAGGGCAGCTACTCGAAGTGGGGTGTAATGAAAAGCTCATCACGCAAAAGGAAAAAATCGCTAACTGGGGGACAAAGAGATACAAACCATTTGGCATCATACCTACCGCAGGATTCCCAAAATAATTTTGTTCACGAGTTAAAAAGAACACTAGCCGCAACAAATGCCCAAGCGAAGAAAAACCAAATGGGAAGCCACCCAAATAATAATGCTGACAACCAGGCGTCCAAAAAGAAGACCCACATAGACCCCAAAAAACTTACCAGCGCTATTCGAAATTTTAAAAATTACAAAAAAATGTCGCGTGACAATATGAAAGCGGTCCAAGTGAGACTGCCACCAAAAAACACAGACGCTAACAAATATAGACCTTTAACATTGCGGTACTCAGTGGACAATTTTTACAATGTTATAAATAGCGAAGACGACGCAAATGCGGATATGTTCATCCACAGGCGCGGTAAGTGAGGCCGCCGCAGTGGTTTGCGTAAGCAAGGAGGGAAAGAAGCGGAGTTCCCAAATGAAGTGGAAAAAGTGCACACACATGCATGCACCTATATACGCGCACCCATTATATACATGCACAGGATACATATAAATGTGCGCCTCTTTGTTCCCAACCCTTTGTGCACACTCCGTTGCGCATATCGCCCCAAGGTGGGCATCTACTTTTTTCGTCCTTTAAACCTCATTTGTGGGGGGGGAGGGAACTACTCTTTTCCATTTTGGCAATGCCTCACGAAAAAGGACACTTGTTTCGAAAGAACAAATTGTTTCAGTCATTTACACCCACCTGTTAATTTTTTTGCTCTTACTAATTTTTTTTTTCATCACAAAAAGAACGTAACGGCAACCATGTTGTGACAGCTCAACGTATTGCAAAATTGTAAACGCACTTGGGCATTTTTTCTGATTAGGAAAAAAAATGTTTAAATTGTCCTGTGTTCCACACAATGAAACGAAAAAAAAAAAAAAAAAAAAAAAAGCCATACACAAAAGCGCTGTTGTAGAAGAATGAGCAAACAAATTAAAATCAAACAACCAACAAGTGTTGCCTTAGCGTGCGCGCTTAATATGAGAGACTCACTCAAAAAGCATGTCACCAACTCGTTTGAAAGCGTCGCGTTTTCACTTTTGAAAAAAGGCACTCTGTTGGTATGTCCATGTGGAGGAGACCATGCAACGGTGATATGTCAGATGATACCATTTTAAAAGACGGACGGCGAACACACACATTCAGGGGGGTAGCACAAAAATGTAACCCAGGTCAAATTTGAAATTTTTCTAGTTTAAGATGTAAGGCAGCATGATGATGGAGTTCTTATCAATGCTAATGTCCACAAACAAGTTTCCTTTATTTGCAGGGATGGCCAAAATTTGCTTATTCCTATTGAGGGTTAACAGAATGTTGGGGGAATGTTTCGTCAGCTTTGCCGTCTGCCTAATGGTCTCTTTCGTGATGTTATTTATTTTGGACTTATCGACTTTTATGAGATCCAGGATGGCATCACTCTTCACCCAAATGGTGTTTACTTCACTCTGCACTTGTTGATGGTCCACGATGGGCTCGTCTTTGTTCTGTACGCTGGCATTGTTTTGGTCCTCTTTTGCGTCGCCTTCCTTCTTCACTTCAGCTTGTCCTCCATCCTCCTCCACTTTGTGTTCGTTTTCATTATCCGCCTTATCTTCCTTCTTCACACTGACCTTATCGTCCGCTTCTCCTGCCGCCTTCGCCTTGGCCGCACTTTTAGACTGGGTGCTCTTCCGCTCGCCGATCAGCTGATCCATGTAGCTTTCAAAGTCAAACACCCTCTGCTCATTCTCATAAACAGGAGCATAATAACTTTTGATAATCTCCTCCCTACATGTCTTCTCCAGCAAAAATGTATCAACGTCTTTAAAGAAGGGCAAGAAATTCAGACACCCGCTGTAGTTTATCCGGTAGTAGTTTTCCACTCCGTTCTTTTTATTCTTATCTATCTGGATAACGGTTATCCCCGCGCTGATAATCTTTAGTTTTATTTTTGTGTAGCACTCTAGGATATCCTTCGTGTGTTTGCTGACCAAATTTATCTTTTTGATGTTCACATTGATTCTGTCGTCGATCGATAATTTTGCAAAGTTCGAGTCATCCTTGAGATGAATATATAAATTATTTTTAATGGACATAAAGTTGTCATTTAAGTTGAAATAATTTTTTATTCTGTTTAAAAGGTCGTGCGTTGGACGCAGCTTTTCGTAGTACTCCAGGCTCACGTACTCTTGTTGCTTTGTCATTTTTCGCTCCTTCGGCTGGCTTGCTCCCACTTCCGCCTCGCTTTGCGAATCATTGTTCGAATCATTTTCCACCCCATGTTGTTCTTCCCCTTCGCTCCCCATTTTGTACTCCCATGTGCGGCCGACCTCGCCACCCATGTAACTGTGCAGCGCCTCCTCACTCTTCTTATTAATGAGACTTATTACATCCTCCTTGTGTTTTCCACTGGGCTGGAAACTCCTCACCATATCGTCACTGTCTATCATGTTATAATTATTACTCAGGTCGTCATTGTCAATCAGGTTGAACTTCTTAGTAACTTCGTTGCTCGTGACAACGTTGTAGCTGGTCATCATATCATCCATGTCGATTACGTTGTAATTATCTTCCACATCGTTTTGGTCCACCCTCTGTGCATTGTTGCTCATCATGCGTAGGTTACTGTCTAAGGAGGATATTTTCCCATGACTATTTTGCCTGACCTGTTTGTGAACATAATCAGAAATGTAAACAACACCATCCATCGATTCGGCACTTCCATTTTGTTCAGTACATTTTTGATTTACCTCATGGGAGGGAATAATGTCACCATTTTTTTCCTTGTCCTTTTTTTTGCTTCCCTTTTTATGTCTTCTATATTTGTACTTTTTCCTGTACTCGTCCTTATCAGCCTTCTTCAATTTCGTGTAAATTTTTTTTTTTTTTTTTTTTTCTTCCTTCCACTGGAGCTTTCCGCACTTTTTAATAACTGCTATGAAGAAACCCCCCGCGTTGTAATGATGAGGAAAAAATCGCTTCACGTATTTCAAGTTAATCTCATTGATAAATTCCTGTTCCGGAGTAAACATCCCATTTTGTATTTTGTCATAAATTTTTTTATATTTCCCATGTTCCTTATTTTGTAAATAATTACAATACTGTTCATATGTATCAAACCACTGATCGTCCATCATCACTTTCCATTCAGTTAGCCCTTCTTTAAAATTTAATTTGTCTATAAGTTCGTTCCCAAAATTGATTAATTTGAGGCAGTCCCTATTTTCTACAGAATTGAAAACTTCACAAATGACGGCCTCATTTTCAATCGGGTTTAGGGAACATGTGCTGTACACAATGTTCCCACCTTCCTTGGCCAATTCGATAGACCTTTTTAAAATGCTGACTTGCATTTGAAATAAATTGTAGGCATTAAATGGGTTCCAATTTAACCAGATATTTCTGTCTTTTCGTAGAGTCCCATCGCCACTGCACGGGACGTCACACAAAACAGAATCGAAGTACCTCTTCTCATTTGTATTTCCCTCATCATCCTTAACGTAAATATAAGGAAAGTTAATCGCGTTGTTGTTTGTTACCACTAGACAATTGCTGTGTATATTTTTTAGCCGATGGAACAACATGCAACACCTCTTAAAGTTCGCGTCATTCGCGATGACGACTCCGGTAGGGTTGCTGTTAGAAATCAATTTCTTGTAGTGCCCGTACAAATGGTTATCTGCGTTGAGGATATACTTAAACAGTTCATCGTCGTATTCATTGCCGTCTAGCGCGTCGTGCAGGCTTTTGTACAGCTGGTTTTTCTCCGCAGATGGGTGATTTTCATGACTGCTGTTCAGGCGGACGCCACTTTCACTACTATCCTTCCCACATTCGATGTTATCATCCCCACTGACGCTTCTATCGTCTTCCATTAAATTGGCGTTCTCTTCCCCTTCGGACCTGTGCACACCCCCAAGGGATCCGCACGCGGGGGATGAATTCCTCTGAATAAATTGCCGAATCAAATAATGTTTCACATTCCTTTTGCTAATGAGATGCATGTAATCCACAATCTGAGCCGTCTTAGAGCCAGGAGCTGCACACATGTCTAGAACAAAAAAATTCTCTTTCAACTTCAGAAACAACACTGGCAGCATGCTCACCAGCTCTTGTCTAAATATGTATCCGCTCTCATTTAAGTTTATTAAATAGTTGTACAAATTTTTATAATTTTCATCTTTCTTAATTTGGGCCCTCGTCAGGTATATCTCATATATTTGGTCCTCTTCATTCAACTTCGTAATTGCATAGTTGTTCTTGCAAAGATGTTCCAATTTCTGGTTTATATTTTCGTGAATAAATTTGCTGTACTTGTTGTTGTTCAGAACGCGAAATGTGATTGGTAATTCTGTGTTTATAACTGTCATAAAATTATCCACCTCATTTTCGCTAATTATTTTTTGATGGATGTAATAGTTAAAGAAGTTTTCATTTTTCTGTAGTAGGTTGGTGTTGTCGTAGTATGGGACCTCTTCCTTGGTCGACATGGTTGCTTCCACTGGGGGTGGTGATGGGTAGACGTGAAGTCTTCTTTTGTGCGCAGTTTTGAGCGTTTCTTTTATTTTTTTTTTCTTTTCCTTTATTGCCTCGCTTAACTGGCCTAGCTATTATGATGCACAAATGGGGGGCGCAACGATTTCCCTTTAACTCGGCCTGCAAGCCTTTCGCTCAACCGTTGTTACGGTCTCGTATCAAATTTTGTAAACCTCTGTTTGGCAGAAGAACAGCATTATTTGGCTGGTTCTGCAGGGTTGCGACTTTTGCAGGGTCCAAGGTTTTGCATTATTATGGTTCGCTTTATTTTGCTCTGCCTTACTTTGATTTATTTTTCTTTGTTCCCCTTCTATAATCCTTCTGCCAAATTATGCCACTTACCCGTACCAAGTGGCACTTTTACAATACAATTTACAGGTCGCGTGTTGCCCCCTTTTGACGAATTGTAGTTTTTGTTCCTCTTCGTAGGTGCGCCTTCCTGACAGTGCCATTTACCTCACTTTGGCTATCTCAAAATGTGATTTATTTAATGCACAAAAGTCCTACTAATGATGCTTATTATGCCCCGCGCCCTTAATTTTTTTTTTTTTTTTTTTTTTCCAATTTTGCAAACACGGTGCGGTGTAAATCTGTACATTCCCTGCATACCAACTTGTGAGAAGTGGTTAAGTGGCGAGGAAGACTGAACAGGCTACATAACTGTTTTATTTATCTGTATTTTTTTATTTTATTTCACTTTATTATTTATTTCTTTTCTTTTTAACCCGTTTGAGAATGAGAAATAAATTTCTTGCGCCGTTGTTCCTCCCCACATGGAAGGGGAACAGTCGTTTTCATCGTCGCATAACATATTGGCTAATCACCAAATCGGTTGAAGTTAAATGCCTTTTTTTTTTGGCTCTTGTCGCCAAGTTGAAATATAATAATGTTGACTCTGTCGGCTGATCATTTTGGGCATATCCATCTTCGTCTCTATAAAAAGATGCAGCGCCCCGTTATTTGTGTTTGCAAAACAGAACTACGGTTGCGTATGCCAATAGATTTGGCCTGTGCTGCGCGTGTGAACATTTGGGATATTCCCGTTCAGTACCTACGCTCCCTACCTATGACGTAACTAGGCCGCCATTCTAAATATGCACACGTAGCTGGTACATGAAAACGATGAAAGCAGTGTTCGAATGTTCAAGGACGGTAGTAGTTTCGTAACAGCACAGTTGGAAACTGCTTTAAATGACCAAAAGGAAAGAAAAAAAGAAAAAATCACTTCCGTGTTATCAGTTTGGTGCAGTTTGTCCCAATTGTATGGATAAAAAAAATCACGAATCGAATTGGACAAATGACATAAAAAGCACATCATTGAAGATTACTATGCCTTCTTTTATTAATTCTTAAAAATTAGCAATGCAGGGGGAATACACACCCGTCTAATTACACCAAGTAGCATTTTTTTTTTTTTTTTTTGTCCTTCTGTTTTGTTCGATCGTATGCCCACATATCAACGTGTCTAAAAGGTACGTCGAGTATTTCTGCATTTTGGAAGGGGGCAAAAAGTGCCAGCGGAGATTTCTCTACCGCGACCTCTATGACATCCGGTTAAGCAGTTAAAAAAAGAAATGTATGCACGTTTACACACATAGGAAAGTGCCATGTGAACGCCGCCTACCGAGCGGACATAGCGAAACGTTCATACTTTTACGCGTCAACGTTTCTCCTTCAAAAATGGAGAATATGTTTAAGTAGCGCCTATTTCTGCTAAAAGGGTTGAACAAACAATTTTTTCGCATGCGTTGGTTATGCTCATTTGTAATAACCAAAGGCATACCATGGTGTAAAGAGAAAAAGTAGGAAAAAATATAACATAAGGGAAGAAAAAGTATTGGGAGATTTATTTCCTTTTAGAATTAAAACTTCCCCCATTTGTTTCATCACGAGCACCTTTATCTTTCAATTTTTGGATAACAATGTCCTGTATGCCAAATGTCTGCAACTCGGTTACGCAGCATTTCGCCTTTTTTTTGGCCAGCCCCTTTCGTATGTTTTTTTTTTTTTCTTTTCCCTGCAAGATATTTGTACACATTTTGTGAACAATTTGGGTAAACTTTTCGTTACATTTTGAGTACAAGTTGTTTATATTATGAGTCCCCCTGGCGCATGTTTGAAAATTGAACTTGTTGCCCCTCGTGCATTTCTCGCCTGCCTGCACAGTGTTTTAACACCCACTCGCCCAATGCTGATATGCTACAGTTAAAATAATGAGGGCGCCACTACATACCTCAGGGACAAAAAATGCCAAATGTCAAGGGAAGTGTGTACTTGAATGCGAACAGGCAAAAAAAACAAAAGAAAAAACAAAATTAACATCGTGCAATATATGTGGAAAAAAAAAAAAAAAGTTCAAAAATGCAATTATGTACATATATAAAACGTTGCATACTTATATGTCACAAGTTAAATGCCGTGCGCTATGTGTTTGCGAACAACCAGAACATGCTAACACGAGGAGGCAACCCATTTTGAGCAAATCTAAAAAAAAAAAAAAAAAAAAAAAAAATTATAAGAGAGAGAAATTCTCCAGGACGCTTTTGTGAGAGCATAAGGATACACTTTTTTTTTTTTTTTTTTTTTTTTTTCCCCTATCATTTGAATGAAAACTTGGCAATTTTTTTTTTTTTTTTTTAGCGTTAGTGTAGTACTCGTTACACGTATTCTTCTTTATGTCCATGAAAAGTAATATATATATATATACTTTTTTTTTTTTTTTGTTAGTAGTTGCATCCAACGCAGTAGTTAAAACAGTAATGTGCGTGTGTAAATAGCGCATGTGAATGTCTATCGCGCCGTGCATTATTACACCCATGTACACATATGAACGTTAGCACCCCTGTGGGAAAAGGGGTATTTTGTCCATTTGGCAGAGTTGGCCCTGAGTGTACACTGTATTGTGTAGTGCGCTCAGTTGTCGTCACTGCGCGAATGCACCCTTGTATTTTTTATAAAGCATAAAACACAGTACCTCTTTTTCCATAACAGCAGTGTGTACAGTAGCACATCATATCAGAGGATACCTCCCCTCACCCTGTCCTATGTTTGTTTCGCTGCACCCCCTTTGACCAAGATGAGGGACAAGGAGGAGATTGCAACGAGCAGGGGGTCTTCCTGTCCAAAGCAGGCAGACTGGAGTCGAATCAATTTTACCTTCCTAGTATTTGTACTGGGAATCAAAACGGTGTTTTGCATTTTACTATTTCTATACCACCATGTGTTGCTGTTTTTTATATTCTTCATGTCCACAGTCATTTCGCTGTACTCACTGCTTGTAAACACCTTCAAGGCATTAGCCCTATACATAGTCATTTTAACGTCCATCCTAACATCGATCCTGTTGTCCTTATTTAATATCATACAAGTAGAGTATATATCTAACGTTTTTAAAGAGGTGGTTCTCTCCACCGTGTCATATTCTGTGTTACCTTTGTTCATATTAGAATTCTTTGTAGCGATTATTTACACATGCTTGAAGAGGAGAAAAAAAGGATACATCCAAAAAAGTTTAAGGGAATTAAAAATAATCGTCGATGGAAGCAAAAACAAGGACAAAGAAGAACATCTCTTGTCGCTGAAAATCGATTTGGAGAAAAATGAACTAAACACATGTGACAAGACGTATAAGTACTACTTGACTAATTATAAAAACAAGAAATACATTTGCATTGAGAAGAAGACTGATTATTCAAGTGGCGAGGAGGATCGAAGCTCCCATCACATTGGAAACGACTACACCGATTACAATGACATTTCGTCCAAGTACTCAACTTTGAAGAATCAGCAAAGCAGCAATGGTAAAAAAGCCTTCCATGCGGGAAAAAACGCACATAAAGGATCCCATAAAAGTGACTCCCTGTCCTACTACCACGTCAGTGAGGATTTAAGTTTTATGCATTCGGGAATTAAAAAATATGCGAAAAAGAACGAAAAAAATAATGCGAAAAAGAAAAAGTCTGGAGGAAAGGGGAAAGCGGCAGGGGACACCCATACTGTTGGTAGTTGTGGTGATGGTAGCCACATGCACAGTGCGAGCCCCCACACGAAGGGTAGGAAGAGCCAATGGAGCAATGACAAGCATAGCATTACTGATAAGGACTACAACAACTTGGATAATAATGAAAGGGAAGATGAGGAAGAAGGCACATCCATTATTTCACAAGAGTTCCCATCCGAAATGCATTTCCTTACGCAGCAGGTCGAACGACGTAATAGCAATACCAGGTCTAACGGCGTGATGGACACTCTACAAAATCACGCACCAGATCAGAGAGAGAATTCCAAAAAGGATTCCTCGGAATATATAAAAAATTCATTTTCATTGGATAATTACGAAGAAGTAAATCATATAATTGAAAAATTTATCGAAAAGAACAAGGGAGGGGGTACTCCAAGTGTAGATCTCACGTGTGACCTCACCAAAAAGACTGAAAAACAGAATGACGCACAGGCTACTGAACAGAAGATGGACGAAGTAGACACGGGAAGTAGAAGCATGCAGATGAATGACAGCCTCGCACAGAAAGTGGTGCCACAGGATGAGACCACACTGGGAGCAGTCCACCTTACCCCCTTACAAGAGGTATGCAATCAGGTGGAAAAAACGCATGTAAAAAATGACGAAGAAAAAGAGGACCATCTTTTGAGCCACATGACCTCCCAGGTAGAGGAAGAATTGATAAAAATTATTACAAATCAGACGCGTCATCAGCCGGGAGGAATTTACGCAGAATGCACAGCGGAGGAAAAGGACTCTGGTCAATTTGCTGACATAGAAGATCATCATATTGACATAGTCGCAAAGTTCGAAGCACAGAAAAATAACCAGGGGTACGAACTTCATTCAAATGCGAGTAAGATGGAGGCGAACCAAAAAAAACAATCGCATGGCGTAGAACTAGACCCAAGTGACATACCTAACAAGAATAATAATCCTCTATTATGTGTCCCAGCCAACATGGAGCAAGAAACAAAACAAGTGGGTGGAACCAATGAGAAGGAACTGTTGATGAGTGAACAGAAAAATTCCCAAAGTGAGGTGACACCCGTAATTAGCCCCAAAAATCAAGCGGGTAAACACACAGAACAAGTAGAGGTTACGCATGATGGAGATTCCTACACGGATGTGCAGGTCCAGATAGAACAAGAAATTAAAGAGCAGCCGGAGGATCAGTCAGAACAACAATGGAATGAGCTTCCCACGGAGCAGCCGTCCGAATTGCCGTCCTATTTACCCGCAAAACTTCCATCCGGGGAACCATCCCAGTTACACATAGAAGAGCTCGCAGACACCCCAAGCCCTGCTTTATCAAACATGCCAAACGACAAAGAAGGAAAGGACGATGGAGATGAAGACAAGGGGGACAATCAGAGTGACAACACCTCGGAGTCGAAAAAAACACATGAAGGTGAGAAACAGGTGAGAAATGTTCTCTGTACCAATTTAGAGGAGACCAATCTCCTAAGGAGTGCAAGTTACGTCGTAGATACAAAGCAATGGATAAAGCTAGAAAAAAAAGACATAGAAATGTTGAAGCAATCTGTTAACATCAACAACATTGAACACATACCAATTGATGATTTTTACACAAAAAATATAAAAGAACGTGGTGCTAATCTGTTCTCCTACTCCATTGATTCGAGTAACATGTCTGAATTTCTCAAAATCGGGGTGGATCAAATGGCATATTCTAGCTGGGGTGCACAACAGGAGGAGAGTCTAACCAGCAGTAACGACATATGCAAAAAAATAAATTTCGCAAATTTGGAAAATAAGAAAAATAATTATGTCACCCTTTTTGATGATGGAGTTATCCCCCGAGGGGGCCTCAACGAAAAGGAAAAGGTCACCGAATTGTTGAACCTCCAACAGAGTGTGACCTCCCATTTGGACTATAACAAAATGGATTCAGTGCACCAATCTTCTCATGTGGGAGGAGCTAATCAAACGGGTGAAAAAAACCTATCGAATGGCTTTCAATCTGGTGAGGATTCCAATCAGAAATGGAGTCAAAAAGAGGAGCTCGATCATGGAGAAGGACAAAAGTCTAATGAAAAAGGCCCATATGCATCAGTACAAATGCACAACAGTAGTAACACCCTCAGTTCCAACTTGTACACAACGGAACAGGGGGAGTATAAGAATTACGAGGAGGTCTCCAAGGACAACTCGAACAATGCAGATGCCTTTGTAAACAATGGCATGTATGGAGAGAAGAGCGAAATGGGCAAAAGTAACATGAGCGATGAACTTCCCCCAAATAGCTTCGACAACACAAACGATAATGTCATTCTTACTTACAGCAGTTATAATGATGACATGCAGAGTGTGCCAAATAGTCATCTCATTGTCGTCAAAGAGGAACATTTCACGAAGGAGTCAGAGAACTCGACAAGCATCTTAAATGGGGAGAGAAACCCGAGCAGCGGTAACACCAATGAACCTCCCAAATGTATGGATGATAAAGATACAAATAAAGAACAAAAAGACACACAGAACATTTGCAGTAATGACATGTGCGAAACGACCTCCATATTTAAACAACGGAAATCCTTCTTCGAGAATTTAAAAAAAGACAAGCCGTTGAGCAGTCACCCCGCAAAAATGTTGCTTAGCAATGAAAGGAACGTCCTCAAAAAAGTCACCGACAAAACTGATGGAGATGTCAGCAGAATGGTGAGCGCGAAGAGTGAAGGAGATGTCCTCAATTCCAACTCGTCCATAAATCAATATAAAAAAGAGAATATCCCAATAGAAGAATCAAATGTCAATAGTTCCACCCCAGAAGGAGAACACAACGAAACAAACACAGAAACTCCTCTAGAAAAATTTGCACAATTAAAGAAAGCGAAAAATATAAGTCACAATTTTTACATCATAAATGACAAACTGAAGAGCAGCGGAAAGGAAAAGAAGGATACGTCTGCTATGGGTATATCGCCAAATGAGCAGCTAACACCCTCAAACGAGCTGCCAGGTAGCAGTACATCCCATCTACCCAACCAGGTTAAGGAAAACGAAATGGAAAAAATGGAAAAAATAGAAAACACCGACGAGGTGGGAAAAGAAGAAAGCATGAACGAAATGACCAACACTGAGAGTAAGCAAAAAATCACACAACATTTTGTCATTTACGATCAAAGTGATTTGGCAGAGCCCAGTTCAAATCTGGATGAAGGGACACCAACCATGGGGGAGACACACAACTTGGGAAAAAAAAAAAAAATTGAAGGAACCATACCCAACACAGTAATAACCGTGAACAACTACACTATTAATTCGAGTGTTGGTGTACATATAATAGACGGCAAAAAAACTATGTTCACTTCAGCTACACAACTAAGTAAAGATAGTTTCATGAATTTGGGAAAAGCAGAAAAAATTATTCACGATGTAAAAACTGAAGGTAGTTATCATGACATATGTCTCCATAGCCAAGTTCAGGAGGTTCCCACGTTTGGCAGCAGTGAAGAACCCAACTTCCAGTATAGGAAAAAAAAATTCACAGAATTGAAAAAGAAAACCACTCCTATGAACAGCAATCCTTTGAATGACACCCCCACTGCGGAAGTTACAAACTCAATGCTGCATGCATTCGCGGACATTAACTCAGACGATACGAAGGGAGTATTGCCCAGTGAACACATGCAAAGCGAACTCGTGTCGAGCCAGGTGATGAACTCGGAAGCGTGCCCCTACTCCGCAGATTTGTTGCCTTCTGCTGATAACTCGTTTCTCGTAGGATCTACAGAGATGGACAACTTTAAGGACGATTTTTTTAATATGAATTCCTGCGACAGCAGCGTAATGTATAGGGACTTCATGGACGCAATGAATCCGGGGGGACAACCGGAGGTGGAACAGGCGGAAGAGGCAGAAGTGGAAGAGGTAGAAATTGAAGAGGTACAACTGGAAGATGTAGACATGGAATATTTAGAAGTGGATGAAGTTCCAGAACTAGTAGAAGTTCTTTCTGAGCCAATGGAAGCCGCATCCAAGTCAGAGGAGGCGCCCCACGAACAGGCAGGTAATAACCTCCCACATGAAACATTACACTCCGCAGAGGAAGACGCAAATCTGGAGAGCGAAAATATCCACTTGTTGGACGATTTACCCACACAAAAGACACATCTGAAAATGGAAAAAACAAACACTATGGGGAATGCGAACCCTAGCTGTGACGTATCATCCGGTGTGCACACAGATAAGCATGAAGCGGGCGACACAAATGACACAATTGATCATTTGAAAGAGGACCAATCACCCGACACTGCAACGGACATGAAGGAAAATTACACAAAGGAAATGTGCACAAAGAATGGCGCAGAGGAGCAACCCTTTAGTGATGACAAGGCAGAGGGTGAAGAGAAGCCGAACGAGGAGTTAAGCGCGGAGCCAACATTGCAAGAGGAACTCACAGCAAAGGACAACTTCGAAGGGGACGAAACACAGCCAAGTTACCCACATGAAGAGGACACTCCACTGGGTGACGCAGCTATATATGAATGTAACGAAATTCCTCCCATAGAAGAGAAAAAAGAGGACATCACATCATCGCCCACAGAACAAGCGATAGACAATTTAGAAAATGTAATCGAGCCTCCCATGGTAGAAGCAAGCACCGGGGGTGGCGAACCGAAGGAAGAAGTGCCCCCACATGAAGAAACCAGTGGTGATGGCATTGTTGGCCATAATAACGATATGCATGCGTCTGGGAAGGTAAAACCGGGGATGAGCGAAAGTCGAGCTTCATCCAACGTTAACCACGAAAGGGCTAAGAATTATAAAAATAGAAAAAACAATAAATGGAGGCATAAAAGAAGATAAGCATTCACGTTTCTAACTGGGTGTAGAAATGGGGAGCAATCTGCTGGGCTCATGTTAACATGTGTTAGTATTCCACAGGGGAGTTAAGAAAAAAGTGAATCGCAGCATGTCACTCGGCAAGGAATACCCAAATAAAAAAAACGGCATATTAATTATATCACTTCGGAGTTATTAAGAAAACAAAAAAAAAAAAAAAAAAAACAGCTATATATGTAATGCTTAAGGGTGAAGCCTAATAACACCGATGACATTCTTTAGACATTTTTTGTTTTCCCCCTTTTGGTTCTTCCAACCTGGCTGATGGTTCACCATGGCGCAACATAGCCTTTGCGCAAACAGTCTCAGTCAGCTAGTCTTAAAAGTTTTTTTTTTTTTTTATAACTTTTTTATTTTATAATTATATATATTTTTTGTTAAACACTGGAATATTATTTTATTCCTCATAACTATTTTTACAGTTTTATTTTTTGTCACATTTGGAAAATGAGGCACTTTACGCGAAAGTGCACCCATATGTGTGTCTGCACTATAGGCGAGAAAGCACAGCGGTTGTAGAGGACCACTTTCGCATAAGTACGAGTACCCAATGTTTTGGGGAACCAATATGCTCGCATACTTGTTGCCCTAGGGCAGCCTCACACAGGTGGGGACATTTCTACATGCTGTTCCCGAGTCACATTTAAAAAAAGGCTTAAAATGGGGTGATTATAGGGGGTGCCGAACGGGGGCGAAGGCACGAATGCGGCTATTGTACACACCGTGATATGTGCACTCCTCCATGACCAATAAGTACTTCTCGATTATGTAAAATTTGCGCCACTGGAACAATCATCCTGAAAAAAGACGTGCAGAGTTTAGGCCTCTCGCGCAATTGTACAGCTACCGATGGTAGAATTTTCCCTGCGCTTTTGTAAATCCTCTCAAGAATTACCGTATGTGCTCGAAGCTGCCCCACATGTGTATTTGAACACGAAGTTGTGATTCGCCAAATTTTGTTTTTACGCTTCCCTCATGGTCCCGTGAACGTGAAAAGGCTGCAGCATTTCTGCGAAGCATTATTCGTGTGTATTTATTAGTGCATTCATTAGTACACTCCTGTATGCTTTTTTTTTTTTTTTTTTTTTTTCCATTCAGTGCATACATTAATGTGTTTGTATTTCTGTGACCAATATCGTGCGTGAAGGACGACGCCAATTGAGAATTTCCACCGCAGGGTATGCACAAATTGTGACGCTTGTAGGCTAATTATTTTTGTTCACTACGCACTTTACGGTGCCTCGCATTCTGTGTGCCCCTCATTTTATGTACCTCGCTTTTTTTTTTTTTTTTTTTGGTCACCTATTTCAAAAATCCAGTTGCGCGAACGACGTTTGCCACACTTCAGCACATTGTTAAACGCGCCATTCGATCTTTTGTTTAACATTTTGTGGTGAACTCATTACGTGATTGCGTTGCTATTGGTTTGTCACCCCCTTTTCTTTTTTTTTTTTTTTTTTTTTTGCAATCCTTACGTATTGTGTAGCAGGGGGGATATATATATATTTTTTTTTTTCTAAATGGATACATTTGACATCATTTTTGAGAGAACATCCTTCTCTGCACTTCGTTCCGCATTGTTTTAAAGGGACACGTACCATTCGAAGTTCACACTTGTTTGAAGGTGAACTCCTTCACCTCCCTCCCCTCTGTTGGCACGACGAAGCAGCGAAGGGCGCGGGGGGAGGACCTCTCTTCCGCGAGAAACACGTTAAAAGGTGTTTCACCAGTTTGTAGTTTCTGAATTATTTTTCTTTTCACCCCAACATTTTAACAACTGCCCCACCATGGAACTAGAACACTTCGACATCGGTATAAACCGAGTGGAGCTGAGAGACGAGAAGGTGTACTACGTCATCCTAGTTCAGTACAAAGATCTCAAGTATGAAACCAGTAAAAGGTATAGCGAGTTTGAAGAGCTCCACTGGGAGCTACTCCATATGGGTTTTTCATCCCTGCCAAATTTACCCAAGAAAAAATTAATGTCCTACAAAAACACAGAATATATAAACTACAGAAAGAAGGTACTAAATTCTTACATGCACAATTTATTTATCCGGGCGGATGTAAGATGTTGTGCTTTGTTTCTAAATTTTATTTTATTTTACGACAAAATTAATTTGTCCGTTGAAGTCGTAAAAACCAAGCTTCTAAACAGCATAGGATCACAAAAATTTTCCATGAGCGATTTGTACATCAACGAAAAATACAATTTTATCATTTGTGTATATGAAGATAAGAGTAATTTGAGCAAGTTGGGAAAATTGTGGTCTATTATTGAGCCAGACATAGTGGGGGAAATAAAAGTCTTCACTTATAATAACGATTTGACATCCACCTTTTGCGAAACGTACAAAGAACAAACCGTATATAAGGCTAGAAACATCGTGTGTGCAGAATCACAAAATGAAGTTATTATATCAGGGGATGATGGAAAAATACACATTTATAAAATTGACACACAGTTACTAACCCTAACTTATATAAAAAATATTCCTTGCCATAATGACACCATTTTAAAAATGATGAATTTCAATGGTGACTTATTTTGTACCTGCGGTTATGATAACGCCTTCAGATTGTTCCGATTTGGTGATTATAAAATTCTGAGTGGAGGACGATGCAATAAACGTTTGGACAAGGATAAAATTACTACATGTCACCTCCTCAACTATAGTAATATTGTCCTTGGAACCGACTGTTCTGTTTTTTTTATTTACAATATGATGACCAATCCTCCCCTTTACCTAGACACCAAGAAACTCAAAAATGGAGAAAAAATTAACTGCTTTGCAAACACGGATAAGTACCTATTTATAGGTTACGATAATATCATTGCGTGTTACAATTACCATTATAACAGTGAGGCAAAAAGGGGAGGATGCCTAACCCTAAATGAGACCTCAGAATGTATGCCTTACCAGGACCCACCTGTCGGTAGCTACACCGATACGCAAAATAATGAAAAGCAGCCTCACCTCACCAAACTGGTAGTAGATAATAACATGTCGGCACAGTACGTCCCGCCGTTGCTCTACGATAATACTGTCCTTTCCCTAAGTGTTAACAAAGAGAAAAAAGTACTCTACGCAGGGTATGAAGACGCAATTGTTATTTGGTCCATAACGAGTGGTCTGATCATTTCAGCTTTCCATGGGCATACAAACGGAGTGCACTTTTTAAATTTTCTAAGCAGTTCAGGTTTCTTAATCTCAGGGGGAGACGGGGGAAATTTAAAAGTATGGAAAAATGACATAGATAATTTTCAAATATGGAAACCGAAGAGGAAGAATTACCAAACCAACGAATCGGTAGGGATTACCCCGCAAGCAGTATACGCCGAATCGGCCAACTACAAAAACAGTCAGCATAACAATTTCACATTTAATGAGAGCGAAGATGGTGACGACCCTGATAACAGAAGCAATGCGCAAAGTGAGTCCATGTGTATTGACCACTTGTTAGGAGAAACGAACAAAAAATACGAATACCAAGTGTATGATACGTCAAACTACAAGAAAGACCTAATTAACTACAATGCATCAACACATATAAACAGTGCTAACTCTTCAAGAAGTAATATTTTTTATGATAAAAGTGTGAGTAATGTGCCTCAGGAGTTTGTGTCTGATGCGAGCAACCTGGATGTGTGTATACTCACAAACCTGGAAGACAAAGGACGAAGCGGTAGCTACGACTATAACGTTGATGCAAATTTTAACAAATCAGATAACTCCTTTCATGCACCACTTTATGACCAAGACTCTCAACAGAATAATGCGGATTACTGCGTAGTAAACGAGGATGTAAAGTTCGACCATGGTGGGCAACATGAGGAGCGGTACCAGCATGATCAGTGTAACGTGCGTGATCAAAACGATTACGGCGTGCCTCCCATTGCTCGACATGAATACGAAGCCTCCTACGAGAAGGGGGGCTCGCAGGGTAAGATAGAACAGGATGATTATCACCATAGGGATGGTCACCATAGCGTTGCGCACCAGATGGATGTGCATGAAGCAAATTACAATAACGCCACTGACCCTCAAGCGCAACACAACTACGACGGGGTGGCACCTAATTCGATGGATATGAATCACAATGAGGACGACCAGTTCAGTAACATAAAGAGGGATATCGTTTACGTCAGTGACGAGGACGATGATTTGATTTCAGCCTTTAGGTAATCTCTTTTTTCTTTTTTTTTTTTTTTTAAGTTCATTTTTGCCTTCCCCGCTTTTGTGTGAAACTCGCGCCACGTGTGCACCAGTTGTCTGCCCCTGTTAGGGCCAATTTTGTTCCACCTTCGCACCTGCTGCGTCACGCGGCTGCGTCTTTTCTCCTTTTTTGTTTTTTTTTGTTTTGTGTGTGATAATATGTGCCCCTCATGAGCGTTGGTGTCAATTTCTTTTGTGAGCATCCAACCCTCTTCATCACAACGCCTGAGGAACTTGCGCCGCACGCTTAGCACCTTCTTCCCCGTGTGGGGAGCTGTGCCCATGCGCGCGCTATTATCGGAGGTGTAAACATTTGCAAAGACAGTCCCGTGCATCCGCTTCTCTGTCTCTCTCAATCCTGCCTTTTTCAAAATGTTAACACACCATTGCAACGACCATTTGCAGACCAGAAAAAGGCAACTTTCAAAAAATAAATATATTTTTTACAAAATTTTACTGAAATCAAGTTTTTGGAGAAAAAAAATTACAAAAACATAGGGTATACTAAAAAAAAAAGAAACGGTATTTGGTACGGGAGGGTGTAAAATGTGATTGGTAAATCTTCACAAAAAAAATCGGAAGTGCCTAAGCCACCGATTTGTGGCCTAAACACACAAAGGGAAAGTTATGGGGAAACAAAAGACAAAAACTGAGCAATTTATTGAGTGGAAACCACAAATGAGCTTGGACCAGGTAGTGCTAAGCAACCCGTTCGAATTTAAAAAATTAGAAACAAGTGGGAAACATTTTCAAAAAAATGAAAGTAGCAACCGTTCTGCCAACATGTGAGAGGGAATACACTCTCGCTGCTTGCAAGTCACAATTGCTGTCGCGGCATGGTCAGGCGAAAATTTTGTTTTCCAAAATTTCGGAAACGCTACTATACTGATCGTCGAGGTCGAGCGATAAAGACCGCTTCAAAATCTCAATCAGGTAAATATTTTTGGCATTGATTTTGATCTGATTAAAGTCTATTTTGATGTTCCGTAATTTCTCAATTTCCTTCAAATTGTTGTCCAACAGGCAACTATTTTTGCAAAAATAAATATTATTGTGCATTAGGTGTACGTCCATTAATTTTACAAAATAAGTGCACGTTATGTTATGGAACAGAAAGGAAAAAGGAATCACAATGTCCTTATTTTTATTAATCACTTCATTGTGCCATTTGTTGATACCTTTTTCTTCAAACAAGTAGGGGAAATTCTTAAAAAGAATTAAAAAAATAGTAACTCCAATGCTATATATGTCTGTCTTTATACTATATATTCCCTTCAAGCAGTACGGAGACATGTATTCCTTCGTCCCAATAATCAGATCATTGTAAATCACTTTGTCTCCTTCGTTAATGAACGTCTTTTCCGTGTTGCCTGTGCATGCAGATAAGAATCTATTCTCTATCTGATTTATATAATTGTAATTAAAGGAGGTCGTTTTTTTGTTGGTCTTGTGAATCTTTATATAACTATCAGAGTAGGGAGGGTACATGACACAATTTTTTCGGTCCTCATTATTTCCCATGATTTTGTTGATGTATGTGTTATTCGAGTAGAAGTTGTTCGTCAGGAATTGGCTCCTGCGCAGCACATTGTCCTCCCTCTTTGCGACGTCCTCGCTCGCGATATATTCGCAGTTGCATGAGCTTTTTGGAAGGGCCTCGTTCACTTCCACGGAATTGGCGTGTACGCTGTTTGGGGCGAAGCTAGGTTTGGTCAAGCTGCGATTGGTGGAATATGTTTTGTCGCAGTCCCCTTTGGTGACATCCACTTTAGTGGCCTCGACCCTGTTCCCGCAGGTACCAAAATCATTCTCGTCGAAACCTTCCTTCGTGTAGCTGCCATATAAGCAGCTGTCCCCCCAGACAGGCACATCAACCTGCCCATACATGTAAACACTCATGTCAAAATCAATTATGACCAGCTTCTCGAAACCTTTGTCCTTGAACATGAGGTTGTCAAGCTTAATATCTCTATGAATAATCGAATTTGCATGCAGAGCGTTAATTCCATTCAGTAGTTGGCAAATAATATCTTTCGCCTTCTCGAAAGGAATTTCTTCTTTGGATACATATTCGACCAGGTCTGTCCCTTCACATAACTCCATGACGATGAAGAAGTGAGAAGGACTCTCCAGCACATCATAGATCTTTACTACATTATCATTATTAATCTTCTGCACAATTTTGTAAATACTTAAATATGTACTATAGCTCATAATGGAGAGTTGTTTTTCTTTATTCACACTTTTGATGGCCACGTATCTCTTGTTGTTTGTATCGAAGCATTTGTACACAAAATTCGAGGAGTTATCTTTTATCAGCTTCACCATTTTGAAGTTTTCCTTGATGTACTCGCACCTTTGTAGACACTGCACAAATTTGTTTTCGCTGTGCAAGACACAGTTCAGGTCGTTTTGATTTATGTCACTTTTTTCTCCACTCTGATATACCCATTTTTTATCCGAATCGTCTCTCCTTTTGTCGCTTTCCTTGGACGAATCGTATCTTGCGTTGTGTGTTCCACTTGTGTTGATCATCAAACAAGGATCCTTCGTTCCATAGTCATATATTTTGTGATTACCTTCTTTTCTTGTTTCCTGCCCACCCACTAGGTTACCAGGGTTTGTGTCAAAGGGCTTATCAGCATTAACCCACTCCTCGTAGCTATCATATTCAGGTAGGGTTGTCTCCCCTTCCATTTCACCAGCCTGTTCAGTTTGTTCACACTTAACATTCTCCTGCAAATACAATTGCCACATTTTAGTTCCCCCTCCTGGAGGATTTCTATTTTTCTCTACATTGCACATTTTGTAATTATTATTTCTATCGTGTACATCCTTGACACTTATTTTTTTCTTTCCCCCAATAGGGCCACACTTCGTGCTGTGCATTTTCTTAACGCGTGTTTTACCTCTACATGTAAGAAACACACGAGAGCACTTACCGGTTCGCTTTCCTTTGCGCATTGTTCTGCTTCCTAGAGCATACCCCAGCTGAACGGTGATATATATTTTGTCCTGTTTGGTTAATTCTGTTCCACCGTGCGTGCTCATGGAGCTTTTCTGTTGGTTCCCTTCGCGTCCGTTTGTATCTATCCGTATATCATCCGAAATTGTCAAGTTCAGTTTTGTGTTTTCCTGTTCCCAACCCTTTATCATACCAATGGAAGAAGGGTCTACCCTGGATTCGTCACAAAAATGAGTCCCCAAAACATTTTCATTAAAAACGGACAGACTTGCTTTATCAGTAGACAGTCCTTTGTGAGGCCCTTTAAAGAACTCTCTCCCCCTTTTACGCTTCTCAACACCGTCATTGGTTTGGTAATTCATTAGGTTGACCCTTCTACGTAATAGTGGATCAGTGGTTATAATATTCTTGCGATGACACTTCATCTCCTGTGTACCAATTCTCACAACAGACTTTCCCATCCTGCTCATAATGCAAAAAAGGGAGCTATCCACAAGATTAACGTACCTTTGACATAATTCAATTATACTATTTAAGTGTTTATTTTTCACAATTTTGTTTTTCATAATTTTGGTGATGTCTGCCTGATGGAAAGGTCCTATATTGGTCTGATCAATAAATCTTTTGCGTCTAATTTTTTCCATTTCTAGCATGTGCACAACTCGCACACTATGCTTAACCAGTTTATTGAACAGTGCCCGTGATCTCCTTTTACGGGTTTCCAAAATATGATTACTATAGAAACACTTCCTTCGGTTTATTTTCCTCATTTGCCGCTTATACAGATGGTGCAGGTCGCTCCACATGGGTGCGATGTTACGTGGTCCACTTTCCCATTTCTTAATCTCCTGCATCAAATTGATGGCCCTCTGATTCTTCCTTCGTGATAGGAAAAAACGCACAAAACAGATAACCCTCATGATATCTTTTTTTATCTGCCCAATTCGGTACTGAGCCACAAATGTGAGGTAATGCCTATCCAGTGAGTAGTTTGCATTTATGCCTTTCCGCTTGATCAAGGTCCTAAGGCACGGGGCAGATTTTCCATTCTGTTCACACACACGTACAAGAATACACGAGTATCGAGCTCCTCCCTTGCTGTGTTGATTATCCTCTGCGATGTGATGGTTCACCTTGTGGGGGTTGCTTCCTATGCAGCTATGCACATCAGCTACTTCCTCCAAGGCATCATTGTCGAATGTCTCATTTAGATATTCATTGTGATCTGAATTGAAGTTGCAAATAGGAAGGCAGCTAATGTGGAAAGACTCATCCGCATTACACTCCACCGCCGTGGTATCATCACTCACCCCAATATCTTCCTTTGATTGCACTTTTCCCAAAGCAGGTAACACCTGCTCCTCTGGATCAGTTTCGAGAAAACTACTCCTGTTGCTATCTGTGCTATTCGAATGGGTTCCCTGCAGAGCATCTGTCTCCTCTCCTCTCTCCCTGTGCACAAGTGTGTTGCGAATTCTGGCGCACCTCTTTTTTTTCCTTTTCCTCTTAACTATTTTCAGTAAATAGTTACACATAAAGCATTTATGTATCTTCATGTTATTGTGTAATATATTTTTTTTTTTTTATCAAGTTCTGAACAATTCATGTGAAAAGTGCTAAGAACTTTGTTCTTCATAATCCTAAGGTTGGGGTGAGTCAATGTCTGGGGGAAGGGAGATTAAGGTATCCTACACTTGCAAATGCAGACAAAACAGCGAAAAGGACTAGGGTAAAACGCGGAAGTGAAAAATAATACGCAACTCTGAATGTAAGTGCAAATAGGAGCCAAAATGAAAAGGTTAAATATATGCAACTAGAGAACCATGTCAAAAAAAAAAAAAAAAAATGAATGTTAATGATTATACGGAATGAGTTACTATTTTTTGTTGTGACTTGTCTTCTGCAGGGTTGTAGCTACCTGAACGGCTTCACCCGACGGATGCGCTACTCGTGATTTGTGTATGTCTTGCGCTCGTTTCACTTGTGTCTCTCCCTTTCTCTCTGTCTGTTTGTTTGTTTGCGTGCTTCGCACTGAGCAAATGAGTATGTATGCATGTACATTCGCGCGCAACAGCGTGGCACACTAACAAAAATGTGAAGCTAGCAAGATTGTAAACATGCAAAACAGCAGAATGACCAAGTCGCCAAACTGCAAGTTCCAATGGCAACGTCCTCTTCTGAAGACGTTAGTGTGAGTAACCCTCCGTTCGAGCAACGGAGCAAAATGGCGAGACGTGCGCAGCGCGTCGATGGGTGCACGTCTTACGCGCTACGTATCCTCGGTTGCAGTGTAGCGGTTTTCCCTTTATTTTTGGGCTTTTTATTTATTTTTTTTAAGATAAGGCCAATGTTAAAAATGAGAAAATATCATGTTTCCCGAGTTGCGCTTTTTTTATTTTTTAAGTTTCATTTTTATCTTTTTTATAGTTTATGCCTTTTGTTCTTAATTCTTAATTTGTGTTTTTACTGTATTTTATTTTGCTTAATTTTTTTTTTTTTTTTTTCGCGATATTGTACTTTTTCGCGCGCTTTTTACAACTTTGCAAAAATTGCCGAATTTTTCTAATTTTATTTCTACGGAAAATTAGATTTTTTCTTATTTTCCTTAAATTTACAAAAATGTAAATTTCCTATTTCTCGCGAAAAATTAAGCGAAAAAATTATTTTGTCTACGGTATTTTCATTCATAAAAGGAAAAAAAAAAAAACCTGAAAAATATACTAAAAAATATATTAAAAAAATATTCAAAAAAATACATCAAAATAAACTGCTTTAAAGTAAAATGTTAAAAAATGCGAATAAAAGTTGGTCAAGTGTGTGCCCGTAATTTATTTTCCGTTTAGCGCTTATTTTTGCTCCCTTATTGGCGAATCGTTACTCTGTTCACTTATTTTAATTTATTTTTTACAACTTTTATTGTTTTGCCTTTTTTTTCGTTAAATGCCCAATATGTAGCCGTTACACTCTCCACCTCGGGTTGCAATTAGAATTTTGCACGTAGACCAAGGGGGAAACTGCGTGAGAACAAAAAAAGGGGATACTCATTTGGCACTTAACATGCTTCACGTGTTGTACACACTATGCTCCATTGCACCGTTCTCCAAGTTTACACCATTTGCCCACTTTACAACACAGTTTGGACTTCCCCTCTTTGCACATCCACAATGCCCTTCCGCGCAATCATGTTGTAACAGTATTATAAACAAATTTGTGAGTTCAGAATTATGTTGAGGGGAGGGTACACACTTAAACAGTTTATTTATTTTATTTTTTTTTTTAATGAATGGAATGGTTGTGAATAACATAGTGAGCCCTGTACGCACACATATGCGCGCAATGCGTGCAGTAGTAAAAAAAAAAAAAAAAAAAAAAAAAAAAAATTCACACAGGGCATACAACACGTGCCGTACACGCACACACACAAAAAAAATTTGTGTACTTGTATGACCTTACAAAAATTGCAAATGTCTTAGTAGCTTACTATTTTCCCATATGGGTAGCAAAATAAGCGGTCATGAATAAGGCTAAGGTAAATGCCATTCAGGGTTACTATTTTAAAACACAAGATCTTGCGAAATGAATACCATGTGAAACACATCACATTGGGAACTCGTTTATGGTTGTATGTAACTACGATAAGGAAAAAATCTTCTGGCCTATTGAGAAAATATACGGGGACAACGGGTGGGGATAAAAAAAAAAATTAAACACAAAATAATTTAGCAATGTGAAGGAAAGGGGTGGCGGTATTCTTAGTAGTACTCGTATGCACAATTGCATGCACATGTACTCGCGCGTGTGTATCGCAATAGTGGGCCTTAAGTATACGCCTAATTTTCAACAGGCCAACACACCATTTGATCACAGCTCAAACGCACATGTATTAATGCAAACGCATACGAACACTCACAGTTGGGACAATATAACCCCCACATGATATAAACATATTCTTACCTTCATTAATGGCGTACAACAATCTGTTCCTCAGCTTTTCTTTATTTTTATAATCAGGAACTTTTAAGTAGTTCGTGCAGGTCATCACACTGGGCAAATCGTTATTGTCCTCCTTCTTCACAACTTTCATTAGAGGCCTGCGAAAGAGAGTGAGGGGTGCATAGATCAGAAAGTTGGCAAGGTGCTTAATCGTGGCACATGACAAGACGACATGTACTGATCGCATGTCACCCATTAAACACAAAAACCGAAGCGCGCCACGTGTGTTACTCACTTCAAAGCTGCAAATCCTTTATTCGGCAAGGCGGATGTTCCGGTGCAAAACTTAACAAACAGTTTTCTCTCTTCCTTGTTGAACTCCGACAATATTTCGATCAGGGTGATAAATGTAACAGAGTCGTTCGTGTACCTGGAGTGGTGGAGGGACAGGAAGAACAGAGCATTTTCGTGTGTGCACACACATGAGCAGATAACACATGCAAAAGCGGAACACATATACATGCACACACGGAGGATAATAATCACGCATGTTCGTTTTTCTTCCATTTTTTTTTGCTCCCTTACCCATGGTCCGGCTTAATATACGTCGACAGGTGCAGCTTCGTCCAGTGTTCGTCATTCTCGATATTGCTTCCGAACAGATACTCGCAAATTTCCTCTTCGTCAAAGATGTTCGTGCACACAAGGGGGGCGATCGTGCTGAAGCCGAAGCGGAAGGCCCATATCTGCGAGGGGGAAAAAGAGGTACACATGCACGTGAAGCGATGCGCAGCAAAGCGATACACACAAGCACATGAGCATACGCGTATGTACACAAATGATTGCTGAGCGCTGCTCTCGACTTTACCTGAAACTTTATCCCCTCGTACAGCGAGTACTCGATGGTTTTATTTATGAAGAGGTCCAGGTTTTCATTGTTCACTGCAATGTTGGCTCCGTTCGGGATTAGCTCAACGGGCGGGTCGCTCCCTGTAAAATTGAAAAGGGTAAAATAATGTGCATGCATATCATCGTCCAGGGCATGCCCCAACACAAGGAACAACACAGCATAAAAGGCGCAGCACTACTGCGTACGGGGGAAAGGGGCACGCTTCACCATGTCGCCCCAATGCGAATGGCCAATTACCTAATAGGGTAAAATCGAGCATCAAATCCTCCACATTTTTGTTCTCGTTTCGATACTCCAGCAGTTTATTTATGCTGTTCATGTTGACTCGGTCGATCTGCACGAGGGGGGGGGGGGGGGGGGGTGATGTAAAAACATGTCAAATGAATAGCATAACTTGAAGAGATTTTTGTATTAAGTTCCTCTCAAACGTAAATGTGCAAAGGGCTCGTCGATCACACATATCAAATGTGAATCGCTTGTTGCACATGGAGGCCACTGTTATGGCGCGCCTCGCAGAATTACCGCTTGATAGTGCTGAAACTTCGAGATGTTCACATATCCGGAGTTGTTCATAACCAGGTACCAAAACAGAGGGTGCAAATTGACATTTACATTCCTATTGTCTGTCAAAATTTTTGCACATAACTGACCCAACAATTTGAAGTACTTAAAGAGTCTATTTTCAAGAGTATCCTGTTCAATATTGGTAACCTTCTTTTTGCTCTTGTCTTGCAATTTCTTTTGAAAGTTTTCACTTAACTTTTTGCTTACATTGTTGGAGATCGGTTTGCTTGACTCATCATTAGTACCCTTCTGTTCAGCAGCATCCCCTTTGACCTTTTCATTTGCTTCATTGGATGCCTTTAAATTAATTCCCTGTGAAGACGATTTGTTTTCCATTTCGCTTATGAGTGAACTTATAATATTTTGCGCTACTGATCGGGATAAGTTTGCTTCATCGTTTAGGTTCATTTTTCTTCGTGCCTCTTGCTGTCTCCTTACTTCCATATCATTGTCTTCCTTCATAAAATGCTGCTCGAAGTCTTTAGTAAATAGCTTATATCGTTTGACGTGCACATTTTTGTTCTCCATTTCGCTCGTCTCCTTTTTCTCGTTGTTGTCAGTGACTTCCTCCTGTTGAACGTCCTGCGACAGGACATATTTCTTTTTGCTGTCTTCACTTTTCACAATTTTGGTATCCTCCTGTTTATTCGCTTTATCAAGTTTTGTTTTCTTCGCCCCGTCTTCCTTACTTTCTACACCCTTGTCCAACAACTTGCAGCAGTGCCTTTCAGCTTTCTCCTCCTTCACCGAAACGTTGCTTACGTTTCTTGAGCTGCTCGCTACATCGGACACGTTCGTCGATTTGTTTGGCGCCGTACCGATTGGCGAATCTTTTATTTCGCTAAATTTAGACGCACGCTGGTTCTTACTGCCTGACCTCTTGTCCGTTTTCTTTTTCCTCAAATTGTTCTTTCGTGTATTTTCCGTCTCGTCTTCCGATTCGGACTTTTTGTCTTCCTCCGATTGGGGAGCGCCACGTTGTGCATCTTTAGCCTTTTTGGCTGTGCTACTCGGTGTATCCACACGGGGGGCAATTCCTTCAATATCGTGGCTTACTTCCACCCCAACGTGGTCAACCACAGCTGCACCCTCCTCGGCAACGTCTTCCTGCGCCTGTTTCATTTGTACGCATTCTGAGTTTTCCACCGATGGTGATCCCCCCTTCGCATCCACCATCTTCCTCTCACTCATCATACTCTTCTTCTTACTCTCCTCCTCCTGCTTTTCACTCGAGCCTACGTAACACCTAATCCTTTTCTTTTTATTTTTCTCAGAGTTAATATATTCCTCTTCCCCCAACTTAATTATGCTCTCCATTCTGACGTCAAAAGTGGGGTTCTTTTTGTACGAACATGCGCTGCTCGTTGCGGGGGTTGTTTTCTTTACACTTGAGTCGGCCTTATCGCTTCGGTGACTCTCACCATAGGTGTTGTTTTCCCCAAGTGCATCATCCACATCCTCATCCTCCTCATAATCATCATCGTCCTCCTCCGCTTGGTCATGATCGCTCTTGATGTACTTTTTCTTCTGTTTGCTTCTCGCCTTGGTTACGTCACTGTCGGCGAATAGTTGGTCATCCCCCTTTTTGTTCTTCTCACTTAGGGCTTTTTCCTGTTCATTTTTTTTCTTGTTTCTCCTGCTGGTACTGCTGGTATTACATACGTTGGTTGCATCTCCCCCGGTAGGTGCATTATTCTTTTTCTTGTTCTCATTTTTTTTACCACCCTTTTTAGTATGCTCAGAATACTTCTTCCCCTTTTTGTACTTCAATTTGTTTCCCAGGAATTCCATTTCGGACAAGTCTTCGTACTTCCCGAAGCTGTTACCTTCACTGGTAAATACATTCGAATTCATGGAGTACAGAAAATGGTTAATTAAGCTGTTCACCGAGTGGTAGCTGCTTCCGTTTGCACCATCGCTAATCACATTTATGCGTTTGTTTAGTGATGACGACGATGCGTGACTTGGGTTAGCATTTTGCAAATGGTACCCCTTGCTATTGATGCTACCAAGGTGGTTGGCATACGCGTAGTAATTATTTCCTCCAGTGTGAGCACCTCCATTTATGTTACTTGCGCTGCTCGAGCCACTGTTCAGCCCCATCAGCTCGGAACTCTTTGGCTTCCTCAATAAATTGAAGTCGAAATTATTTAAATCAATTTTATACGAAAGAGGAAACAAGTAAGTATCTTCCAATTTGAACAGCTTCAATTTTTCCTTCTTTAACTCCTCTATCACTTCATTGTAGAACTCTAGGGAAGGCCCTAACCCTGTGCCCTCCTCATTGAAAAACTCTATATCCAAATATGATGGAGTAATAAAATTTGAATTGATAAAATGCATATGATTAAATATACGGAAGGACGAGTCGACCATCTTGTTTCTGTGTAATTTAATCTTCGTCCTTGGTAACGTTAACGTTGTATTATCGGACAAAAAATAAAACAGCTTTTTCTTATCACAATTATATGTGTAATTTGCACAAACGGAAAGTAGATGCTCCTCTGTCAGGGACTTATTACCAAAACTTATTTTGTCGTTGAACTTTTCCACCACTTCTTTTATCTTCTGCTTGTAATTATATAAGCCTCTATAATTTCCAAAGTAAACTACTTCAAAAAATAATAGCCTTATGTCAATGTCCACCACAAAATTGAAGAGGTAAAAAATCTTATATACCCATGAAGGGATCTTTTCACTGAAGAGGAAGACAGGATTATTCAAGTAGTACATCACCTTGTTGTTAATGCTGTTCAGGATGAAGCACTTTTTCTTTATATCTTTTATGCCCACTACGGGATTCTTTTCTTCATTCGGAACATTTCCTTCACTTTGCGTATGTGCTCCTTCCGTTTCCTTTTCTAAAAACGTTTCCTCCAGCATGCTATTCATCTCTTTTATCGTTTCCTCGTTCAACATACTGTTGCCACTTAATTCGAAATTCCGCACATTGCACATGGAATTACCACCGGCCTTGTTACTCATGTAAAAAGTCAGTAACGTTGGAATATCACACATATTAAAATGTCTACACAGCAAGTAAAGAAACTTGAAAAACATAAAATTGTATATGTTCTGTAGAAAAATATCCTTATCTTCATGTCGTGCTTGTCGACATTTTCCCTTCGATGTTTGTCCTGAAGAACTACTCATTTTGCGGGCCAATCGATCTTCCCTTCGAGATCCACAACCCCGTCCCGTGGAACGGGAGGAAATTTCGTCCCTTCTCATAATTTCGCTGTACATAGGCATATAGTTAAATAGGAGATACTGGTCCTCCTCATTGGGGATAATGTCATTCTGGTGATTACTCTCTTTTCCATCTCCCGTTATTATGGTGTCCTCGTTTGTAGCTCTACCCATACGGTGCTTCACATATAGGGACCTTTCCCTTTCTCTGTTCCTATGAATTTTATCCACGAGGTTTTCCCTTCGCGATGCACTACTCTCCTTCATATCATCCTCGCCCTGATGCACCAGAAAGTGAATGTTGTGTAGATGCGTGCTTAACATCACGTCCTTATTAATGTAATGGTCTTCCAAGAAAACCAGCTCGGTCACCTTCCTCATTTCTGTTTTTAAAAAAGATGAAAGGTACATCGAATCGCTCTCCACGCAATTTCTCTGCGACAGGAAAATATTCAACTCTTTCTTTCTGTAGTGCTCCTTCAGGTAGTCTATCAAGAAGGAAGGCTTATCTTCCCCCTCCGAGAGGTGCTTCTCGTAGGACATCATCTGGTCCACATCATACTCGTCTTCGTAGTATTGCCCATCTGTGAGGTCCACGCTATTCGCACCTGCACTTATGCCAGCAGCTGCATCCTTACTCAACTTCTCCCTTGCTTCCGAATCATCCTCCTTCCCATCGTGGGTCACTTGTTCACTCCTTGTCGCGTAATCAGTATGGTCCCCCTTCAACATAGAGAAGAAGCTCTTTTTGAGGGGTTCCTCCGCATTCCTCGCACCACCTGACACATCATCTGCGTTGTACAAATTTTTAACCAAATCGAAGGAAATGCTAAAAAAATTAAACTTATCACTAACAATTCTACAGTTTAACGGAGTTTCAATGCTGGATTTAATTTTCCTAAAGGTAATGGGATCTACATAGCTGTGAAGGTCGCCCTGGTCATCTCCCCTTTCGCATAACTTCCTCCTCGTTTCCTCACTCAGCTCAGCTACACTGTTGTTCGATTTCTTTTTCTTCGACACAATGTGTATATTGCCTTGACCGCTAAAATCATCCACTAAACAATTCATGTAAGAAGGTTCATTTTGCTTTCTCGTTTTAATCACCTTGAAATTTATACTATGAGTGTTGTTGGTGTTGTGAGTGGGATATGCATCACCTGAGTACAGGCAACGGCCAAAAGAATAATTCTCCGAAGCGGAGCTTCTATCTCCATGCCCATTCCATAGGTACCTTATTTGACTTTTCATCTGTCCATAATGGATAGGAAGTAACTCTACAACATCGTTGTACACATAAAAATTATCCGTATTGTAAAAAATATTTTCTTCATTGAGGCAAGCTGAATTTCTGTTCATATAATACAGATCGTTCAGTTTTGTCAGATACTCGGAAAGGCAGAAATCGTTATGTACATCAACACCGTTAACTGACAGGAGCACCAAGTCTTCCTCCTTCGAGTAGTACTTTGCATTGGCATTTTTGTTGCTCCTGTTTAAATTTTTTCTTATGTAGTTTTCCATCTTATTAAGCGAATCAAATATGTTGAAGGTCGCATGGAGGTTCTTTGGCTTATCTTGGTAGTTCCTTCCGAAGAAGAGCAGCCTGTGGGCGATGTCCTTAGTGTAGGCATTTCTGTTGGGGACTACGCCTCTAGGACTTCTTTGCAATTTTAGGCTTCCTCCTCCGATGCCCGCGTTGTTTTGCTTCGCCTCATCCTTTATGACTTCCACCGATATGTTGTCTTTCCTTGAATTCGTGACCTCCTCCTTGGCAATTCTACATTCGGACAAATGTTGCTTTCCCTGCGAAGTTAACTCGTTCAATGCCGTAGACTCGTTTGCTTCACTTTCTGCACTCATTTCTGGTGAGCCCACATTCATCTTCTCCAAGCACAGCGAGATGGGCAGGCCTTCATTGAGGGAACTAAAAATTGACACGTTGTCCACGTAGAGACCATTTCTCCTCAAATGCACAGGGAAGTGACAGTTGTAGTTATTATATATGCTCTTGTTTTTCTTTTTATCACATACTGTACTGTCATTATAATCATAAAATAAATTTTCGTAAAAGGAATCCTTCGGGATGTAGTCAAAGTGTCTGTAATTACTTCCTGTGAAATAATCAAATAGAGTATTATGTCCCTTTTTGCTTCCTTCCCATTTGTTTTTTTTCTTTTTCTTTTCTTTATTTGCCCTGTCGCTAAACATAGGGGAGGCTGTGTCCATCATTTCTTCTCCTTCTCCTGCTGCGTTGCTGCCCACCTGGTTGACATTTCCCACTCCTTGATTTTTCGTTTCGTCAGGTTTCTTTTCACTTATGATTTCCACTTCTTTGGAGATCTCCTTTAAGACGTCTATGATGGGTATCACGGCGTTGCCCCGATTTGCTTCCCGCGATCGGAGCGCCCTATCTGTGTTTTGTGCGTCATTCGCCTCATCTGCTTCGCCCATCTGGAACTCCCTCTGGATATTCTCTATTATGCGCATCTTTTCGGAACTCATGTCACAATCGACCTCCTCTTGATCCCCCTGGGCCGTGTTCTCCTTCTTCACCTCACGGTTTTCCTCATTTGTCATGCCCCCCGCAGCATCAGCCGCATCACCTACTGTACCCTCTTTACAATGTGACGAATCCGCATTTTTCTTCTTCTGGTCAGAAACTTCGGTAAGGTCACATTTGCTACTAGCCCCAACGTTGTCCTCGTCTTTCCCCTTTTTCCTTCTCTGCTTGAGAGATTTAATAAGAGCATCATTGTTGTTCTTCCTGTACTTGGGGCTAAAGAGCGCACTCAGGTTGTCGCTTTTTAGCGAAGGGAAATCATCATAATGTTTGGTCCAGGAATCCACGTTACTACTTCCTCGGTGATAACAAAAATCGGGTTTTTCTAAAGGCATGATTCCCGCGTCCTGTTTTTTCTCAGCACCATAGATCCTGCTGCTGGTAGAAGCTTTCCTACTCTCTTTGAAAAAGTAGATGGGCAAATTGTCATATACGTTTAGACACTCCCTTGTTAACCGAATGAGTAGCGAACACTTTGTAAAGGACAGGTTATTCATAATTAGGTAGTAGTGGTAGGAGTCAAAAATATCCGTCACTACTGCTTTCATTTTGTCCAGTTGCACTTGATCAATCTCGTCGATTATTTGGTTTGCCCCCAGTTCGTAAAATATTCCATATAACGTTTTCACGCTGTTCAAAAATAACCCCTGCACCACTTCTCCCTTTTTGTTATTATTGCTAAACAGAAGGGCATATAAAAAGATGTACAGCCTAACATTTCTATCGATGCTTTTTAGCAGATTTAGAACGTTTCTCCGGTTTATGTCGCCGCATTGGAGGGAGCTTCCCTTACACTGCACGTCGTCATTCCCTTTCTTCTCCATTTTACTCTGCCCATCCTGATAAAACAACTTTTGGAACAAAAAAAAATACAAGCGCTTTGCCACATTGTACTGGTAGAAATAGATGGAAGCGTCTTCCCCCATAGAGGATAGGTGACCAAACAAATTAAGCAAATAGCAGTAACTCAAAACGATGCCATTGTAACATGTGCGCTCATCAACAATCAGATGACTTAAACGTATGGGTTCGCCGCCATTCTCCATCTTGTTCTTCTCCTTGGACAACTTCAAATTTTCGTAGTTCAAAAAGATCACCTCAAATTCGAGAGAAATATTCTTCATTTCTCTTTCCCGATTGAAAAATAGGAAGTTGCTCTTCTCACAGCGGCCCTTTGCAAAACCATTGCTTCTTCCTCCCTTGTACAGCTCGTAAAAGTAGCAAAACATAATATTGTAAATTTCCTGGTTGGGACACATATAATTATTCCCACCGGTAGAATACATATCGTCCATTTTCTTTTGCAAAATTTTGCTAATGATGTTGTTCAGCACGTGTAGGTGGGATCCGTGGTCGTAGGATAACATGGGCAGCACATGGGTAGTGCCTTCACAAAGTGCATAGCCGTTGCCATTAACACAAGCTGCATTTTCCCCCTTCAAACACGCGAACACCGAATTGGTGCCAATGCGTGCTGCAAAATGCTCCACAATTCTACACATGATAATTCCACTAATGATTGAAGACTCGGAGAGGTTGCTCAAAACGAGTTTCCTGATAAAGGCACACGTTTCCTTGTGGTACAAGAACATATACTCAAGGCAGCTGATAAACTCCGCACTGTCACCCAGGGTCGACGATATTTGATACATCGAAATGAAAACAGACAGAGTGATAACTACGCACAAATATTTGATGTCGAAATAGACTGTCTGCGCGTGTATTTTATAAACACTTGGGATTATCACCTTTATTAGGGTTGCGAGGTGGTTAAAATGGTTTCTGTAAAAATCTAGCTTGTGCTTCTTCACGCTTACGGGAAAGGTGTTCGGCATGTATCCACCGTGCTGGGGGTCGGGGGGGAAAAATCCATCGTCACTCGAGTCCACCTCAACGTTGTTCTTGCCGTCCTCTACGCCTTTGTCCTGGGGTTTGCCTCGATTCACGAACGACTCGCCACTTAGATTCGTCCCCATGTCGTAGTCATAAATCACCAACCCGTTGTATGTACACATGGGCAAAAAGGAGTAAAGCGTAAACAAAAGGTACAGGGTTAAAAAGTTATTACTCTGGTACTTCTCATTTTGAAAAAACTCGCTGAATTTGCCCAGGAATTCACTGTTGCAAAAATCCTCCAATATTTTATCACTGTAGTGCACCAAAATGGAAATAATGTAAAAGGTTTCCATAAAGGCATACAAATTATCCTCAATTTGACACTCTATCAGCAACTTAATGATATTATTTCTAATGTTAATGCTGTATATGCTCTCTATCTCCGCGCAGAGCTTGAAGTGGGTGATTTCGTTGCTGTTCAGATGGATCATATGCTGAAGCAGCTTGTTTTGATGGTACACATAGGTGGAATTTTTCGTTTCGTCCTTGCCCGGGAACGTGCACTCCAATTTGGGGGAATCTTTACCCCCATCCTCCGCGCCATGAGAGGTAGTTTCCCTCGTAGGCTTCTTCGAACTTCTACCCTTTGATCTGCTAACAGAGTCAGGGTCTCTCAAAAAGGAACTCAAAAAACTGACATTCTCGTTCGACTTGTTATTTTTACAGTTGGTGCTATCGGATAATTGGTCATCCAAAATGTACACATCTTCGTCCTTTATCTGCTCACTCTTGGCACCTTTTCTATTTCTGTCTTGGCCCTTATTGTTGCTGTCCTTCGGGTCGCTCCCCCTTCTGTCGTATGCACAGCTGATGAGGTTTTCATCTTTCTTTAACTTGCTGCTCTTTTCCATCTCTCCCTTTGATTTCCCCCTTTTGTCTTCTCCCTCTTCCTCCACCTCTTCATGTTCGGTACCCTCTCCAACTTCGACAATCTGGGGCACTTCTCCAGCTTCATCAGTCTCTTCACCTTCATCCACTTGCTCTTTCATGGAATTTTTGACCTTCTTCTTGCTCTTCTTATTAGTTGAGCTTTCCTTCTTCTTTTTCACCTCCTTGTTAGATTTTCCTCCGACCCGGTGTTCACAGTTGGTGTCATCCTCGGCGTCGTTGCTTCTTTTCTTGTGAAAGTCACTCGTTTGCTCTTCATCCGATATTTCGATTACTTCCCCTTCGCGGGGATCATCCCCTGTTTGTTTCCTTGCCCTTCTGCTCTTCACACATGGGGTACCAGTTGACTCATTCAGTTTCCCTTTTCCCTTTGCACCAGAGCTGCCCTCCTTGTCATATTTTTTTTTCTTCTTTTTGTCAGTTTTCTCCATTAGCTTACTCAGGTAAGAAGCTTCCTTGGAATTTTTTCTACACGCCGATGATCCACCCCCTTTTGTACCTCCAATACTATCGGTAACAGAACGTCTGACTTTCCTCCTCAGTTTATTCTCTTCCTCCAACCGAACGGTGATCATTTTGTCAAGTAGAGACCTCCAAAGGGTACATATAATGTTTAGTATATGAATATAATTGAAGTGAAAGAAATTTGTAAAAATGGAACAGTAGGGAGTTATATATTTCGTTATGTGCTTGTGTTTGTTAATATTGTTAATCATCTGGATGATACAGAAGAAGATTTTTTTCTGGATGTTGACATTATAAAAGTCTATATGCATTAACATATATTTTATACTTTTTTTCTTCAAAATAAGCATAGGATCTTTCTCTACTAATTTTTCGAATATGTTTAAAATAACTTCCGCTACATCGATGTATTCAATGTCATTCAATTTTCTGTTTAGGATGTTTACCCCGTCTTTGTTGTTAATTACATACCTTATGGTTTGAGGGTATATATCCAGGATGGCATATATACAGCACGTGGCTGTGTAAATGATGTTAATATATTTTACATCTATTGCGCATGCATCGTTCATAAAATCCTGTTCATTCTCATCTGTGATACTTGATTCACTTGATAGACTGGATGGGTCACTCGAATTACTCGAGTAGGAGAAGAAGTCAATGCTTTCATCTTCAGAGTTTATTATGATTTCTTGTTTCACACCTCCTCTGCTTGCTTTCTTTTTTGTTTCTTCCCCCTTTGGCTTGGCACCTTGCAAGGCCTTCTTCGCACCTTTAGCCTTCTCCCGGTTGGCTCCCTTGTTAGTGCGTTGGTTTAACCTTTGATTGATGCGCTGACTGGCTCGTTTACTGGCCCGTTTACTGGCGTGTCCACTCTCGCGCTTATTTGTGCCTTCGCTGTTGCTTTTGTTGCTTCCCTTGCTCTTGTCCGCTTTGGTCACGTCTTTCCGCTTCTTCTTCTTTTTCCCTCTTGTATTACCATCACTGGGAGCAAATTCGCTGCCTCCTCCATCGTCGTCGCCAACTTCGTCCACCTCCTGCGCTTCATCCACCTCTTCCACCCCATTGTCGTCGATCTGATCTCCCTCCTCGTCATAATCCTCATCATCCTCGTAGTCCTCCTCATCAACCACCTCGTCGTCTTCTTCCCCATCATCCTCCACTTCCTCCTCTTCGTCCTCCTCTTCATCAAAATCGGACGCATAAACTCCTATACGTTCCTGTATTATCTTAAAAAAGCTGTTGAGACCGGTATTCACCGTGTCCTTAATTTTGTCTGAGCCGATATTTTTAGCACTCCCTGTACCCTTGGCCTTTTTCTTATTGTCACTTTTGCCACTGTTGCTGTTCCTTCCATATGCAGTGTTGTAATTCATGTGTGGCTTATTAATCACATGGATCAGCACGTTGATGTATTCTTCCATCTGGGAAACGGACAACCCGCCATCTGCAGACAGGTTCAGCTGTTCATAAAGGTCATTCAGGGCAGCTAGCTGTGAAGGAGAAAGAAAAAAAAAAAAAAAGTGAGGAATGAAGAATAAAAAGTGCAGAACGTGGCTCCAAATGAACCTTCGTTTAGGCGTGGTAGGGGCGAGAACTGATATGCACAAAAAAACGTCATTGTGATATTTTTTCGTTTTTATATTTACACAGGCACATAACATGTACACACATGTACAGATCTGCCTGTCCGCTGTTGCAAAACACATCACAAACGGGGACGAAAAAGAAAAGTCATGTGTGTCATCAAGCAGGCTTGCACATGTTGAGCAAAATCAAATGCAAAATATTACCTTTTCCGATTCTTCTCCATTTTTTATACTATTCAATATATATGAATGATGCATATTCTCATAAACTAAATATTTCTTCATTTTGACTTTTTACATCCTAAGGTTACATGGCTGTGTGTCTTCTCCTCCACTCTCTTCGTGCAGAAAAGACGTTAAGTTGCGCTTCCTCAAAACGCAGCGCGCAGATGTGTGCTTAGGATGAGTACGAAGCGTGAAGGAAGCGCTATTCAAAGGAGAAGCTACTCAGCATAAAGGTAAAACCTTGTACACACTGCTGTGCAGGCAAAACAAGAAATGGACAACTGCGTAATGCTTGCGCATTGGTATAGCATTAACGAGATTTTTTTATTTACACTTGAAAGGAAAATATATTCTTACAAAATTAAAATATAAATATATGCATACATATATATACAATTGGCGAACGCGCTAAAATGTATGACGCCGGGGGCACCACGAGACATTAGCGAGTATAAACAAAGATAGTGTGCTTGCGCTTACTCGCACGCAATATGTGCCCAGGATGCACAAAAAAAAAAAATGTGTACAAAGGTTTCAAAAGAGATGAAATAAAAAAATATTTCATTCTTTCAAAGGGGGCACTGGATCACATGACGCGTGTGGGTAGTTCTTGCGTGATGACAGCTGGTTCGGTTCAGCTCGGTACGCGTGGCAGGGCACGCACACCAGGATGAGCGTGATTGGGTAAGCGTGGTTGGGCGCGTGTAGCTCGGTGCACGCGCCTGGTCTGGTTCTCACTACAAGGTCAATATACTACAAAGTGAATATGCTACAGGGCGAATGCCCATAAGCAAAAGTGGCAACGGGATGGTGTCCCAGTGCGAACGCTGCAGGCCTATTCGTGCCCGGGATAACCCAAATTTTAAACAAGAAAAAAATGAGCGCTGAAGAAAACAGTTGCTCTGCTATTGTACATAAGTTTACTTATCATTAACATGAAAATGTAATAACAGCACAACATTCATATGAAAGAAATACAAATTAAACACTTATTTACGCTTTCTGCGTTATTTTTCCCGCTTGCAGGAAACAAAAGCGCAATAAAAATTTATAACATGATAAATTGCGGATTTTCTGTGCCCTTTGCTTTTTCGTTGTCGCGCACGTAAGATTTGCCTTCGCTTAGGGTTTCTGCTTTGCTTCGCTAACGTTTTTGTTTTCCGTTCGCAAATTTTTTTTTTTTTTTTTTTTTTTTTTTTTTCCTTTCGCTAACTTTTTTCGTTTCCTCCTTTTTACTTTTCTTTTTTTTTTTTTTTTGTGATTATCAGTCCTCCAAACTTTGCAGTGTACAATTTAGTGAGCGATCCCTTGTACGAGCGCCCAAAATAATCAAGTACGCCAAGGCATTTACGCGCATGAGTTATGAACATAACACGTGTTTTATATATGCATACAAATACGTACGTACATATGTATACATATATATACATTTATATATGTATATATTTATACATAAATAACGTATGCATACGTATGCGCTTGTATGCTCGCATGAAGGCCGAAACATACAGTACACGTATGTATTCCCCCGTATGTATAAGCATGTGAGAGGCAATGTGGTCAATAAAAGAGAAAATACATTCTTATGACGCGCACCAGTTTCCATATGCTTATGCGCAGGTTTTGCTTGTGCCTGGCGTATTCTGGAAAATTAATTCCCGTGGCATACACCTATCTTACTGCAAATGCTCGCGAGCGACCAGGGCCTGTATGAAAAACTGCTGTGTCTGTGGAAACACGTGGGGGGGAGGCACGCTGAGGCACGCCTTAAAATTATGAAAGAAAAAAAAAACAGGAATGATACACGCATGTGCGCGCATGTATATGTATATATATTTACATGCGTATGCGCCCACGCTCCAATATTCGGCGAGCATTTATTTACTGCTACGCCAAGGGGTGGAAGGAGAACGCCGGAGGACTCTTCACATGTTCCGTGCCGACATTCGCATTTTCCCCAGAAAAATATGCCACTTCAAAAAATTACGAGCAGTCCCTTCGTTCTATAAAATAATAAAACAAGGTTTATATAAACGCGTCATACAAGGGGAAAAAAAAAAGCTTATAAGTTTTTTACATTAGGTGTAAGTCTCGCATATTTTTTTTTTTTGGCACAATTCCAAGCACTCGTAATTACACATGGCGTGTACTTCATCATACGCACAATACTCATGTACACGTTTGTACACATGCGTACCTCCGTGAGAGGACATACATTTTGTATTCCATACGAGAATTAGGCCAATGCTTTATATTACACCAATGAAAGAACCCCTAAAATTGTGGAACAGGTCTTAATAGCTCAATGTTTATTCTACCTTTAAAAAATCCCCATAATTACATGCTTCAGATGAAGCCTGACAAAAAGTTCATGACGACTTTGTAATATATGAACAGAGCAAAAAATATTTCTCCCAAGGGTTAACAACCCTTTCCTATATGGCTATAACAATGTGTGATGGATAAGGGCAGACGTTGTAAAATAATATAAGCCCTCGTATAAATGATTAACAAAATTGTTAACTTGCCTGCCACCCCTAGCACACAATGTGCGTCCTCTTCTGATACATGAGTGCATAATATAAGAAAGTTGTGTGAAATATGTCACTATGTGCTTATCCAAATGGGGGGCATTCCGGAAGGAAGCAAAGGTACACAGTATCACGGCTAGATGCTTCCCCGAAATGAGCACAAGGGTAAGGACTGATATGCGTTATCTGTGCCCTATGACTGCTCTACCCCTGCGCTACCCGTTCGTATAGTTATCCAGTGTGAAACGCGCAAGAATACAAAGGATAGTGGAGTGGTTAAAGAAACAAGTTACGCGCAATGTTACACACATATGTTTTCCCCTGCACACTACCATGACGAGGAACATTTAAGGTTGAAAAAGGAAGCGCGAGGTAGTTCCAACGCTTTGTTCCATTTATACGTAACGATAAAGTAGCCCCTCCCTCAATGAACAACTTTTGCAGCCTCTTATACGTAAATGAAATGTAATGTTCTTGCCGTTTCTATTTTACCCCTTTACATGTGAAAATATGATTATTAATATTTATTCACTTAAAGCAGTTTCACGTGGTTCCTCAGCAAAAACCCCATTTGGGGAAAACAAACCGTAAGCTCCGTCGCCCTTCCTTGCGTTTGCAAAAAAGGAATAAAAGCTTATTTATTTGATACACATCAAACACTTCCGCGCGTACACTGTGTGAAAACGTTTTGGCTGTTTCTCCTTCTTTTAAAATAAAGCGATGGACAACTACAAAGGAGTTGTGGATAATCCCAAGAATAGGACTACCTGTTAACAACAATGTTAATAAGACTTGTTGTGTTCCCCGCGGAAATTTTCCACGTCTTACAAGTTCAAAGAATGAGAAACACATTTTCCATTCGTTACTATTGTGCATTTTTTTTTTTCTTTATTACGCCATGCGAACTAGAAAAAATGCAAAAAAAATGCCAATGTTTGATTTTCCCCCCTCGCCGCACACCATTTCAGTGTGCGTGTGTCACCTCTACATTCTAGCAAACACATGTTGGCGCAGATTACTACTCAATTACGCACCGCGGAGGTTATGTTCAAATAAGAAAAGCGTTAACCTGAGGGATAAGGAGTTGTACGCACGTGTTGTACATTTTAGAGCATGCCTCGATAGGCATATTTCTTTTTCACTCACCCCCAAAGAGTTGATCCTACTGCAAAAAAAAAAAAAAAAAAAACGTGTAAACAAGCAGTAGAGTATAGCCGCGTGTGTGACTCGTAGGATGAACATATTTATGTATGACACTCATAGATGTGTCCACCAATTTGTGAATAATTTCTTACACTGTTGCTGCAGAGTATGATGTACGCTAGCGTAATGTTTACCCCCCCTCTCACCCTCCATCCGATTCCGCTTTGTTTATCTTCTAACCTTCAACGTGTATTCTTTCAAAAAAAAAAAAAACAAAAAAAGATAAAGATAAAGAAAAATAATAATTGCGCCAAAAAATGTACTCAATATTATAATCAAAATTGCGCTTAAAGTTTAAAGTGTTACTCAAAAAAATTGGCGCAGAATGACGACAAACAAAGTTATGCGCAAAACTCTATCACTTTAAAAGAAGGCACTCAACAAAAACAATTAAGAATAGGGGATGCTCATGGACCTGTCGTGAAGAATTGCGTGTATAGAAAAAGCCTTCCACTCAACTCCTGCCCTATGTATGAGATATATATGTAAGTACATGAGCACATCAGCACATAAGTACATGTTAGCTCATCTCAAAAATAAGACTGCGCAGTTTACCCCACCCCCTTAAAAGTGTTTACCTATGCATACCATCATATGAGCATGGGTATGTGCTCACATTTGTTCAGCCAAAATGGGGAAAAACACATCATACGAAAATGGGTTCCTAATATTTGAAGATTACAACTTTGTTATCTACACAAAAAGGCGCGGAAGGAGAGTCGACTGGCACGAAAAAAAGAAGAATTTGCACAATTTCAATGTTACCGCGTATTTTTATAAGCCCTTCCAAAATTGCAACCTCAGCCTAGTTAATAACAGCGCAAACGTAAGACGAGCCACAGAGAATAAGCTTTTCAAAAGGTTTCAGCTAAGCATAAAATGGCTAATTAATTTTATTATTAAAATAAAAAGGAGAGTTAAAAATATCTACCTATTTGTCAAATTTATTAGCTCGAAATGTATACTTAAACTGTCCACCTTTTACTATTTAAAGTATATTGTGGAAAAGATTTACGATGAGACGTTAGAATCATGCGTTCGTGTAGTTTTACCCGTGTCAGATTTACACAAGCTCTACACCTTTGTTTATCACCAGAACTTTTGCTTTATGAATTATTATGAGCAGTTCCTGTCCAGGAAAGATGCGCGACGATTGAGACGGTTCTACTGTCCCGTCGTCGTGATGAACGGTCCCAATAGGGCCTTAACCCTCCCCTATGAAAGGATGTACGGTCAGGACGTTGTAAAAATGGCCACACGGAGGGGGAAAAATCCGTCAGTGGCCGAAACACACCCCAATGCAAAAAAAACCCAGCGCAAAAGTGCCACTAGAACAAAAATGCACAGGAGAAAAAATATAAAAATAGAAAAGGACAAAATAAAAAGGGCCATAGGAAAAAACTTGCACACAAGCGATATAGGCCTCTTCGCAGGAACCTTCGACAAGATACATTTTGGACATATACTGCTACTTTTTTACTCCATATTTCTAACAAAGAAATTTTACTATGTCGGATTATACAATAATAAAAATATTCATAACAAAAAATATGCACAAGAAATTGACGACTTAAAGTTCAGGATTTACAACATATCGGACATCCTCTTTTTAATAAAAAATGTCTACCACGTTGATTTTGCCTTTCTCAACTTTGAGCACGTTATGCCATTTATAAAGATAAAAAATTCTCATAAAATTTTGTTTCAAATTATGATGAATCAGAAAAATGAGTTATTGGGGAGGCATCATCCAGGGGGGTACAAACAATGTGAAGCGTCTACGCCTCATGCAATTGAAGCCACGCCTGTGAACACATGCATGACAAAAAGGAGAGACATAAAAAAGTACCTCTCCCGTGAGAGCACCAAAAAAAAAGGCGCAACACAGTGTAGTAAAAAAATGGATGAACGGGTAGATCATTTCGATACATATGAAATGAAAAAGAAAATTGAAAAATATTTACTTTTTCACATTGGCATAGTGAAAGGAAAGAGATGCAAAAAGAAGGACAACAAAATTATCGTGTTGAAGAGAATACATGACCCCTTTTCGTTCGCAGTAGATATTAAAGATTTGTACTGCTTAACAATGTCCAAGGAATCTGAGGCCAACGGGTATATTTTGGTAAACAAAAGACAATTAAAAAAGGGAAAGGAAAGTACACATTCAAATAAGAATTCAAGAGGGGGAATAATCCCCGACCAGCAATGTGAAAACTGCAAATGTATCAACGTAGTACCAAGCGGGGTGAATACACTTTTGGAAAACCCAAGAACAACTTTGAACATTTTTGATACAATCAATTTAGGGGATGGAGGAAAAATCAGCTCGACATTAGTCAGGGAGGAGAATACATTTTTAAAAAAAAAAAAATTTGCAAAATATTTAAGACATTTCGTAGACGCTTGCTTATTCTTCCACATTGACCACTTCCTCATACAAATGTACGTAGATATTTTTTTGCACAAAAATGGAAAGACCCCTTTTAAGAAGCTCTACATAAATAAGGTGAAAAATTACTTTTGTAAAGAAGAAAGGAAAAAATCGGAGACACAACGGTGTTGCGAAAAGAGCGGACCCCCAAAGGGCAAAAAAAAAGATCATTTTATTGTAAACGATTTTTTCAGAAACTTATTCGTCCTGTTGTCTTTTTTCGTCAATCATTTTGCCGATCTGGAAAATCGTTCTCATAATAAAATACAACTCTTTGTGAAAATCTCCATTGCACTCTCTTTCTTTTTTTACAACAATATGATTCTACTCTTAGTAAAAAAGAAGGAGGTGTTAATAAACCAAAACTTCCAAACCAACCACAAGAATGTAGAACAGAGAGTAAACATGTTCCACCCGTGTGATGACAACGCATTGCGAATTTACCTGCACAGGGTGGAGGAGTCCCTGCTGGAGAAAGTACTCAACCAGGTTCTCATTTGGACCCTTTCAATGATATCCCTCTCCGTGTTGTGCAAGCTGTATCACTCAGAAATTCTGCCTAAGGTGAAGACGGGGAAGTCAGCACGTGCGCGGAAGTCTATCCAGTTAGGCAACGGAACGCAGAAAATGCTGAGCCAGAAGGAGTCAGCCCGTGGTGATTCTTCACTACGCACAGTGAACTACGCTGCATACTTTTACAACTATTCGAAGGACAGGGGGGTGCACAAACGGGGCCCCATAGTCACGTCCTACACCCTCTTTAACCACGCCATAACGAGGAGGTTCAAAATGAGGAACCCCCTCCTGCGTCACCACCGTGATATTGCACAAGCCGTAGGTTCCTGCGGCATGGCACCGGGGGGAGAAGCGATCTCGTATAGTGACATACCAGCAGTCAACAGTGTGCCTCCTGTGTGTGGTTCACTCTACACGGATGAGTCGCACTGCACGCAAAAGTCACATAGCGAGGCCAACGGCACGAAGATGCGGGCGAGTATTTTCAAGCCGCAGGGAGATACCCACGTGGAGGCGCAACAAGACGAAGTTTACCATATGCCGTCATTAAAAAGAGAAAGAACAATATTGAACAATTTGTATAAAATTAAAATTAGGAGTGAAGAAAAGGTCCCCATTTGGAGAAGCAAAATGTGTTATAAAGAGATAGAGAATTACGTAAGAGGAAAAAACATAGATGCGAAGAGCTACCACAATGAAAGGTACACATCGTTAATGCAGATAAATATAAATAAGGGAGATGAAAATTTCCCTTTCCGAAAAGTGCTGATATATAAATATCTAGACAGCTACTTTATTTCCTTTTTCTCCTTCTACATCATAAAGCACTTGGGCATAAACCAATGTGTAAAAGGTACCCACACAGAATATAAAAAAATTGATCATTTGTTATTCCTCCTTTTGGTGCACTTTGAGAAGCACATTGAAATGTTCGTAAATAGTTTTCTTAAAAGGACGTGGGAATTAAAACCAAAAAGAAGGGAAGGTCCCTTTGACCCATACGTCCTCTACCAGAAAAGGTATTCGCTTATTCACAGATACTTAATTATGAAATTATCACCAGAGAATAACTACTACTTAGATTTTGAACGCAAGTACGATTTTAAAAAGGGAGACACTAGCTTTGCAGATACGCCCTTTCACATCAAGATAGAGAATTGGGGATGTCCCAAAGGGGGTTCACCTAGAAAGGCCTCCAACATTGCCAACCATTTGAGTGTGCTAACATTTTATAACACAATTTTTCAAAGCATTTTGACACACGAAAATTATTATTACCCCTTCTTCGCCTCACTCAATTATTTGTATTTGGACGACGTTTGATTCATCTTCATGTGGGAAGCGTGTTGCTTATCCTGCCCCATTCATGGCGCCCATTTTTTTTTTTTTTTATTTGTTGGAATGCAACCCGCAACGTTTGATGAACACATGTCTGCTTTCCTCCTTTTTCGCTATTCCCTTTTTTACGTGTTATAACCTTTTTTTGTTGACATAACTCCCCTGCTCAGCCGTCTTCATTTTGCACAAACGTAATTGTGTGTGCAGGAATGTGGACGCATGAGGGTGCATGTCGCCACGCCCTTGCTCAGATTTGCGAATATGCCACATTTTAAAAAGTGTATTTTTTCGCGTGCTGTACATACCGAATTGAAAAAAAAAAAAAACACAAAAACAGGAAAATGCAACGTACCAGACAAAACCAGAAGGGATAAAAAGTTACACAAACAAATGTGTTGGAAAAAAAAGTAAATGTCTTTTTTTTTTTTTTTTTTTTCTGTTAACTGTACTTGTTCTCCTTAACCACGGAAAGTACGACAGTTATATCGTCCGGCTTCCCCATGTTAAAGTATTTTTTGTACTTATCAAAGATGAACTCGGATATGGGGGTTAAAATTATTTTATCACTGGACTTATTTGATTGTATATCATCGTAGTTTACTTTATCAAACAAGTGCGTTTCCTTTTCATAGATGGTTGGAGGACCCTTCCTGGAACGATATTTATCGTTTTTAATTTTGCCCAAGGCATCATACATGTGTGCATTGCCGGTACCGCTTTCTTTTCCTTTACCATTCATATTTGCACTCTGCGCGTTGTATTTCTTCCTTCTTTTACTTAGCAAAGTTTTGTTCACCTCTTGGTTGGCTAAAATGTTGGAGAGCTGCATAATTTCATCGCACGCCTTCTTCGTGTTTAAGTAAATGCTGTTACTTTCGTCGAAGAGGACAAAATCGGTTGGTTCATATGCAAAAGTGCCACAGTTTATTTTGCCTTGCACAATAATTTTTTTTTTTTTCTTTTCTCCTTCCCTTTTTATACCACTCGTACGATAGCTATCGTGCTCTGAATGATCAAGCAGTGTACTCTGCTGTGTTATGCATTTATCCGTGTCGTGCGTTTTTTCCCTCCTCAATAGGCTTACCTGATCGTCTGTGATTATGTCCGTTGTTCTTTGGCGCGCCCCCCTATGGCGTACATTTTCCGGACAATCAGTCGGCTCGTTGGTAAACCCGTAATCTTCGCCCTGACCGTTAGCACAATTGCCTACCCCTTTGAGTCCATGTGTTTTGCGATGCACATTGGAATTGCAGACATCTCTGGAGTTACCGTCCACGTCCAACTTGAGGTCATCTGAATATGCATCACTTGCAGAGGGACTCCCCAAATGGTCACCCTTTTTTAAAGACGCCCCAATATTGAGGTCAATCTCATTTAATGACTCCCCGGAATGTCTAGAATAACTGTTGTTGTCTTCGCCATAATCATGTTTGTTCTTCTGGACAAAGACATTATAAGCACCCATTTTAGCTTCATGCAAATTTCCTTCTGGCACCGTATTATGGTGTTGCCCTTCGTTTCGATTTTTGTCCGCCTTTAGTACGTCTTTGCCTCGTTCTGGTGCGCCCATTTCGCCTTTCGCTATTCCCTTTCCACTTTTCCCTCCCTTTGTCTTCATCGAAAACATGCTCTTTATTTTAGAAGGAAATTTCAACCGAAGCATAGCCGTACTTATGTTGCTCTTATACTTTTTGCTGAAGAAGTAACTTCGTTCCTTCTCTTTGTTCCTTTGTTCATCCCAGTTGTTCTCACTGGCGTTTTCCTTATTTCGTCTTCCATGTGTGTAATCGAAGGAGTTTATATTTCCTGATAACACATCCACATTTTCACCCATTCCATCTATTTCATCATCTGCTTTTTCTTTCCCATCTGGGATGACCTCCGACTTGTGCACCCTCCCCTTCATTATCTTCTTGCCTTTAATATTCCCCTCCCCAACACAAACATTTGCATGGCGGTCCTCCTCAGAATGGTGAGTAGCGGGTGACTCACCACCCACCGAATTGTGTTTACCACCTTTCCATTTGAGCTCCTCCCCGTGGTCCGTATTAATATCCACATCGGAGGACTCATTTATCGCACCAGAAAATATGCGTTCCAGATTTTCCCCTTTGTGCCAGTCTCCCTTAATGGTATTCTTCACCTTACTTAATACACTGCTACACTTATCATAAAAGTTGTAGACTTCTTTTAGTTGAACAAATTCGTTGCACATAACTGTGTAAAAATTATTAAACAAAATTTCCATTATGTCATCGTCGTACAAATTGTCAAACAGTCCATCACTGCCACTTATAATGATGTCATTATTTTTTACATCAGTGGTAGCGTATTCGCAGTACCCGATGCACTTTGATATGATATCGTTATATGTGCTCATTTTAACCCTACTGCCGTCTTCCAACTTATTTGGGTGTGGTACTCGCGTGCCTACCATTCTCCCTCCGCCATTAGACGCTTTCCTCTCCAAGCGGCCTCCCAGAGTAGAAGGCATGAACGTTATTTGGAAGGGACAGTTAAAATAATGTTGCTGCACTTTCGACTTGTAAATTATATCAAAGTGCTTCTTATCCGCGTCAAAGCACCTAAATCGGTAGTTATTAAAATGGTTACCATGGGCGCGCTTTTGGCTATTTTCTTCACTCCAGCTTCTGTTCATGGTGGTTACTACTTCGACGTAGTTATTCTCCTCAGTGGGTCTTTCCTCAACGCCCCCTTGATAATCCTTCCCCTTCTCAATGGCCGAAATATCCGTCCTATCCAAGTCAAAAAAACGCAACAGATTTCTATGCCCACTTTCATCCATGGTGCTCACTGTCGCAAGAGGATGGTTTTCATTTTCGTAACAGTCACTCTCGGTGGTTTGAGAATATTTCTGGCCTGACACACACCCCGTCTTCGTATTAGAATGGCTTCCTCTAATCGTGTCAGAGGGTGTAGCTCCATTGGGACAGGCCTCTTCCTCCTTCACAATAAAGCTTAAATTGCCTATTTTGTAATTTCTACCAGCCAAATACGCTTCAAACTCGTTACACACATCTGCAGTTACCTCATCCTCCATGCATAATGTGACAGACTTCAAATCGTGCGGCGCAGCTTTACCACCGCTTACCTCTCTAAGGAGGTCTTTTTTGTAAAGCTCCTTCCTCTGTGCATACAGCTCTTTTAGCTTGAATTTGCTCCCCTGAGCAGTGTGGTCAAGAGGAACGTTTTTGCTACTATTCACATGAGGCGTACTAAGAGCGGGGTTTTTTGGCGAGTTATACCTCATCGATTTAAAACCCTGCTCAGTCTCATCCAATGGGTCCCCATAAGTCTCCTCATCGGGGACGCCATTACACATATCTGCATAAGTACCATCTGGCAGCGTGTCCTCGAGAGCACTCTCTCGTTTGGATGAATTTCCCAAATGTTCATTGTCTCCCATATTACTGTGCACCGCTCGGATGCGTTTATCTGGAAGACAATTTTTTCTAAATCGTAGTATCAACATTTGGCAATCTCCAACTGTGCAAATGTGTAGCTTTTCATTTTCCACAGATGAAAGCAATAGTGTGGAGGCTCCCAAAAAGTTAGACGAGCACGCGCTTCTACATACAATTGGCTTGAGCACTTCCTCTTCTTTGTGTTTGATGCTGTAGTGGTCAAACACGACCCGATTTTGTTCCTCAAATAGTGCACTATTGACACACCTATGTAGATACAAATTTAAGCACTTTTTCAAAAGCTCCTTTGAAAAATTCCCTACATTTATTCCACTGTTTTTAATGGAAGAAACTCCATCCGCTATGGCGATCATGTTGTCACTACACAGGAATGCATCCCCATTTTGGTAATTCACATTTTTTTTTTTTTTCTTCTTATGAGGAATTGAATTAGCTTTATGAAGCAGGATGTACTTTTGCGTTTTCATTTTGTGATAAAATCTGTTCATTACATATATGTTATCTTCCCACGACATTTTTTCCTTCTTTTTTCTCCCTTCCTTTTCCGTGAATGAACTGAAGAAGTTTAAAAATATGACTTGGTAAAAGGATAACGGATAATCTACATACTCTATATTAAACATTTTATTAAAATGGTTCTCACAGTACTCATTCAAGTTTGACATATATGATCCTGTGTTTGCATTCCGTCCACTTATTCGTATGGCTTCTGTGGAATTCTTCTTCGCGTAATGTTCAAACCCACACAAAAAGTCATTGTCAACGTGTTCAATGTTCATACAGTTTACCTCATCTTTATTGTTTCCCAAGCCTATTGCAATTTTACATGTTTGTAAAAGTCCTTCCTCCGTGATGCCTCCATCGTCCGAGTTCCTGCCACTTAAGCATTTGCTCAGAAGCTTCTGCATTTTGTTGTTTTCATTGTATTCTTGTGGAAGTGAACAAATCGGAATGGTAAATAAACCCAAGTGTAATCAAACAGAGATGTGTGTGGGGGTGTGGGGGGGAAAATTGTACCTATACACAACCTCTACACCGTGGAGTGCTTTGGCTCTTAAAGTGGGGATTGAAGAAAATTTTGTTCCAGTGGGTGTACAGTCATACTTTTCATAATACACCCATTAGTGCGTGCACATATGCGCTCGCGCCAGATAAACGCAGGAGCAGAGGGCCAGTGACCACAGGAAAAAACCTCCTTAGGATAATTCGCTCCGTTACGCCTCCCCCATGTGCCAACTTATTTGACCAACACGTTTTAACCACACACTGCTGCTCGCGAACTTTACTGTTGCGGCAGTCCAAGAGGATGAAAAATTTCCACAGGCATGTGTAAAACTGCTCAACTAATGGAACATTTATTCTGTGTAAAATTGGAGGACGTTCATTTATTTTTAAAAACAGTTTAAATGGGGTGAAGAAAAAAAAAAACAAAAAAAAAAAAAAAATATACATATATATAAATGTATATGCATATATATACATACACATATGACAATTTTCTGCAGCATTAGCAAAGCGCCGAAATTGACGATCGGAAAAAATTGCTCCAACGGGGGGAAGCAAACGTGGAAAATGAACAGGGCGAATGGACGTTTTTCTCCTCTTCCCCTGTTAACTGTTCTTTGCTCATTTTACACTGCATATCGCACAGGGTGTAGGTGACCACTTCGCATGCGTCGCAGGAGAAGGGAAAATGAACACGGAAAATAGAATAAAATGCGGCAAGGGAAGGGGGAAAAACGGAAAAAAGGGAAAAAAAAGAGGGAGGAGAAAGGTGTACGTCCAACGGTGCACATAAATATTAGCCATTGTTGTTTTTCCCCTCCTTTTACACCCATTTTTTTTATTTTCCATTTTGGAGATTCTGCTCTTTTCCCTTCCACACGCACATGTCCTCAATTAGAAAAATGTTTCTCTCGATTTGTTTGCCGTATTGTACACTATAGCTAACCAACAGGGAGAACAAGCAAGAGGTCTTCTGTTGTTATACATTAAGTGCTCAGAGGGGGAAGCCCTTAAATTTGGACAGGAACTTTCATTCTGCCCAGCAACTCGGGAATAGGTCCTCCTCTTTACTGCATGTGCCCATGGGGGTGTTCACATATCCCTGCTTCCTTCCCACGTTTGCTTCCCTGCCGTTGGCGAAAGTGTTTTTTCCAAACGATTCGTTCCTCGCTGTGAAGTAAGCCCAAGTAAGGTTCCGTCCATCCACACACGCGAATGTCCCCCTTTCAAAGAGACTTCTTATAAGCATCTACAAACAACTCAATTTCACCCTGAGACAAAACCCTATCGACATCGGTCGAGAAGACATTCGTCCGTGTGTCCTTTATCATTTTATTTCCATACAAAATATAATTCCTAATTTGTTCCCCAAAGTGCGTTAAGCTTTTATTTGAGAACTCATATTTTTTGTTCTTCAAAGCTTCCAGTTGTAAGTACAGGAGCTTTTCATATATCGTTTTTAATGCAATTCGTTTGTTAAGAATCTGTGATCTCTCACTTGATACCTTCACCGAAATGTTTGTTGGTTTATGCAAGATCCGCACAGCTGTCTCGACTTTGTTCACATTTTGTCCTCCCTTTCCTCCTGACCGCATGGTCTGAATAACTAAATCGCTTTTGTTCAGTGGAATTTCATTCACATTGATATTTCGACTGTTCAGGGTTTTTTTGACGGGGGTCGAACTATTTTCTGCAATGTTTAAAAAGTTGATGACGTTGGTGTCGTTGTAACTTAGCGTAGGGATCACATCGACTTTTACGAAGGACGTCATTTTTTTATTTTGCGCATTGAATGGGGAGTTGCGAACCATCCTGTGAATCCCCTTCTCTGATACGAAATTGTAAAAGCTATATTCTCCATCGATTTTTATTTCTACTTTTTTTATCCCCACTTCATTTTTGCTTAAATCAATCACTTCGTATTTAATATTTTTCTTGTTTTTCAATTTGGACAAGTACTTCATGTACATATTGTACAGCATGCTGCAGAAGTCACATGCCTCTGTCCCCCCCGTCCCAGAAGACAGTATCAGTGAACAGGAGTTTTTAAAATACTTGGAATAATTCTCTACATCCTTTTTGATGTAAGAGCTTAAACTATTCTTGCTAACCCGTTTGACATTTTTGCACAAAAAAAGGGATCTCCCAACACTTGCGATGCGTTTGCAGTTAACAGTAATGGACATGGCTACAAGGGCGAGCAGAAATGTTAAGTTTTCATATACATTCATATTTTCCCCATACCTCTACTTTCTTTTTTTGTTGTTCTTTTATGTGCTCCAGTTGGGGCTGTGCATCGCTCGATATCCTGGGGTTTGTGTGGTTAGCGGGTCATCTGTGGGGAGGCGGTCTGCATGACGGCGATGTGTGCACAAGCGCCTGCACAGCGTACCGTTCTTCAGTTCTTCATATCAGGGCACGCTTCAAATTCCTATCATGTCGATTTGTTTGTGTTCGAAAGGGGGTGATCCGGGAAGGGGAAGCATGGAAAAAAGCATTTTTGTTCAACTTATCTGCACCCTCTTCTTTTCAATACCTTGTAAGTGTTTCCTGCGCGAGGATCACTCACCATGTATGTTTCAGGTTCGGCTGGGTCCTCAATTCAGCACCTTCCTGTTATTCAGCCCACTTCAGTGTTTACCTCTTTTCAGCCTTTTTTTTTTTCCAGTGGCAAATTCTCCCTTTCCACAAGGCGAACTGGCGAATCTACCTCGACGCACCTTTTGACCGCTTAAATTGGTTTATAAAAGGAGCCATTAGGCGGGACGCAAGGAGTGTGAAACGGCCCCTCTAGTACGAAAAGGGAGGCATTTTTATCTTCATTTTTATTTTCATTTTACTATATTTTACTGTATATTATGTTATATTGAACCGTTGAGCACTATATAAAGAGATTAACAAACGGGGCGGTCATTTTTTCCCCTGTCATCGTATGCGAGACTTTGCAGCGTCCCACCTGGCACCCCCACCAAACTGTTGTTCACACCCGTTTGTCATTTTCGTTTACATTCCTAGAGGTACATAATATATACCCATCCATATATGTTCGAACACTTTGTGCCATTTTGCATTTCCACCGTTGCCCTGCACAAGGGAAAAGGTACACCCCAAACGTTTGCGATGGTGTGTCCCACCTTTTTCCCATTGGCTACCAAACGGAGCATTTACAACACTTTACTAATTAAAAAGGAGTTTTTCAAAAAAGAGGGGTGGAATGTTCATGCGCTGAAGCGGCACACGAAGAATTGTAAAATTTGGCAAGAAGCGGCAGTGGACTCATAAACGGAGTAAGATTATTGGGGCAGTAGGCTTCGTGTAGGCTACTTTGGGAAACGCTGGACTGAACCCTAAACCGAACGAACTCCCCAGGGAGAACGACTTCGGTAACGCTCCACACCCCTTTGGGAAAAGAAAAAATGAGCCCCACGGGTTCATATTCTTTTGGACACAACAAAAAACAAAAAAAAAAAATAAATAGAAGTCCATTAAAGAAGGGTCAACGGAAAAAGGCCCCACCAAAAGGGACCACAAAAAAGGGCCCAACAAAGGGGCCATCACTAAACCACTGTTACACCACTCCCAATATGGACGCATCGAAATTCTTCTTATAAACATACACGTGGTACAAAGAACAAATGTCAAAATAAATTTGGGAGTCCCTATTATACCCATGAATTTTATTAATGCGCATTTTAATATCGTCAAAAATGTACTTATTTATTGTTTTATTGATTAGGTTAAAGTAATTTATATTTTGGTACTTCTCATATGTCTCCAAGTTGTTGGTGATGTAATGAAGAAACATGATGGCGCTGTTGTTGAATAGCTCAACCATGTTCAGTTCTTGTAACTTATGTTTTAAATATTTCTGAGGAATGACAAACTCGTTCGCGTCAATTGTATCGTACAGGTAAAAATAATACTTAATCCCTAACGTGTTCTCCAGGGCGTTTTTTATCAAATTGTGGAAGTAGTCGTACTTCACCTGAGACACTGTGCTGTTGCTATTGACGAATTCTATGAATTCGTCCAGACACATTTTATTCTTAAAAATCTTGAGAAGATTTTCCTGGTCGAACCGGATCGTGAACAAGTCGTTTGCCAGCGTCAGCGTAATGGAGTCTGCAGGGGGTGGGATGAATGGAAACATGAGATTGGGCGGTAATGCCTCGGTGTGAAGCAATGTGTGCCGCGCAGCAATGCGTCTGTTTGAAACAGTGTGTACCGCGCAGCAGTGCCTGCCTGTGAAGCAATGTGTGGCTGCTGTACCACCTGCGTGCACTAACCGCTAACCACCTCCGTGACTGAGCGCTTCATCAAAAAGTCAGCCAGCGTGATGGTCGAAATGGTGGTCGCCAAAAGTAAGCCTTCACTCTCCAAAAAATTTTCTATGATTTTAAAAAATTTTTTAGAAGACTTCTCATTGTACACCACGTAATGCATGGCCAAATTTATAGAAATTATGTCAAACGTGATATTTTTATTTTTCCATTTTCGAAAAAATTTATTATTTAAAATATCCCCTTGCAGAAATAAAAAGTTGTCATGATTACATAAGCCTTTTACATCATTCTGACTTAAGCGTTCCTTGGCCAACTCAATTTCCTTCTTGGAGATGTCCAGCCCAACATAGACCTTATTTTTCACCGTGTTGTATTTGAGCATATCCTGTCCATGGCCGCATGCAAGGTCCAAAATTTTGGAGCCATATGGAACAAAGAACAGGATCATTAATCTCTTCACCTCATTATTGAAGATACGGATATATTTGATGTTGGACTTTTTCAACAGAATGACTTTTTTTTTGTCGTAGTGCTTCCTGATTTCCTCATTCACGTCTCCTATCATCTTGGGGTAGAAGTAATCGAACTTGGTGGTGTTGTTCTTCAGCTTGTTTAACAAGTTGATTAGGCACTCGAAGTTTTTGTAAAAGTTGTATATCACGTAGTCCAGCTTGTTCGAGCGTCCTTCGCGTTGGTCTAGTTTTTCGCGGCCATCGCCACATCCGTCTTCGTTTCCGTCTCCATCTCCATCATCGCCGCCGCTCACGCCGCTAACCTGGCCAATGTTGCTCCCCTCTTCCCCTTTTCTGAACTCGCGCACAACCCGCTCAATGTCGATGTACATATCCACGTTCACCTTCCAGTCCTTCTCAAGCTCGAACAGCTTCCCCACATCTTTTCTCCTATTCTCCACACCCTTGGCACTCGCACTGGCCTCGCCCTTCACTTCGTACATTTTGATGATATCCAAATTACTGGAAAAATCGGAGTAATCAATGTTGTAGTCTATGTTCACATTTTTCAATTTTTTATTTTTTGCCACATGTAGAAATAGACTGCATCCCTTGTACTTGTCGTCGCAGCAGAAATTGTAAATCGAGATGTCCCTCACGTATCTTTTTTGTATTCTGATATTCTCTTCATGCAGAGCCTGCAGGTTGGGCGGTTCGCCCGCGTTGCTCCCAGCGCTGACTCCCACGACCCTTTGCCCATTTTTGTGCTGATATATGTCGTACGTACGGCGCTGTACGCTCGGCCGATTTGTACCATCGGGTACAGGTACTTCGGTGGAGGGGACACCCCCCAACAGAGGCTCAAAAGAACTCAAATTTAGACACTGGTTGTACGAACTATTCGGGTAATAAACACAGACGGTGTCACTTTCGACCTCCTTAAATGCGCTTATAACCGTCCCATCGCCATCCCTGGAGTATATTATTTTCCTCCTATACAAAATCTGATTTCTGTCATTAGACGAGTCATCCGATTCCGTAGAGTTGTGCTCACTTGACGTGGCATTAGCTTCATTATCGCTGTCCTCTTCCACTAGCTTTTTTAACTTTTCCATGTACACCTTATCCTTATCAACAATTTTTTTTTTCCTCTTCTTCCTTTTCTTCTTCCTTCTCGTTTTCCCATTGAGCAACTGCATCTCCTCCTTCTTCTTTTCCTCGTTATATAAATTTATCAATGCATCACTTTCGTTCGATTCGCTCGATGTGCTATTTTCCTCCAGATCGCTTTGCTCACTCGCCCTTTCGTGGCGTGTCTGGTCATCGTTCTTATTTTCCTCACGCTTTTGATCCGCCGCTTCGTCCTCCTGCACAGGCTCCTGTTCTGCAGCAGTTGCTTCTCCAATCACTTGAGCGGTGCCCCCACCCTTGCGTCGATCCTTCCTTGTGTCGTAGTAGTACCACTCCTCCAGTTCATATTTCTTTTCCAAAATTTTAAACTTATATTTACTTTTATGAATTTTGAAGAGATCGACATAGATGTAGTTCAGCACCTCAGTGTCGATATTAAATTTGTACTTGTAATTATTGTTACTAATTTTCTGCAAAATAATTTGATTAACTATTGGTAGGTTTATTAGCTCATCATTGAAGCTTCCTCGAAGTTCCACCACACTGCTGTGTATGGACAGGAACTGCTTCCTCTCCTCACTCTGTAAGCTCTTCCTCAAAAAATTTACAATCTCCAAGTTGATTTTATTTTCTATATTAACATATTTGTACTCGTCAAAAATGGCGTAGGGCTTTATCTGTGTGCAATTGTCTTTGTAAAATAAGTCAATTTTTATTGCATCATGAATTTTTAATTTTTTTTTTATCAACAAGTTTATTTCGTGGAAAAGATTATTCTTGTCGATGAATATTTTTTTCTCTTCATTCTTGTTTTTGCCACTGTTCTTTGATTCTCCTACGTCCGCTGCATCCCCCCTCTTCTTTGCGTTTTCCCTAAGGCCTTTACTCTGTTTTTCCCCCTGTTGTGAATACTCTGCAGAATCCTTTTTCCGCTTCACATGAGGAGGAGACGACGGCCTAAAAGAGTCTTCTCCATTTCCTTCTGTTCCCCTTTTTTTGGGATTTCCTTTTTCTCCTGTAATTGATGTATCCTTCTCACCTGCCTCCTCCGTGCCCGTGGCGTTTACCTCACTCACGTTGTTTGCTCTGTTTGTGAATTTATCTCCATGTTCGTTCGCGTCATTTATATTTTCTGGATCTTCGTTTAAATTCTCACTCATCATATTTGTTCCTGACGTCAGTTTCGATTTCAGGTCTTCGAAAATTGTGTCCCCCTCGGATAAACGCGCTCGCTATTCTGTGTACATATAAATATGTTCATGGCGTACATTACTAAGCAGTATACTGTTTTAGAGTTTCTACTATGGGGGGAGTTATATGTGTTGTTAATTTCTTCTTAAAAAAATTATATTTATTCTATCATTTTTCATTTCCTCATTTGTGTTCATTTTTTTTTTTTTTTTTTCTTGTCGCTCATCGGTAACACTTTTATGTTAAAAGGAAAACGTACCGCACGATTTGCCACTACTGTTGCCTTCCCTTCATGACGCATTTTCCCGATACATCCTCCATAGATTTTTTTTTTTTGTTATAAGGCGAGGCACTTAACAATGAAGCCAAGCGCCACGTGTAAAATTCCCTCTTATCGTCGTAATGCCCCTGCAGAAGTGATAAGGCGTGATCCCCCAGTGAGACATAATTCTACTTTAAAAATCATGGGAAAAAATAATGCACAAAAAATGCGCAAGAAAAAAAAAAAAAAGAAAACGGCGCTGCAAGATGAATGTACATAAAAATGGCCCTCATAGTTTATCATTAACTAAGCGTGCACATTCGCAAGGAGCCCAAACACGACATTAGGTGGATGGACCTGCAGACGGAGCTCTGGCGTCTAGGAAATTGGCACACATGTAGTACGTATGTATATATGTTATGGCTACAAGTCCTGGACCATAGGACATCATGCCCGTTGACCTTCCCCCACGGGCAAGGGTTTCCTCATTTGGGGCCACTACAAACAGACAAAAGCAACGTGCACAGTGGTCCGCAAAAAACGCTTCGTCATATGGGGCAAAAGAGACGTATGGAAATAAAAGTGCCCACAACGCGTTTTAGCCATTTTCTTGCGCATGCTCATGCACACAGGGATACGTCCTCGCTCTACCAAAGAATAGCTTTTTTTTTTTTTTTTTTTTCCATATTATAAATAAAAAAAAAAGAAGCATTCAACACGGGAAAGAGGAGTCTAAATGAACTGCCATTTTTCGTTCCACACAAGGGCGGAAAATATTTTGTCTGCACCGAAATAGAAATCCACCATGTGCATGCCTGTTCGAAGAGGCACATGTGTCCCTATATGCACGTGCTTAACTACGCGCATGCGTGTGCGTACGTTACTCGCGCCAGAATAATTCACCCCAACTAGTTGCCAACGTTAGTAGTCTGGTTAAAAGCAGTGCTAAACGGGCAAAAAGAGAGAGCGATGAATGGAGCAAAAAATAAAAAAATAAGGAAGTAGTGAACTAATGAAATAAATAAAGCGGAGCCGCACGAAGGACAAACTGTTTAGCATTAGACGAACGGCTTCCAAACGCCAAGTAGCAACACTATTTGCCAGACGCTTGTAAGTGAACATATCTTGACGGGCGCAATTTTTTTTTTTTTTTTTGCTACCATTTTCCCTTCTTTCTAGGCGCAACCTGGGGATGGGCGTTTTTTGCTAGTTGTGAATATCGCAGTGCATTACTCGGCAATTTTTTTATATGTTTCCTGCTGCATTTTTTTTTTCTTTTTTTAATCCATTTGCGCGGTTACGCGGTTACACCTTTATGCTATTTACGCGTTTATGCTGCTGTTCATTCATTCCGCTACATATTTATATGTTCACCCCTTTAAACACTGGTGGTTCTCCCCCTCCTCGTGTCTCTGTAATTTATGCCAACGAAACGCGAACGTCCAATTGTCCTCTGCCATCCGTTCGAAGGACAAAGCCCACCACCTTGGGGTACTTCATAACCCCCCACTGTGCCCAGACATGGTAGCAATCAATTGAGACCCCCTCAAAAGTGACATTCTTAGGAAAGAACACAAGGAGCAGCTATAGCAGTACGTCCTCACACATGTGCACACATATATATATGTATACTTATAGATGCCAAATTATAGTTGGCCACTTGTTTTCCTGAGAGGCTCTGCTCACGACACGAATCCACGTCTGTGTGGGAATAAACTCATGTCCATCCCCCATCTGTACGCGCGGCAATGTGTGTGCGTGTCAGCGTCCACGATATAGCTCACGAAGTGGGAGGAAATAATAACGCGTAGTGTTTCCTGGTAGCATAACACAGCAGCAAGGAACAAAATACTCCCTATCGTGAAAACATATCTCCCTCCAAAGGCCATAAAGGCAATCCATCTGAACCGCTTAAATGGTGGCATATAACTCAAACTCGTTTCAGCATAGTCAGCGAGAAGATATTCAAAAATGTATCACAATGACGCCGCGTATCATCACGAGGGAGAACAGCACATGCATGTTAGCAGGCAGTGGAGTGACAGGTATAATGGGTCTATGCGGAATATCTATTCGAAGAATGGACAGACAAGGAACGAAAGTTGGAGGGAAGAGCAACATTGTAGAGGAGGCCAAATGAATAGCCACACACCTCCGAACACAGAAGCGATTGATGCGAAAGTAAGTAGCGGAAGGTGCCCCTTTCGAAATTCCTACGTCAACGTACTATATTTTCAAAAATTAAAATTAAATAAAAAATTGTTCGAAAAAATGAAAAATAAAAATATAGTCATATATTTAAAATATAAAGAAACGACATGCACAAGTAAAGACATCCAAGTCACCAACTCGGAAATAGATAATTTATATTTGACCTTTCTCGTTACCGAGCCGCTTGCAAAACATGAAAAGCAAATTATAAAAATATATATAAAATATTTTAAAGACAACAAATATAAAATTCTTTCATTTGGATTTGTTGAATTAAATTTTGAAGAGTTCACAGAAAAGTTTTATAAAAAAAAAAGCTACATGTTATGTTATGACAAGAGTAACAATAAATATGTGTTTGGCTACTTCGTTTTGTTGTTGGCCAATCAGATAAAGTGGACCATATGCAACAGGAAAATTTCGCATGAGTTTATTGGCAAGTCTTACTTCGTTTGTGACAGAAATAATTATGATCATCAGATTTTTTACATTTGTAAAAAAATTCAAAGTTTTTTATTGCAATCTGTTCGCTCCCGAGAGGGTAGTCAGATGCACGCCTTTCAAAGCCGTGCCCTGCTCAAGCATTTCGGCGTCACGCACAGCTGCCCGGGGACGTTTAGGTGGAGGAAGCCGCAGGAAGCGACACTCGGTGCGGGGCGTACGTGTAGCAGCTCGAGTGAAGAAGAAGAAGAAGAAGGGGGGAACTGCGCAGAGAGTGAAACGCAAGGGAAGACAGAAGTTTGTGACAGTGAGACCCATCTGAACAACCCATTATGTGATAATGAACCCCATGGGAAGACCGCCCTATGCGGGTCCTTAACGCGCCTGGATGATACGTCCCCAAGTGAACGGAGCGATCACGACGAACCAAGCACGCCAGACAACCAAGGCGAGCTCATCAAAAAGAGAGCCTCAGAAAAGGGTGCAGAAGAAACGAGTGCAAATGGCGATCAGGAGCAAGAGCCATACGAGTCGCACGAGTCCAACGAGTTCAACGTGTCTAACGATCTCAATGAATCTAACGAACCTAACGAGCCTAACGAGCCCAACGAGTTCAATAAGTTCAACGTGTCTAACGAGATCAACGAGTCTAACGAGATCAACGAATCTAACGAGCCCAATGAGTCAAACGACCCAAGTGGGTCTAACGATCCCAACGAATCTAAGGACCCAAATGAGTCCAATGAGCCCAACACTTTGCCCCACGAAGACGATATTCAGATCAAAAATTGTGCCACGGATGAAGCGGAAACGTGCGTCTCATATGCGGCCCAGTACGATGCCACCCACTGGCTGGAAAACATAACCACAGGACCCTTCTCTTCAACGGAGGACCTGGAGCAAACAATACAAAAGGACAATCTTCCAAGTTGTGCTCAAAAGAGTCAAGTGGAGGCAACAAACACACACGAGGAAAGAAGCAATGTAGAAATTAATAACGATGCGTATAAACACTCCGATGCAGGAGACGCTTACGATGATACGCAGAAGGTAGAAGAGGACGAGTCCCTGGAGGAAAACACCTTTGATTTAATTCTATGCAAAAAGGTGGAAAATATTTTAAACCACGATGTAGACCATTTTGTAGAGGAAGTCCAATTTATTCTCACGCACTTAAAAAAAAGGATAATAAAAACAAATGAATTTTTTGGAGGGCAGTTAAAAAATGATTACCCTGACGTTGAAGTGGTAGCGAACGACCACGTCGCAGAAAAGGGGGACATGAAAACTGAAAAGGATGAGGATATAAAAAATAAAAAAATCTGCATTGCGAATACTACAAATGGTGAAAAAGAAAGTGAACAGAACTGTAACATAAAAAAAGACATACTTACCATTTTGCAAAATTGTGTAAACACCACTTCGCTTTATATTAAATCTGTTTTGAAGGACAAACATGTGAGCAAACAGGAGAAGGACATTTTTGTCGTGTACGATGATATCATAGATAATATAAAAAAGGCTATATCCCAGTTTTTGCAAGAGGGCACAACATCATATGAGCAGAATTTAAATATTTCGCGAGTGAAGTCGATAAATTTGGGAAAAAAAAAAAAAGAAAAAAAAATTACAAAGAAGAAGAGTCAGTCTAAATTGCCCCAAATGTGTGCCCTTCGTAAGGAGAGCAATGTATCCTCCGAAATGAGCATTGACGAGGGTTCGCACGACCAACTCAAGAGCTTCATCGGCAGACACGTGTCGACGGCCTTGCGATACTACGAAGATAAGTGGAAGCGCAAGTTATCCGGAGCTCGCAGCTACGTCTGAGAAATGACCCTACCACATCCTTCCTTCTTTCCCACCCCCCAGCCGTTACGCACAACTTCTGCCCATTTGTGTCTCCCTCCCGATTTTACTATAATTTTTTTTTTTGTAATTTTTCGTCCTTTTCATTCACACCAACGTGGTTAGCAATGTTTGTTTCTTTTTTTTTTTCTCACCCCATTTAAAAATAAAGAAAAACATATATTTGTATTTACCAACATGCACGTACATATACGCAGTCGTGTGTGTGCGTCCTGCATATGTAACCATGTTTTTGTCTCCAAGCTACAATTGCGCTTAACCACGCCTTCATAAAACGCTTCTACTTCATTCCACGATCGTTTTACATTATTGGAAATTTTTTTTTTAAATTCGGAAAGTACGGGAAAAGTGTAGTAAGCTGTGCAAAAGTAGGCCTTACATACGCTTTGGATTCCTTTCCTACGGGAGGGATAACCTCGAACAGGTTGACAGCAAATTCTGCTGTATTAAGAATTACATTTTTTGGTGTGTATCCCCCGGTTGTTTCTACCAAGCACGAAGCGCATCGCCCCATCCTGCTATGTCATTAATTGCGTGTAAATGGAATAGGCCCATTTTGAAAGTGCAATTTTTATGCAGCGTGCTTTCTGCAGAAATATGAATCTACCTAAATTTGCAGACGCAAAATGCACCAAAAAGAAAAAAAAAAAAACAAAAAAAATTCCAAGATAAAAATTGTTAACAGCGAACAACGGCAAACCTCTGCTTGCATTGCAAACATGTTGTAAAATTCGAAATGTTATAAGGTATGCTTTATTAGCTAGGAAGGCTTCATATATATTTGCATCCTTCCAATTTTATCTTGCGCCAGTTGAACATCTCCATTTGGTGGAACATGATCGTTTTTTTTTTTTTGTAACATTGCATACTACACTTTGTGTAAATTTCGCTAGCTGATGAGGTCACTACTCCTCACGGTTGCTGGAGCGCTTCACCGCAGCTGACTAAACATGGTAGGGTGAATAGATTGCTAACCCGAGCAGGTCGGGGGCTCAGCACGGGTACATTGTAGCATTCCACAAATTTCTGCATCGTTCCACGGTGCACCTCTGCACTTCGCCACTTCTCCACGTCTCCGCTAAACCAACGTGGACCATGTTCCGCAGGGGAGCCACACAAAGCATGAGCAAACTTAAAAGACTCATACCAACAAGAGGCGTGCACACATCTGCCAGACTTTTCACCTATGACCACTTCATCTTCAATTTCGATGACGTAGAAAATTTAAAAAAGTTAAAAGAACTAAAAACGGAACCATTTGTCGTACAAACACAAACGAAGAAGCACAAATATGAACACATTTTAGATCAAAATAAATTAAAAAAAACAAGAAAATTGCTCATCTTGATTCGTAAAAAATTGATAAATTGTGAACAGACCCCTCTGAATAGGTTCTACTTCATATTTTATAAAAATGTAGACTGTCTCTCCGAGGCCGAAGTGATCGATTTGCTGTACTTGGCCGTGCGGAACAGGAAGTATTATGCGCAGCAAGGGCATGTACAGAGTGGCTTCGACAGTGAGGCGGGTGGTCCCCATGACGGGGGCAACAATTCCATCATCGGGGAGGGAAGCCACTTTAGTAGGAACAACGTACAAGACATTTCTGATCATGTCTACACCAATGTAAGTTATGCGAAAGATATCACCGTAGATAACTGGCACGGCGAGCATCTTGGGGGGGAAAATCAGAGGGCAAATGAAGACTGTACACCAGGAGGAGTAGACCCCGAATGGGGTGAAGACGTAAATAATGATGAATGTTCTCGTCTGAAATGCAAACAGGGGGGTTCCATTGCAGAGAGTAGTGGGACTACCAATTGCTTGGTGACTATGGAGGAAGATGGACTGGATCCCAAAAATGATCACAAGTACACTCAAAAAAGTGCCACTTTTAAGCGCCGAGATGTCGATTATGTGCTGAGGCTTCTGTCCTCATTGAGGAACTCGCTAAGGGAAAGAAAAATTGTCATGGAAAATACGATGACCTTGCTGGACGTGTACAAATTGTCGTACTGCTTGCGCCACTACAGAATGGTGGAGATGGACAATTTCATAGTCACATATATTTGCGCTTTGCTAAAAAAAGAAATCAATCACCTAAATCAAAACAGGAGCGACTACGAAATAAGAGACGATGAGCAGTTGAACATTCTGCTAAACGTTCTCATCATACATCATAAAAAATTGAAGGGGCATTTTTTTAACCTGTTATATGACTACCTATTTGCTGTGCTCAAAAGGGGAATCTTCAGCCTGTCCTGCAAGAATATCTGCCTACTACTACAAGTGAATAATTTCCAGGTGAATAAATACGATCCCTTTTTTCTTTCCCTGCTTGGACGAGAACACCCTCTTTCCCAGACAGTACCGCGCAGGATAGCACGCGAAATGGTGAACAGTTCTCCGACAACCGCCTCGCTATCCCTGGCGGACATCAACTACCTGCTGTTTTACCAACTGGAAAACGGCGGAATGAGGGACACACCCCGATTTGACCTACTCACGGACCTCCTTGCCAACACACCTGAAATGACTTCTCAAAAGATTCAAAATGTACACCTGCTATCTTTGCTACTGCTCCGCTGTGACTACTCTAAAAAGTACGCCAGAGAAACGTACGATAAATTTGTGGAAATAGTTTATCATATGTATTCATACCTGAGGAAGAATATGAATAGCTTATTAGAGAATAAAAAAAAAAGAGAACACCTTTTGAATGTCCGTTTTTTAAAAACTTTTTCCCTAGCTCTATCTCTGATAGGAACTAACCTCCATGTGAATGATGAATTGTGTCTCTTCGTACTTTACCTTATAACCAATCCGGAGCAAACACTGACCATCCGTGACTACATAGATTTATTAAAAATCTCCAATTTTTATAACTTCCAAAAGGAGCTATATTTTAACAGGAACGCTCTATACTGTGAAGACAAGACGTGCTTCTACATCTATGCCAGTGCAGACCACCAGCGGTACCCCCCCCTCAACTGGGAGTCATTATCAAGTTACATTTACGAATGCTTAAAGGTGGTATATTCCTTTGAAGAGGAAGGAAGAAATTGGATTGAGACCCATGGAGGGGATCTTGAGAAGGAGAGGAAGATGGTAGGCACGTGCAACGGGATAGCCATCATGAAGGAACCGCATGTGGATGACCAACCCAAGGCAGACATGATGAAACTTGGCGCGCATACAGAGGTACCCCCACTAATAGGTAACCTCGAAACGTACCTTCTGAAAGGGTACCCAAAGGATGGGAAAAACGGCGCCATTGAGAACCCCTTTCGAGTGAAACCACCCGCACAGTGCCTAAATAAGCAGAAGGCGGCAAAGAAGAACAAAAGCTACTACATGCAAATTTTGGACATCCTACCATTGATACAAAACGATGCAAGAGACAAACCTTTTTATAAACACCTGTTGCGATTATTTCAAAGAGACGTGCGTCATTTTAACCTACACGTGTTCGACTTAGACAAAATCCTATTCACGCATAGTCTCCTCAACATAAAAAAAGAGGATCTCTCCATGAATATTCTAAACTTACTAGACAGAGTGAAAGAAAATCTTATGAGGGAGGATAACCCTTTGGAAAAAGAAACGTACCTGCTTCATTCTCTCTGCAACATACTTCTCACCATGGCTGAATTGAACCTCCTTCCAATCGTGGACATAAAAATTTTTGAAAAAAAGGTCCTTACGAATATCCATTTATTAAATATCGGTGCTATTCTCACTCTGATGCAGTATTACATTTTGAAGGGAGCAGGGACGACGGGGCTAAGTACACACACTAAGACGATTGCGTTACTGGTTATGCACTATATTAAGAAGAAGTATCGGCTCTCGAGGGATGGTGCAGATGGAGACGCATACCAATTTGAGATGTTAAAGGGGGATGTAAATTATCCAACCATCGAGCGCTACCTACACCAAAGGGGTAGTCATAATGGGAAAACGGCTTCCACGGGGGAATACCAAATGGGGGACCGTTCATGTGGCCCCAAAACCGATGCAGTGGAAAACGAAAGCAGTTATTGTGTCCCCTTTGAAAAGATAAACGAAGATGATTTGTACGAATTTCTACTGCTAAGATTGGTGTTCATCCATCTCGTCACCCATACGACCCTCTTTCACGACAACATAAAATATCACCATGGGGAAGAGAGGCACTACCGCTCTATGATGAATAACCTTAACAGAATTGTCCTTCACCTTAAGACTGATTTCTCAGATATGTTGTTGATCGGTCTGACGGATGGTGTCCTTGTAGACGGTGGTAATGACATGCGGGCTCCCCAAGAAAGGGGCTCTACGAGTCGGCAAAATATGCAAAAGGACAGAGAACAAGCAAAAAGGAGGATTGTATCCAGCTGTGCAGCCCACGAAGTGCAAAACGAGCACATGGTAGGATCCCCAAACCAAAATAACATCCTTAGCCGCGCGAATTTCCACCTACTTCTCAGCTACGTTACATTCACCCTTAAGCATGACCTGAATTTTCTCATGAATGACCGAATTTTCCACGAAACCTTAGCCATGCAACATTTGTTTGTTAAGAACTTCAAAAGCTTGTACTACAATTATAAATACTCATTTGTCTATCACAAATTAATGCTTTCATTAATTTTTGATATGAGGAGAAAAAAGTCGATGCGGATAAATTGCCCTTTAAATGCCTTCAAAAAAAGCCCAAGTGACATGGAAAAAATGAATATAAATGAGTACACACATATATTAAGGCTTTTTAGTGCTCTGTGTGCAGAGGAGGGAATGGAGGAAAATGCCTTTTACAAATACTTAACACAAAACAGTGTGCAAATGTATAGCCCACAGCAGCTCCAGAAGTATGACATCTTACTGAATCGCCACTTAATTTACGACATGAACAGGAGCGAAATTGTTAGCGTTCATTTGAATGTCCCTTTTTTTAACTACATTATTCCAATGCTCATAGAAACAAAAACCTTTGCTGTGGCTGTGCAGGTGATTTTCACCCCTACGGAAAATGTAGACACGTATGCAACACTGTTCAACGTCATGTGGGCATTCTTAAAAAGTTATAATTATGACGTGATACTGATGAAGAGAAGAGGGGAAGAGTAAGGGGACGGGGAGTATACTTGGCCATCCCCTCCACGCTTCCTCACAGTGGAATGGGCACACGGAAGGTACTCCCCGCACACAGACACGTTATTGCTGTACCCAATTGGCGCTACATATTATGACGTATAAATTGTAAGTACGCTGTGGGCATTTTTGTTCTCCTCCTTTTTGTTCATTTCCATTTCCTTTTCCGCTTTTTTATTTTTTTTTTTTTGTTCCTCTTTGAAACCCGCCTCAGTAACTCCTCCATTCGATTATTTGCTATAAAAAAAAAAAGTAGACGCAATTGCACAATATACGCTAAATGAAAAAAAAAAAAAAAAAAAAAAAACAGACGCAATTATGCAGTGTGTGCAGAAAAAAAAAAAAAAAATAAACTTCTTTTTTCCCCTGGAGAATAATAAGCAAAGTGATAGACCACGCGCAGGTGATCCGTAGGAACAATAATTGGCTATGTATTTTTCAAACTGGGTTAAAGAGTGCAAAAAATGAGGGAAAACGAGTGTGATACGGATACTAAATTAATAGGCCTTTCGCAAAGCCCTTGAATTTTACCCTATGTGAAAAATAAACGAGCGGAGTTAACTTGTTTATTTTGTCTCCCACTTCCTGTTTATGGTTATCCACCTTATTTTGTCCGCATTTTGTGTGGGCCAAAGAAGCCTCCCAAAAAAGCTAAAATGATTGCAATGGGTAACTAAAAGAGGGTTACAAAATTTAGCCACACAATTGGCCACTGAGCCTCCAAAAAATCTAGGCAAGCAAAACTGCCTAGAATAATTCGTGCGTCTTGAAGTTCATGTTAATCGGCGCGCACACCAAAACGGGGAGTAATAAGTGTCAACCAAAGTTGGGCAAGAACAAACGGGCGTCGCCTGGTGGCACCGTTTGGTCGCCTTACTTCTCATCACACCTTGACGCAACGCACGCAATGCCCAAACGGGGAATTACCCCCATCACCCCCTTGTATGGGTAATTTAATTTTGCGCATGCACCAGAAAAAGATTACACCACATTTGTTAATTGCAAAGGTTGTGCATTCGTCATCGCACACATGGGTGTTTCACACAAGTCGACTGCCAACGCAACGAATGATCAGCAAGTGTGCCCCTTTTTTTTTTTTTTTTCTCCCCCCATTTTGTAACTACCCCCTCCCTGCGTGCATGCATGTATGCACAAATGTGTGTGTGTGCTTCTTTCAAGCCTAACGCTAAAAAACTCGCTCAAAAAAAAAAAAAAAAAAGGGCAACAAGAATTGCTAGTCGTCATTTTTGATAGTCACTTGGGAGGTTGCACCTTTGTGAGCAGGCGCACCCCCAGTTGGCTTTAAATTGTCCTCACCGCAGCCTAGCCGCACAAAATGATGCAGAGCATACAGGTAAACTCACCCAAGAAAGTGGTGCGGATGCAAGGAGGAAGTGACGAAGATGAAGAAAACGAAAAAGAAGAATATCTCATAACCAACCTCACTGGAAGCAATAAAAACATGCCCAGTCTTATAGTCCGTATTCCAAGCAACATGAACAAATTTTTAAGTAAGGAGGAAGTAAAAATCAATTTTAATGAAGATATTAAATTGCCTAATAAAAAGGGGAGCAAAAAGTTACGCTCCTTTAAGTTGGAGCCATCTGCACCAAGCAGCTCTGAGCAAATGAATGAGAAAACCATGGAAAATACCTACAGGAGTCCCGACGTCAAGGTGGACAGTACGTACCAGTCAGACGGGACAGATGGTGAGGCTATCCCTAGGAACGGGTTGGTCCCCGACGGGGACAGCGGTGAAAGCGATGATGATGAAGAGGAAGACCAGGAGGAAGACGAAATGAGTGAGGAATTCATCAAGTCATTCAAAGAGAACTACGTGGAGAAACACCAAACGAACGCTTGCAATGAAAGCGTTACCTTCCTAAGAGATCACACAAAAAATGAACTTGAATATTTTCTTCAAAAAAAAAAATTACACAGTTCATACGAAATGAAAATAAATGACATTATCAACATCGACTATGATAAGCTCAACGAGAAAAATATCATCCCATACTTTTTAACGAACATGTTCGATGCAGAACAGAAGAAGAAGAGAGACAAGTTGAAGCAGCTGTTGGAGGCTAAACGGAAGTCCATGCTGGAGAGATCAAAGAAGAGGTATAACAACCAAATGGACAAGGGGGTCGCAGGACGCCAAAAGGGAAAGACCAGTCCCAGCTCCAAGGGGAGCAAATTGACGAAGGGGGAGAAGCTGCACAGCGGGAAGTTCAAAATGGAAAAGGGTGCAAAGGGTAAGGGGGACCAAGAGGACGACGAAAATGACGATGCTGATGACGAGAATGACGACGATAATGATGATGAAAATGATCTCGACGGAGAGGATGACGCGTACGAGCCTCTCTCAACGGGAGCAAAGCGGAAAAACAAGCAAGGGGCAAAGCTAGTCGGGGCAAAGGACAAAAGGACGCGCATCCAAGAGGGAGACAAGCAGGAAGATCCATACCTGGACGACTTCGATAAAGACGCGGACGTAGATGCTGATGTGAATATTTACAACGACCCGACACTGTACGGAATCGAAGGCAGTAGTGACTACACGGAGGGGATAAAGAGCGACTTAGAAAACTCCCAAGAGGAAGAAGACACAACAAAGGATCAACAGCAGATGGGAAACATTTCAAAGGCACAAAAAAAAAAAAAAAAAAATGTAGAGGAACTAGGAGAGGAAGAAGAAAATATAGATGATATAATAGATGCAGAAACGCAAAAGTTAATCTCGTATGATTACTATTCTAGTGTAAATATAAAAGAAGTGGTAAAGCCAAGTTATAAAATAAAATCGTTAACCCCCTTTATTCCCATTGAGGAAAATATTGACAATTTAGATCACGTCCAAAAATTGCAATACCTGATTAAAAATTTGCCACACACACATGTAAAGGAAAAGAGGTCTCTGTATCACTACAACATTAAGCAGTTTATCAAATGGAAAGTCTATCTAATGAATAATATAAATATTTGCCTTTACGGAGTAGGGTCAAAATATCACCTGCTCAATCTCTTTTGCAACATATGCCTAAATGACGGAAACAAATGCATTGTGTTAGGGTTCGAAGAAGAAATAAACTTTGAAGAAATTATAACACGCATATTGGAATACCATTATAAGTACAAAACGTCCAAAAATTTAAAGTCATTTGATTTGCTCTACGAATTAATTCACAAAGTAAATGAAACTAATCTCCCCCTGTATTTTGTTATACATAATATAGATAACGTAAAATTATACCCCTACTATGAATACTTTTCTTTTATGAGTCAATTTGATAATATTCACTTTGTTTGTTCCATTGATGATGTTTCTTTTGAGCTCAATATGAACTTTAAGAATATCAGCTCGATCAATTTTCACTATGTGAAATGCCACACGTGGTTAGATTACCGTCATGAAATTCTGAGACAGTGGAATAAGTTCCTGCCCGAATGGGTGTTCAATAAAAAGTGCGAAGAGGTAGACGTGAAGAAAAACATAGAAACTATATTAAACGCGCTTAGTATAAATCATAAGAGACTCTTTAAAATCATTGCATCTATTCAGTTGGAAAATCTGGAAAAGGGCATCTATGGGGTCGAGAAGGAATCCTTGCTCCAGGACAAGCGAATATTTACTGTCGGAGCATCCAGCATCAGAATAAACTCTCTTCTTGTCGAGTTCGTGTCCCACAATGTTATCACCGAAACGAGGCTCAAGGAGGGTAACACCTTCCTCAAAATAAATGCAGACAAGGTGGAACTCAAGAGGGTCGTCGAGCAGTTGTGACGTGCACACACATGGAAAAAAAAAAAAATAAAAAACGACGATCTCTAACAATTTTCCTCTTTAAGAATTAACCAATTAAGAACCCTACGCACCTCTCCGTTCCTTTTTTTTTTTTTTTTTTTTTTTTATTATAAACTTTTTTTTAGTGTATATTTTACAAGTTGGAAAAACTTCTTAATGTTAATGTTTAAAAAATTCGTGGGCCGCTGGGCCTGCGCATGTAAGGTGTGAAAAAGAGGGAAAAACAGGAGAAACGGGAAAACGGGGCGTTAATAAATGCTAAAAGTTCAGTCCTGCCTGTTCAGCTTGACGGATGCGCATTCAGGTATGTGTCTCATTTGTGCAATCGCTTATCTGTTGATATGTGCACCACATGGCCGGCTCCCTCGTCTTTGTTCCACCGCAACATCGACCAACCGCTAACATGCTGCAACGCTACACAGCTCAGAAGGCGTCGGCCTCCTCGTCGTCGGGGGCGTCTGCACCATCGCTATGCCCTTCATCATAATCGTCCTCATCGTCCGCGTTGTACACGTCGTTGGGGAAGGCAATGGCTGTATTGTTCTTGTTGATGGTGAACACAGTGAGCTCCACGTATTTGTCAATGGTGTTAAAAACATGCGCTTTGGTAAACCCCTTGGTTACAGCCTGCGTTTCGATTTCTTCAATCGATATCCATCCATTCCATTTTTTCTTCTTTTCCATAATCTTCTCCTTTATACTTTTAATAATATTCATAATTTCAGTGGAGGAATCTTTCCTTCTTCTTTTTTCTGTTTGTTGAGAGACGCTAGCTTTGGACTGCTCCGTTAATCGGATGGCTTCTTCAAAATCGGCAGTCTCTATAACATCGCTGTCTCTCAACCTGGCTAGAGCCTGTGATATTCGAAGAATGGCTAGCAGTGCTCTCGGTGTTGTATAATTAATACGTGTGTCGTTGTACCTCTCCTGTTGTGATTCTAGTTGTCTGGAAGAAACATACCATTGGGTAATTTTGGGAATCAGATCTGGAGAAATCGTGGGTTCTTTTTTTTTGGCTAGCTGGATAAATGCCCTCAGAACTGTTTTGTCAATTTCTTCATATCCTTCACTACTCAATTCAGATCTTTTCTTTTTATCATCATTAGAGTCTGCGCACTTCAAAATGTTCAGCACATGCTCAGCTAGCTTTTTATCCTTATCCCGATCAGATATATCCAAAAGTAGAAACTGTAAATCAAATCTCGTTAGTAGCGCAGCAGGCAAATTCATGTTAAGCATAACGGATTTTTTACAATCGTATCTTCCATTAATAGGGTTGGCAGCTGCCAACACAGAGGACCTCGCAGGCATGTTACTACAATGGCCAGCTTTAGCTATGGAAACGGTTTGTTGTTCCATAACTTCGTAAATGGCTGATCGATCAAATTCGTCCATCTTGTCAAATTCGTCAATGCAACATATTCCCTTGTCTGCCAAAACGAGTGCTCCGCCCTCTAAAGTTGTTTCCCCCGTATTGGGGTCCTTCAACACGGCTGCAGTTAAACCAACAGAACTACTTCCCTTTCCTGTTGTATAAATTGATCTAGAAGCAATGAGACATACCTTCTTCATCAGCTGACTTTTTGCAACTCCTGGATCTCCCATAAGCAGTATATGTATATCACCTCTTATCATCCCTCCATCTTTTTTCTTCTTTGTGCATCCTCCAATTAGCTGTAGTAGTAAAGCCTTCTTCACATCATCATGTCCATATATTTCAGGGCCAATATTAAAGGCCAACTTTTCGTACAAATTGGGGCTATTTTTTAAAGCTTGAACTTCTTCCATAATTTTGTCATAGTTGTCAATATGCTCATTAAAATTTTCTTTATTGTTTTGTACGTAATAAATGTGAAAGACCTTCTCTGCAATGAGCCCCCCTTTTAATGCTTGAAATCCACTTTTCGTGACTGGCATTAGAACCCCTGTGAGGGTGACAGACATCCCAGGTTGTACAGAAGTGGTGGACTCACCATGAATTATACAATTCATACTTCTGGGAATGTCTCCTTCTGGTAACTGGCTTGGCAATTCTTGGACTTTAATTTCTTGGTACTTTACAAATTTACTTAATTTGGCTTGAAATTTGAGTGATCCTCTAACACCATGCACATTTGTGCATCCGGGACAATCAAAAAGAGGCATAAAAAATGGACCATCCACTGCTTTATATGCAAATACGTGACATCTATCACATTCGTATGTTGCTACCTGGATCCTCGGCTTCAATTGAGTAGCTCTAATAACTTCACACTCGAATGTACTTAAGGAACCTATACAGTCTGCATTCACTACTCTCATTTTGCGAACCAAATCTCTCGAACTTGGGATTAGGATAATTTCAAAATTGACTCTTAAATATGCTGGTAATTTGTACTCTTTCATTCTTTCTTGTCTAATTTCTTCAATTGGTTTAATCATGTCACGAAATAAATTGTTAAAAGCTTCCTTTTCACTTTCGTCTGTGGAATACCCACTAAGGTCTTCATTATTTATTCTCCTCAAATTCTTCCTCTTTATCTTCTCGCTTTCATCTTCCTCTCCATAACCCTTTACAAATCTTTTGAAACATTCATCAGACAAGCATTTGTCCGCTGCGGAGTAAAGTAACTCCATGTACCTATGCGTGTTCGTCATAATCCCATTGTACACAGAGTAATCCGCCTCCTTGTTCTCCTTGCAAAAATGTTCCCTCAGGTCGTCCAAATATATTGGCAACAACTCTGTTTCGTGATTGTAAATCTTTTGAAGATATCCTTTATATTTCAACTTCCCCCAGTTGGTGTGGTTCGCCGCAGGGTCTTCGAACGTATCGAAGAAGGTTACCAGTTCGTCTATGTGCGCATTGTAATTCTTCACCGCTTCTAAATACTTTGTGTGGTTATCGTCCACGTAAGTCCTGATTTCCATTTTTCTTTCCCCCATTTTCGAACTCTCACGTGTAAGTGGGGAACTTTAGGCGGTGGCGGTGGCCTTGAGCTGGGCACCTCAAAGGGGGGACGTATATTTATATACTACTAATATATATATTTATATTTACACTTACATTTATATATATATACTCGCATGTGCACAGATGACACCCCTTCGCGCGCAGCACCAGTGAAATTCGCTCCCGCGCTGGCGCACGGAAAATTACCAAAGTTACAGTGTACGGGCACAAAGTGTGTGTTTTGGGAAACCCTTCTTCAGTAATTTCCCCTAAACACATTTGAAAGCGAAGGAGCTCTCACACAGATATGCCTCACGCATTTCATAAATACACATCCAAGTGCGCGACTTCGATTGACATATGTGTATTTTGGCGAGAATAAAAGGAGAAAAAAAAGTTAGCACATTTTTTTATCTGTGCGCGGCTTGGTGTGCTCTTTAAAAAAAAAAAAAAAAAAAGCGTGTGGCATAATTTGCCGTGCTAAACAAATATGTAATGGTTTAAAAAAATACGTCACGATATACGGGCACGATACGGATAACAATTTCGTCGTGGAAATTTTTTTCGTAAAAAAAAAAAAAGTAATTCTCAAGGAAACGTCAACATATGCGAACGTAACTGTTTCGCTAAAAATAGACATAAGGGATTAAAAAAAAAAATTGGAGCGTTCTGCGTGTGAAAGTATTCCAGGCGTATTAGAGGACATGGGCTTTTTGTGCAACTCGGAAAGGAAAATGCGCATCGAGCGTCAACACACATGCATTATTTCACAAATGCGCGGATTCTAGGGTTCGCAAAATGGCACTCGCCTTTTTCAAGAAAGCGAGCGTTTTGCATTTTCCCACGTTCTGTCCGTTCAATTTTCGCAACCTTAGTTTGTTACGCTCCGATGTGTTGCGCCGCTTTTCCAGTTTTTTCTTTCCCCCCGCAGTGCACCATTTTGATGGGCCATTCATTTTAAGACATACTGGACAACCAAAACAAGGTTTTAATTCCCCCATTTGGATGGTATATTTCTAGGTGTTTCTCATTGCAGGGAATACTCATTTTATGCTGTTATCGAAAGGTAGCTCATAAACCTGCGTTAAAAGGCCACCCCACTCCCGCATGGACCTCCGTGCAATGATGCGTACGTACAATTGAAACGTGTGCCTCCCTATATATATGCCTCCATTGATGTGTTGTTCATAATGGTTCTTTTAAAGCGAACAAACAATTTGCTTATCCCCTTCAGCGCACACCACCAGGTTGGCTCACCCCTTTTTTTACCCCATGAATGGGATGAGCACGCATGTTGCATGCGCGGGACAGCACAACATTGTTAAAAATACCTGTTTAAATAACGAGGTACATAACCTGCCCTCCCTATCCCCCAATGGTGACCCCTTCACAATCGACATATTTACACCCTTCTTAAAGGAAGAAAAAACATCCTTTTTTTTTTTTTTTTTTGTACTCATTTGAACAATTCGTTGTGTTAAGGAACGTTCCCAAAATGGTGCGCAAGTTGGAAAAAAAAAAGGAAAAAAGAGTAAAAGGCGCAAAAGTTAACGCTGTGAAACGGAAAAAAGAAGCAGCAGAAGAAGATGGAAACGCTTCCATAAACACCGGAAACATATTTTTATAAGTTTAAAAATGGACGCGCTAAAACAATAGTGTCGAATGTGGACTGATTCAAAAGCGTTAATTATGTATCACTCCCCCGTTGTTCCCCCTTGTTCTTTTTGCCCTCTAAGCGCAAAGAATACATACAAAAAAAAAAAAAAGAAAAAGAAAAATGAATACAGAAAGAGATATATAAATATATAGATAAGTCGATAAATAAATTTATAACTTTATGTGCATGTACGTACATACGGGATCGGGGAGCCCACACGTAGACATTCACGTGAAGGACACGGATGAGTAACACTCCACTTTTCCTCCCCCCATCATCATCCATGAGACGCATGGCATGGCACACAAGGTGGCACTTTTCCAAATTTGTATTCGATAAAATTAAATGCCGTCATTTCACAAATGAACTACATATGATGGAGGGAAATGTGAAAAATAAAAGAAGGGTATACATTAAAGTAAATTTCATCTTAACATGTTACTCATAATACACACGAAATTGTTGTATTATGGTAAAAACCATCCAACAGCAGGCGGGGGGAGAGAAAAAAAAAACAAAATTTATAAAAAATATAAATTTGGAAAAAAAGAAAAACAAAAAAGTTTACAAATAATATACACATAAAAAAAAAAGAAAAAAAAAAAAACAGGGAACAGAAAAATACACCAATGAGTGGAGTAAAATTAACTTCACACCCATGCGTAAGAATGTACACATATATATTCGCCAACATGTGTATTTCCCACTTCATTACACATTTGAAAATCAGTGTTATTTTTCTTCCCTGCTTGGGTTGGCGTCCCCACATTGATAACACGTAAATGTATGCGCAAACACACGTGTATGCTGCAGGTAGGTGTAAACATTTGCGCGTTGCGGAGGACAGGCTGCAACACGCAAATAGCAAACGACAATGCTCATACAGCAATGGTCAAAGCGTAAATCACTAATATCTTCATTTTTCACTTGCACTTCTCGTTCAAAATTTAGAAAAAAAAAAAAAAGCTACGCCCCGCTATCACTTGGCGCAGGAAAAATCGTCCAGTCGTTCCACATTCTTCATCGCATCCTCACGAAACGTATGGTCATGCATTTCATTTTTAAACTTGCTATTCACATTATTTGAGTAATTCAAAATTTGCGAGATGGGGTAGGCCGTGTATTTGCTTAACCCATAGTTATTGGGGAAAAAATAGTCCAGCAAATTGCTGTTCTTATTATTACTACTGTTGCTCGTGTTGCTAGAATTTTTTGCAAAACTGTTAAAGTCATCATTCGTTTTCATACTGTACGAGTTAAAAAGTTTATATTCGATATCCTTCTTGTCGAAAAAAACTTTTAACTCTATAATTGCACTAACCGGTTTGTGGTCACTTGAGAAAAAATTGTTGTGTGTCTTGTAATTTAAGTATTTAAAATATATTCTATCGTTATAGTAAAAATCATTCGGGTCATCACCCTGTGGATTGTTGCTAGCCAGTTGTTTTTCCCCTTGACTGTTCTTCAGCTGGCCCCTGTTGCTGTTGTTCACATCGTCCTTCTCTGATTGGAACTCCCGTGTCATGTACTCCTTCCGCTTCTTCTCCAGCTCCGACAGGTGTATTAGCTTCCCGCTCACCAGTATGCGATCGCACCTTCAGGGGGAGAAAAAAAGCATAAAAAATTAGGGTCGTGTCACGTACAGCGGTACGCACACCGCTATACAGGGCAATATGCGCATCGGCGTGAACAACCATATATGGGACAAAATACACAATGAGACAGGAACTGGCGCCCACACAAGCGCGCAGTGCTGCTACCTCTCGCGACCTACCAGGCGGGGGTCCGGCGGACGTCATACATGTTGGAGTTCTTCTTGTACTTGTACGTGGGGTTGAACATGATGGGGTGTTCGTAGAAAAGGCAAAACGGAAGAATGTTATACAGCTTGTTGTAAATGAACTGGTCATAGTGCAGCAACTGGTTGGCATTCTTATTCGCAATCGATTTGAAAACCTCCTCATGACTTTTGTTGATCCTAAAATTGAAGTCCCCACATGCGAAGAAATAATCAAAGTTAAAGAGATTATTCAATTCTTGGTTCTGGAAGCTGTTGCTCAAAATGCTTTGCATTTGATTATTCCTTTCGAAGATGTTCGTTTGGCCTGATGCCAAATGGATATTATTAAAACAGAAGGAGTTAAACCCTAGCCGAAATTTTATCGACACGCTTCCCTTGTTACCCGTGTTGCCCTTCATTCCGACCTTTACTTTGCACACCTCAATTTCTCTTATGTAGTCCACTAACCCCTCATCAATAAAAATGATGATGAAAAGTCCTATCATGGATACAGACTTCAGCTTCACATACTTAAATTTTTTCAAATTTAAAAAGTACTTATTTGATTCGTTCTTCAAAAAAACGTCGTTACTTTTAAAAGGTATTTGTTCTTCACCACGTTTACAATCCCTGCCAGGAAATTCATCCGAGGTCCGAGTCCTCTGTGTGCTCATTCCTTCCACGTGGCTATGCGTCTTCGCACCCTTTTTTCCATTAACAGAACCATCCATGTCGTCTCCCCCCAATTGTATCAAATTTACAGAGCCTCTATGTGTGCTGTCTTGAAAAACATCTTGCATGGTAGAAATGTGAACGTTATTCGTGTCCGCTCTCTTCCGATTTTGAGATTGGCCATACATATCATCGTCCTGCATTTTCTGGCCCGTCTGCTTCATATGACTCTGTTTGTTTCCTTCCACTCGATACTGTTTACCCTCTTCACTGTGTCCTTTAATGTTCACACTCACATCGTTCGAATTGCACCCGGTTCCATTTCCACTGGGGTAACTTCCCCCCAAGTGATTATTTACACCGTATGTATTATCGACCAAGTTGAAGACGTCTCTGCTGCTACACACAACATTGTTTTCCTTCCTATTAGAACTACTTATAGGGCTACTTTCAAAGAGCTCATTTATATTGGAACTAATATTTGTGTCATTGCTTTTTATCATGTTCTCCCCTAGAAGTTTGCCACCCTTGTTATCCCGATCCTCCAAAACATTTAGCACATTACTACTTTGTTTTCTTTGCTGCGCGTTCGTTGGGGGGTTCCTACTGAGGGGATCCTCGGGGGTCATCATGTTCATGTTGAGCATGTCCATATTGAGCAACTTGCTCTGTTCATCCTGGGAGTTAGGCGAAGCCGATGAAACAGAAAAACGAGGTTGAGCTTGCCCTTGATCCACCTCCAAGCTGTTAAAGTAATTGTTCAGGAAGCAACTCTTCGAAATGTCAAGGATGCCATTCTGATCGATACTTCTTCTCTCTTCCTTCTGGGTCGAACTTCCAGCGTTCGAAGCATTAGCATCATTGCCAGCGTTCCCCACGGAGGACGCGCCCTCGCCCATGTACGAATCGTTAAAACAATTGAAACAATTTTCGTAGTAGTCGTCCTTATTCGTCCCGTCCTTGTTGACTCCGGTGTGGTTATCATACGTATGGTGAGGCGTGTTGACGGACTGGCTGGTGACACCCTTGTGTCCCTCCTTTTCACCATTCATGGAACCATTTGCAAAGTACTCGCTAGTTCCAATTTTACTCCTAATATACATTTCTTTTTGTCTCTGCGACATTTCTGCCAGGGATTGGATAATTTTCTGCTCGATCTTCTTCTCCTTGAACTTGTCTTTCATGTTCATCAAAATTCTAAATCCCGTCAACTCGACCACCTCTTGGAAGCAAAACACATACATGTCAATGCACTCGTTGATCTGATTCAGCCAGGAAGAAATGTCATTTAGTTCGTACAGGTCATTTCCACATAGGTTCCATGTGCCTGCCCACAGTTTTACAATTTTTTCTTCATAATCATTATTGGTCATTTTTTTCTTTTTCCTATGCGAACTGCCCATTTTAGATTCATCATAATCCACGTAGTAATGATTTATAAGATCATGACTTAGATAATCACTGTACTTGTTTCTATTCCTCACGTTGTATATATAATTTTTTTTCTTATACAGATTTTTCATGTACACTAGATCACCTTTGTTTTTTTTTTCTTTGCCCTTTTTATTTACATTTTTTCTTTTTTTTTTCTTCTTCCTCTTTTTCTGGAAGTTACTGTCTGAAATGCTACTGTCGCTTCCACTTCTGCTACCACTGCTGTAACTACTACTGTTGCTGTTTAGTGTGTTCTCTTCGCTGCTTTCATTATTCACATTTGTTCGTGAGTATTTGTCCCTCATGGAGGTGCATTTCCCATACGATTTTTCCCTCCTCGGATGGACAACTTCCTTATTTTCGCTCTCCTCCAAATGCACCTTCTTCGTCTTCTTCATCTTGGTTCGCTTCATCGATTTGAGCATTTTACGTGATTCCTTCGCGTGAGGTGATTGGTGTGCGTGCTCCTGTTGATCTTCCGACTCCTCTTCATCGTCCTTCACCTTGTCATCCTCAAAATTTACACCTTTATTTGGAGGATAATCTACCTCTGAATGTGTCTCCTTACCATTCCTTCTTGCTACCTTCTTCGTCTCCATACTTTTGCTGGGCCCTCCAATTGTGCCCTGCTTGCTTCTTTCCCTCGATAAGGGCTCTTCGTCTTCGTCTTGTTCCTCTTCAAGCAGGCTACTACTATTTTCAACATCATTATCACTCGAATCACTGCTATTAGTATTCCACTCGAGTGCCTTATGTTTGCTTCTTACCCTTTGTTGATTCTCCTTCGAGATACCCCTCTCGGTTTGGATCTGGCCCTCACTCGGATGCACACTGCTCATCTGCGCATTCCTTCCATATGGTAGGTATGGAATCGAGAGGCCCATATTTCTGCCCCGTAAACCGAGGAAGTTCTCCTTATTCATAAAATTGCCGTAATTTAAAAAGTAATTAAAATCGGCCCCTATAAAATTTCTTCTCTTGCTTTTGCTATATTTCCCTGTGCACAAAATAATATCAATGCACTCTTGTCTGAAATTATCTTCAAAATTATTTTGATAAAATCTCTCAATAGATTTAATCGCATGATCAATGTTTGTGCTTAGGGAAGACCTTCCTACGTTTATTTGTGAAGAAAACACGCTGCCTGTTCCAGTATAATGGGTACTAATAATATCTCCATTTTCTACCCACATTTTTTTAAAGAAATGTTTTAAAATATGTACGTATTCATAGGGCTGTTCCTGTCGACTGCTAAACTTCCTTTCGTCTTCCCTCTCATAATTGCTGTAAGACATTCTATGCTTCTTTTCCTCCTTTTCCATTCTGTTCATGATTTCGCTCGTGAGACATTCCCTCTTACCGCCGCCGCTGTTCACATTGCTACCGTTATGGACGTTGCTTTCTCCATTTTTAACACTGCTAGCGTTGTTCATGCTGCTCTCATTATTGACGCTACTCGTATTGTTGACACTGCTCGTATTGTTTACGCTGCCCGTATTGTTTACGCTACTCACATCATTTGCGCCCTCCTCATTGCGAGGGGATCTCCCCTCATTCACATAGCAGTAATCCTCAAACAAACTATCGCTACTGTTGCTGCTCCCCTTGCTGTAATCGTAATGCTTATTAATACCTGGCTTATCAGAATGTTCCAGCAGGTAGCTCTCCAACGGGAGGGTAGTCACTATGGTGACGCTCTTGCTATTAAAAAGTGTATTGAAATTCTTGTAAAAACACAGGTGTGGTTTCTTCACTGGCTTTAAAAAAATGTCATTTTTTGATACATGCAAAACATATAGGATGAAGAACAATGTATAGTAGTACTGGAAGACGTTGGTCCTGTCTAGACAATCAAGACAATTCGTTCTAAACACTCCGTTTTGAAAAACGCAAGTGTCATTTTCCCCAACATTATTGCTACTACTGCTGTTTGTATTGGTACCCCCCTCAACCACACTATTCGACTTTTCCATAAAAAAGGATACATTCTTTATCTCGTTCAATAGAACTTTATTAATAAAATCGTTCATGGCATCTTCGAAACTTTTGTTCTTTACAGAAATGTGAAAATCATACTCGATGTAATTAATAAAATTTTTCTCTTTGTACTGCTTATCCTTCTTTATATAATTAATCAGCTCGATCATTTTTTTCGTCAATTTCTTTTCATTGTTTTTGCTTTGGCTAAGAAGATTTATATAGTAAATATTGTTGCCATAATTTGTGATCAACTTTTTGTTGTGCTCCTTGAAGGCCTTGATACTTAGCAGTGAAGACCGCTGTATATTTACATGCGATGACATGGAATGCTGCTTCCAGAAGAGAGGAATCGATCCTCTTATTTGGACTAGGGAAATTATTCTGTTCTCAAAATTGCTGTCACTATTGACGCACCCCTGGTTGGCTGCGCCACTCTCCCCGGCGGCAACCTTTTCCTTATTAACACTCGCCTCGACAGTTCCTTCACCTGTCGCCTTCTCTTCCTCCAGCGGATAGGACATTTTCCCCAACGAGTCCGACTCTCCCTCATGTATATTCTGTCCACTACTACTTGGCGCACTCGCTCTATGCGGCATCACTTTGGGGGCAGCACCTACTCCCACAGAGCTATCTTGTGCCTCCCTCAAATTGTTCACATCGTTCCTGTTAGGGGTTCCAAAATCGGGACCAACGGATGAGCCTCTTCTCTCACTCCCTTTATGCTTCTTCACATTATCTAGAGCCATGTTAGCCTTGTCAAATCGATTCATATAGGTAACGTTCCTATTGTTAATTCTTACAATTTGCTCTGTCTCTACATAGTTAGCCACATACCCATCATCATTGATGCCCCTCTTATTAAATCGTGTCCCTCCCAAGACGGAGGAGCGACGACTTATGAGAAGCAGCTCTAAACACTTCCTATTTATCTCAATAGAAGTGTAAGAAATGTAGCCCTGAATTACTGAGCAAAACCAATTGTCATCAATTTTGCATTTAGACTTGATTTTTTTAATCATTTGATAATTCCACATGAAATTTTTTTCGCTCACATGTAGGAAGGATCTTTTCCTATGAATTGGCGATGAAGAAAACATGGGTTCTACATCTACCTCTTCGATATTCTTTTTCGTTTTTTTCTGAATACACTGCGTTAAGTCATAGTCATACGAGTAGTACATATGGATTGTCAGAATTTTCTGTATCATTTTTAACATTTTGTGCATGTCCATTTTTATATTCATTTTTTTTTCATCCGTTTTGACACTTTGGTCATTTGCATTTTTGAAACTCAGGGGGTAGGAGTTCCTCTTCTCACTATGTTCGCTATTATCCATCACAACAAGGTTGTTCCCTACGTTGAAGTAGGAGTTGTTAATGAGGTCCTTCAGGTCCCCCTTGTTTTTTCCTTTTGCATTTTTTGAAGAATACATTACCGCGTTATTTCCCCTATCGATTGGTACGCCCTTATCATCGTCAACTTTACTACTAGTGCTTCCGTTCCTTGATCTCCCTGCGCCCTTCTTTTCATCATTATAAATGCTCATCAAACTGTGGTAGTAATTATCGTTGTTCCCGCTAGTGGGCACATCTCCAACTGCTGCTTTTGTACCTACTATATCCCCTTTGTCACTAGGCAGACTTACTCCAGGTGGGCACAAACTAGACCTCCTCTTATTCTCCCCAATGTTTAGAAAATTATTCTGGTCATTCTTTCCTCCGATTTGACATGACTCTTTCCTACCATCAAGCAGTAAGTCGTTTAACCCCTTCCCTTGTATACCCATTTGATCTCTACCGACTGTCGATTCCCCACAGTCCTTCCTATCCGTAAACAAGTCATCAATCAAGTTAATGTTTATCTTTGGAGAATCAATGAGTTTCTTCACGTGAGCATCTTCCTTATTCGCATAAGACGCGTGTATTTCTGTCCTACGTACGTTACCATCATTACTATTGGCATCGTACGTACTACTGCCATTTTTCTTTTCCCCAGCGCCTCGACCTCTGGAGTTATGCTCACTATTGGTTATCTTGTTAGACATGCCTCCATTCTCCTGCCGAGAGCACTTGTCCTTATCGTTTAGCACTTGCATCATAAATTCATTGTCATCCATCGTTGAAGAATTGGTGTTCATGATTTCTTCCTCGTTCCGCTGCATTCCCCTGTGGGTGTGGCTGCTCCTAGCAGCTCCCATGTTGTCGGCAGAAGCGCCAAGACCCCGAGCGTCATAATTCGTTATGTCCGAAATGATATTCAAAAGATTTTTATGATTGAATTGGTTAGTCAGCCATCTTTTCGCAGTATTAAAATTGAGGATCTTCTTATTTTTCTCTTCTTTCTTGTTGTAGTTGCCACTTCCATGGGTTCTATGACTCATGGGTTCAACCTCCATTTCGAATTCAGTTCCAAATTTGTTACCTGTGCTCGTAGATCTGTCTCCACCAAACTTGCTACTTGTATTTGCAAAATGTTTGCTATACATATTCTCCTCGTCCATTTTGTAGTTCTTCTCAATTATATTGTCTGAGCTGTATGGCTCGTAGGAGGGATCATTGGAGTTCCCATTCTGCTGGGAGCTTCCCGCCTTGTCACCATGCTTGCCGCTACGATTATCACTACGGTTTCCGCTTCTACTCCGTTGGTCACTAGGACTCGTGACCCGCTTTGCTACCGCTGTACTGTGACTGCTATTATTTATGACCTCAAAATCTTTTCCTATATCTTCATGGTTGACCAAGTGGTTGATAAAGTAATTATTGGAGTTGTCATCAATGTTCAGCGCATTGCTAATTATTGTATTCAAAGAAACTATATTAATATTGTAAGGGATATAATGTACCTTCTCTATCTTATATATACTTCTATACTTATTTAAGTAAAAAAATTTGCACAGTAGTTTCCATTTGTCCACTACGAACAAAAATAACTCATCTAGAATTTCAATAGTTCCAATTATATTATCTATGATTAATTCACTTATAATATTTCCAAATTTTTTGCTCTTCTTCCTGATTTTATCTTTATTTATTAATTTCTCAGTACACTTTCCACTATCGCGGAAAATGAATAGGGATGGCACTTTGACCTTATCATTTTTGCTGTCTTTTAAATTCTTTATGTAGATTATTTTAAATACCTTTTCGTATATTATTAACAAGTATCTCCCTTCAGTGTTGTATGCATTCATCAGCGTTGCCTCGTGTTGATATATATATATGATTGTGTGATATGAATGAGGGGGATATATAAATTGTTACGTCGTCCACGCAGTGTACTGCAACTGCTATGGTTGGATGCAAATGGTCGCTCACCAAGCGCAGGGAAATTAACGAGGCAAAGTTAAATTAATTCGGGGGAAGAAAACAAAAACAAATCGGGCAAAAACAAATATGTCTATTGCACAAAATTCATGTTTGTGTCGTGTGTACACTTGTCCAGCTGTGGTACCACGCAACCGATTGACACACTTTCCACATGCACGATGCACGATAAACAACGAACAATGCTCAGGTGAATACAGAAAAAATATATATACATAAAGGGGCCTCAGAAACCCGTACACGTGTACGCCCTCAACACGACGCAGTGATATATTAATAGATTCTCTCGCATTAGATAACAGGACGAACAGTTTATCCGCACGCGTCGGTGCCCACACGGAGGGGTATTCCGCCGAAGAGCGCGTCTATATGTTCACATGTTAATTAATGTGCATTTGTAACGACGTGCGCACGGGCGCCATAAAACAAGGGCCAACTCAAATGCTAACACACACACTACTACGCAGGGAACAAGTGCTCACACTTGGAAGGTGAACAAGTACTTAATTGCGCAGGAGTCTGCTATGCGCTTCAAAAATGAAAAAGACACATTTGTTATCATCTCAAACGAGCTCTTTCATCATTTCTCGTTTCACTTTTTTTTTTTTTTTTTTGTCATTTTAAAGGGAGCAATTGCACTTGTCCTTCAACTGATGTCACTACATAGAGATTAATCTTTTCAACTAAATTATATGTAACGATTTAACAGGCATATAAAAAAATACCAAAAAAATTTTTTTGCGGGACGAATTCACACCTTTTACAGGGGGCATAAACACACAGTGTGTAGTGTTATGTCACGTTTGAGTGTGCAGAAAGGTTTATATACACCCATTTGTTTGCGCACTGGGAAGGGTGCTGCTGCTACTGATTGTGCTGTTGGGAGCAAGATAACGTGCACTACACACTCATTAAAGTAACCTGCCCTGCTGTATTAGCGAAGGGGTCATACACAGTGTAGTCATTCATGCACCTTCGCGCGAAAAACCAGTTCCCGTGCCTGTCAACTCGATCACCTCTGGTTCGCCTGGATGCAGGCTGCGCGCAGGATGATGCAAAAGCTAAATTCCCCTGTTGCGTGTGCGAATGCAGGGGAAGTGAACTGCACGCACATGAATACGTGCACAGTTGCGAACGTTCGCGGCCGATTACACGATCCGTGGCGCGCCACATAAAACAGAAACAAGGAGGGGGGGGAAATGCATAAAATTTCAGAACATACACATACATACGTCGTCTGTCGTACAGGGTGTGTGGTACATAGTACGTGCGCATGTATATGTACGGGGGTATCCATATGATGGCAGGCATCCGCTTGCGCGCTCGCTCATTCATTCAAAAAACGCAGAGGTCAGTGGGTAAGTTTCATAAGAGGCGGGTTAACAGGAACAACAAGGAAGTTTTCGCAGTATCTTAAAAAAAGAATTAAAAAATTACGAAAAAAAAAACTTGTAAATTTGGGTATATATACTTATATATGTAATGTATATATGAACATGTGCGTACTCCTTACCTTATATTATGCTTACCCTTTGCTATAATTTGTCCCGAGTCATTATTCCTTGATCCATGCATTTCAAAATTTTTTTTTTTTTTTTTTTTTTCGTCTATTCGGAATATAAAATTTGTTAAAAACAAAAAAAAAAAAAAAAAAAAAAAAAAAATCCTCCAACCACAGTTGCGAACTCCGTTTTTAAATATACGTGATGTGTAATTTTACCATTTTGAACAGTTAAGCAAAAACGTAAAGAGATAAAAAAATACGTTTTGTACAAAATTCACAAAGTTGCAATGGCGTATGACCAAGTAATTATGATAAATATCAAGGGCATAGAGGGCATTTAAAAAATTGCGCCATTTTGTGTACCAATTTATCCCCTCGAAATAAGTACCCTTTGTTACTGCCGCCTGGGGAACTGTACCCACTTCGGCGCGTCGTATGGGTCGCAAATTTGTTCAGTTTTTAAAACAAAGTATTGGCGAGGGGAAAAAAAAACAAAAAAAAAAAGAGGAAAAAGCTGATATAGCATTTTCTGGCATGGAAGTTTTCCTTACCACATTGCCGCCAACCACCCGTACACAGCATATAGCGGATGCAGGGTGACACAAACATTTTTACTTTGCGTTACGATTGTGTTTGTTCATCTGCAAACGGCGTGCTGCGTCACCGCATCGTTAGCGTACCCACGTACACATGTGAAGTTACACAAAATGAAAAAAAGAAAAAAAAAAAAAAACAAAAACATTCCCACGCGTGAGTTACAAAAATGAGTGTAAAAATTAAAGGAGAAAAAAAACTACTCCCTGCTTTTTGTTTCTCTTCACGTGCGGTACACGCACACACGATTGACACAAATGTTGAACACACTGATTTCCACGGTGGACGCAAACAGTCGCGTCCTGTCAAGTGTGTTTTGCCTTCTCGACAACATCCCCATTGCAGCTACTTTTACACAAATGGGGTAATAGGCAAATAGAGTATAAGACCCTTCCTGTTACATTTTAAGGCAAAGAAGGGGATCCCCACCATGCGCTGTGCAGCAATTGTCGGCGAATGTACGACCGCATTTGGCCCTAACAAAGGGTACTTCTTTTAGAAGTATGTCTTCTTTTGGTGTTTCTTCTCCTTGGCCTTCGCCTCATCCTCATAAGTAGGCATGTTGTCCAAAATGATGGTGTCCTCTTCATACTTTGCCCCATCTTCCTTTTTACTCTTTTTCGTTTTTCTTTTCTTGGCTAAAATTTGCAGCGCGCCGTCGTCCAACCTGTGCACAGAGTTATACTCATTGCTGTCGTAGATCTCCGCTTTCCTATTGGGAAACCTGGGGATCTTCTCATGGCCCTTGAGAATTCCCTTCTTTATTAAACGCTTACGCTCTACATTCATTTTATTATAAAAGTATAGCTTTTTAGACAATATTTTATTTTTTTTACTTAGACAATTTCTCCTTGGAGAAATGTGCAAAGCTTTTCGCCCTCCTTTTTTCTGATACCTTTTTTTCTTCTTCACAATATCGTAGTATATATTTTGCAACTTCAACATTTTGCTTACTTTTTTGTTTAAATTTTGAAAAATTATTTGTTTTTTATCAACCGTTTTTTCAATAATGTTATTAACTAATGATGTATTTTTTTTGCTAAAGAAGGAAATTAATGAGTTGCTTCTTCCACCACAATAGCTACTATCATTCGTGTGCGCCACTTTGCTGGACTTGTAAATATAATCATTTATATTATTGCTAATGTCGTAATTGATTATGTCGCAGTTCTCAAATTCTATTCCCCTGCTCAGTATATTTGTGCATACCAAAATGTTTGTTTTATTTTTTTTGAAATTTCGATAATTTTGGCTCCTCTCCTTGTAACTCATTTCGTTGTGAATACAACTCACTTTGTACTTGAGCTCGGTCAGCAGGTCTGAAACATTCTGAACGCTTTTTCTCGTGTTACAGAAAATTACATGTCTACTGAGGAAATGCCTGTTGTGCAGCCCTCCCTTCATCCTGGCGCTACCTTGCGCGTCCTTACTGTTTAGGAGCTCTAACAGGACGGCAGTTTTTTCCTTGTTCTTGCTGTTAATAAATATGTGTTTCATTTCAGAGCTGATATCGTGGCTCTTCAGATGTATCACCTCCTGGATGTGCTTGCTCCTCACGTTGTTGGCGAGAAACTCGCTGATGCAAAACGTTTTCGTTGCCGACACGAATATTGATATGGGGATGTTCGAGCACAGAGTGTTCTTTTCGTTTTCAGCCCCTCCTCGATTAAGCAATCGGATGACTTCGTCCCGTTCGTCCCTTTCTGCGACTTTCCTTCTGGTGCTGCGAGGGGTGACCTCTTCGGGGGGGCTATCCCCATTGATACTGCTACCCACGTATGACTCACCCGTTTCTTCTTCCCCATCACACAATTTGGAGGCACCCTGTTTGTAACTGTCGTCGTCGCCCTCCTGCCCAACTTCACCTTCTTCACACCTATCTGGACTCACTTCATTATTTCCGTCTTCCTGTGCCATGTCATTCATTTTTTGCAGGTTTATACTGCTCCTGCGTCTTCCCCGCCGAGTACTCCTGCGCGCCTCTTCGTTTTCCAAATGGAATCCGTTTTTTTGTCCCTCCTGCACATCATCATGAGGATCACCACAGTGATCATCTTTGAGAACACCACTGGCGCTACCCCCCCTAAAGTAGTACATGTTAGTGTAGTTCTTTATATGATTAAACACAAGCTGCAGCTTCCCTTCGTTGAATGCATTGCACAACGTTTCTGCCTGCTCCACGACTATGTACTTTAAGAATTTAAAATTGTACAAATGCTTATTTTTGCAGTTGTCTACTTTTTCAAAAATTTTATCAGGGGTGCCAACCAAAATGTCAATGTTGTAATTTATTGCCTTGGCGCCTCGCTTAACATTTTTGCTAATTCTTTTTAAAAAATCGTTGGTCTTTATAAACTCGCTACGCATATTTGGGTACCCCCCCAGGTGATCATCATCATACGAGTCGTACGGTTCGTCCGCGTACTCCACGTCCTGAGCTGCCCGACCACTTAACGGAGATATCATCTCCACATGAAACTTTTTAACAGACTTTCTTTTGTACGAATATCCCCCCGCCAGTAATTCAATATTTATGTCAAAACTTTTTAAAAAGGAAAAAAGTTCGAACGCAGCTTCCCTCGTATTTGTTAGAATAACTGCATAGGGAAAGAATATATTTTTTTTATGCTTCAAACAGTTAAGTTCATTGTTCTTTTTATTTTTTACATAACTCCTGCTGACGTTGTAATTTTTGTATTTACGAATGTATATGTATCTGTTCCGTACTCTGTGCTTCTCATAGGCTATATGAAAAAACAAATTGTCCATTCTCCTGTTGGCACATATTAATTTTTCTTTCTTTCTAAAGAGTTTGTTTCGAAATTTTTTATAATTATATTTGTTTAAAAAGTGGTAAAATTTTGATAAGCTTTTCATAATTTTTTCATTGTTCATGTAAAAGTTGCTTAGTATTGGAAGGAAATAGCTCAGCGTCTTCCCCGTGTTATCTGGACTCACGACAACGTACACATCGTTGAAGCATTTTGTTTTTTCTCCATCTGGGTTATCTTCCTCTTTGTGAGACGGCACAGCCGTTGGACAGCTGCTCTGATCGGCATGCCTACCAAGAGTTTGGAACACCCCAACAGGCTTCTGCCCGTCACCTGATTGGTATTTACCCACGTCGTAAAAATCACCCCTCATGTTAAAATTCTGCCTCAAGTAACCATTAATGCGATTTCTACTTTTCAATATTTCCCTATACACATCTGTGTTCTCACTACACTTGGGCACTGCGCCCCCTCCTTCCGTCGAGTCTCCCCTTCCCTGTAGCAGCAACGGTATTACGTTCTTCTGAATTTGCGTAGGGGTAAAAATCTTCATTTCGTTCAGCTTCAAATACACGTCCGTTTTGAAATTAAATTCGAGGAAACTTGCATTTTGGAGCCCCTCCTTAAAGTTCACCCCCTTGAGGTTTGTTCTACTGATATGTGCGCGACTCGCCTTTTGCCCCTCCGCCCTGGTATCATCCCGTGTGTCTTCATTGTGGCCGTCCCTGTTGTCACTACCCGCGCGCGATTGACCCTCCATTAGGAGTTCCCCCCCAGCGGCAGCAGTGCTGTTCCTGTGCCTACCTATTAACATGCCCTTCAATATTCTACAACCAGGGAGCGATTTCCCCTTGACCAGGGTGAGAATATAGGGACCCCTGATCATTTTTTCTCCGCCTCCTTTTTGCATTATAGAGTATACAGCATGAAGCACACACATGGGTATTGGGAACGGCACCAGTGTGGCGATAGATGCAGAAAAGGAAGAACGAGAAGAAGTACAAGAGGCACCCTGGTTCTTCTCTTCCGATTGAATACAATCACATCATGTGTGACCGCCGCGCGACGTCACTCAAATAACATCCCGCATAATGGCATATCACCTGTCGCTTTTTCGTTTTTTTTTTTTTTTTGGTCCGCATTGATTAAGCATAGGCCTATGTACACACGCCTACACCCTCACGTGCAACGTTTGTCATTAAACGTGAGGGTCGAAAAGGTTCCCCCGGTGCCCACATACCAGAGTAACTATCACAACGGCAACAAAAATGGCAAAGCCAAAATAACATCATCAAAAAAGAACCGTTAAAATAATGCTAAACGAGGCTAACTCAGTGAGGACGAAAATGCTCTGTTGTTATTTGTGCACCATTTGGCCAGTGCCTTTTTCTTTGAAACCACGTAAAGCAAGGTGCAGTCAGAATGGAAAAGCAGAACGAACTGTTCATGCGAGCTAAACACATATGGGAAGTTCATACAGGTACATAGAACAAAGGTAAGATAACCCCCTGATTTATATACATATATTTTTCTTTTTTTTTTGGTTTGCCACCTCTTTCATTTTGCATACTTCCACGGATGCAACAGAAATGTTCCTTTCCCGTATGAGCAAAACAATGTTGGGAAAAAAACAAAAAAAAAAAAAACACGTGGCTAATTTATTTCGGTACATTTTAACCGTTCTCAATTTTCTTCCCATTCAGGGGAAAAACTATTTATTCATATTTTTAAAAAGCTTATTGCAGTTAAAGTTGTGAAAACATGTTTATTATGCAAAAAAGGAAATAAAAGCTGAGCAGGAATTTCACAACATGACACGTAACACACCAAAAGGCGGCACCCTCTGAGTAGCCCATCGGTGTACAATTATGTCAAAAGGTCACTCCCTGCTAATTACTTCTATCCATTTTTAATGCGTTCTTTTTTCATTTAAAAGAAAAAAAAAAAAAAAAAAAACTTTCCGTAGGACGTTCTTTTTTCACTCTTTTTTATGGAGACACTTTCCGCACTTCTTTCTTTACGCTTCGGTTGTACTCATGTAGGTAACTCAACATAGGGAATCTTACCGGACGAGGATATGTTTTCCTTTATCTTGCTTTTTAAAAATTTTCTTCCTGCAACGTTTCACACGTGAGTGGAAATTTTCTGCTCGAGTAGGGAATTCCCATCATGTGCTGAAACGGTCAGCACTCGTACTGGTCCTATTGTTTTTACCTATACTGTAATGTGAAGGGAGGGGGCAAAAAAAAAATACGAATATTTATAAGCGATGCAATTCTGTTTTGTGTGCACATACGCACAGCGGCGAGTTGCCAAAGGGGGGAAAACGCTAATTCACTCTACAATGTTATATGTACACGTACCTTCTTAAATCCAATAATGTCGGCCCTTTCTCGGAAGCACTGTCTGCATATGTTGATGTTGTACTTTCTGATTATGGCATGTCTGTTCGAGCACACGCGGCTGCAAAGGAGAAGGGAAAAAAAAGGGGGCGGAAATTGAAGCGCAGTATACACTCATCATAAGAAGCGCAGAGTGTAGAGATGATTGCACAAAGATACACTCCGCGTGCAACTCTACAATTCTGTGGGGCGTCCGTCCTTTTCCTCATCTCACGCATAATGGTGACAAGGAAATGATCCACATGATTATTATGGCCCATACGTATTCGCAGTGACGCAAATGACTGGTTCTTAAAAAGGGGCCACTATAACATGTGCCTCTGTTTTCACTCCGCCCTTCCTCCCCTGGGCGCCCTTATTACAACTACGTTAAATATGCATACGGCTCAATCATACATACGCGCGTAGATGTCAGAGGCGAACTGGTAAACGTAGAGGTTTCCCCGCACGTTGCCTCGCTCCCGCAAACTCGCTCCTTGGCAATTTCGAATCGCTTCACCAATCGCCCTTTTGTTTATCCCACATCTTTACCCACTGCGGGGAGGTTGACTTACCATTGCCTGGATCCCTGGCCGTACTTCTTCGGATGAACGTTCTGAATGCAACCCATGGTTATATCTTTTTTAAACAAGGGGAAGGAAAAAAAGGGATGAGAAAAACAATGGTCAAGTAAATTTAAACTTTTAATATAAAACTTCCTAGAAGAGGAAAAATTTATGCTCTTGGATTTATTAGCAGAGGTTAGGGCATAATATATTCGTCAGCGAAATTGTTTCAAATATATTTTTTTTAATTCTTGTGATGGAAAAAAGCAAAGTTCATTTGACTTAATGTTTTTTTTGTCCTTTATAAATAAATTGCAAAATTTGTATATGTATTCAATTTCCATTAACGCCTTTGAGCATATAACCGCTACGCCTACACTTAAGGGGTTTGGTATACGCCTATGTAAATATTTATTATGTATGCACTCCGGTTGGCCCAATTACGACGTTTTCATGCGCGGAAAAAATGAAGTTATTTTAAGGCTTGGTGACGTACCATGCGGCAAGCTTTGTTTAAAAAACCCGCGGTGGTGTTGCGTGTCGGTTTGGTTTAGTTCCTCAGTGCTCCCAAAATATAACATCATGCCAAATGTTCGCGTATGTAGCAATGTTAGGTAAAAAAAAAAAGGGGGCCACCATCATATGCTCTGAGAATGCACTCCCCCGTAAATGTAAATCTACAATTAAGCCTTCCCCCCCATGATGTTCAAACTTTAATTGGAAAATTAAAATTAAGGAACAAAAAAAAAAAACAGTTAAACGGTTTATCAAGTTTGTAGCAGCCTTTTCCATTTTTTTACCTTTTTTTAGCCATCTCACGATGTTGCATATTTGTATATATGTATACATTTATGTATGAACAAATGTATAATCTAACCCCTTCCCTGCTGTGCGCCATTGTGGCCCCAACGCCGCGAGCGAGGTGCTATACCAAATGGGCGAAGGGGAAACTCCGTATAATCGAACAAAGGTGAGTGTTACCCGTGCGCGCGTCATAAAGGGTAAACAAAGAGAAACAACAAGAGGGGAAAAAAAAAAAAAAAAGCGACACAAAGGAATATTTCGAACGAAACAGTTACTTTAGCCCACCTTCGGTGACACTAATTTGAGAAAACACAAAATGATCGGGGACAGAGTCAAGGGGTTTTCCCCAACCACCGCGTCGTTTCGTTTTTTTTCTTTTTCTTACACAAAATGGAATATGCTTCACGCGATTTGCAAATTTTTAACTGCATTTTAACCCCAATTATGTGCGAAACGTTTTAAATTGTCAATATATGCACAAATGTGTTTATGAAATGTGCGAGGGGTTGACACCATTCTGACTTGTCTCACTGGCTGTTCGTCTTTGTTCTGGCTCGAGTGTGAAGTTTTCCCAAACGAACATTGGCTGCGGAGGTGGAAAAATAATAAAATAATAAAATAAATATTCCCCCCACTTCTACATCATGGGAGTATCTCCCCATTTGCATAAGAATAGTGTGTCCCCCCCGGAAAAACACACAAATAGTTTGCAAAATTTGGAGGAAAGGTTTTTCATTTTTTTCGAGTGCTTTACGTCAAGTGTCCCAACGTTATCGGCGAAATGACCTGCATAGTTGTTTGAACAAAAAAAAAAAAAAAAAATTAACGATGATGTTGATTTTCGCATTCAACGTCAAACTGTCTCACCACTTCGCACTCCTTATATCCTTCTAGTGTGAAATAATTTTACACAAAATGCCTCTCAATTGTAATCTGCTTCATGTACATACCTGGCTGATTCGTGTGACTATCATATTTACAAATTAAAATTCCCCTGTTACCGCAGCAGGCACTGGAGCAACCAATATGCTGTGAGGTGGAAGGGTGTGCGTGCAGAGGTCACTTATCTCGCCATGTTGCATGCTCGGGGGTGAGTTGTTTGCGTTCTTGAGACACGATGTGTCCATATATATATGTACATATATATCTGCATAATTCGTACGGGTAAATGTATGCATAGTCGCTCATGCGGGAAGTACCTCGGCGCTCTTCCATACAACTCTGGTGAATTCAAAAACGGTATCGTCCCCCCGACGAATGGGCCCTAACAAGAAGGACAAACGTACACACGTGAATGTCCTCTGAGTATGGGGCCTCAAAAATGTAGAAAAAATGGAAGCACTGGAAAACTTGTGCTTATCATTTTGTTAGGGGTGGTTTATGAGATGAATTTTTTTTTTTGTTCTCTTCAATTTGGAAGGGGGAATAATTCGATGTGTGTGACACATGCGACGTTACTCTTCCGTTAGGCATTTATTCCTCTCGCCGCTGTTCCACTTTTGGGTATACTTTTTTAAATATGTTCAATGGTGAGTACTTGCCTACCACAGGATGGAGGCAACAATGAAGACACTTCTCATTTTCCACCCATTTAGTTGCTCCCCTTTTTGCGTATTACCTAACTCAAAGTCATAGTTGTTAATGCCTTCATACCATGTATCCACGGCTGATTCAATTTTGCTATTGGGCGAAATGGTAAAGTAATTTGTGTTTATTTGGTTCACCATGACAGTGCAATTGGAGATCTCCTTTATCTGTAAAAGGGGAAGGCAGTCTGATGTGCAAATGTAGGACCCCTTTTTTTTTTTTAAAGCGAAACGGCTTCGAAAAATGCAAAGTGTTAATCCGTTTTGCTCAGTTCTCCGTCTACTATGCAACTGTTCTTGTTTATTCAAAGACACAAATTAGCGAAATGGACGAAATAACCAGTTTGGCTTCAGCGGTTGCCTCCTTTTCCAACTGTGTGCTCCTGAACAGGGGGTGAAAAAAAAAAAAAAAACACTTCCATTATATCACCCGTGTAACAGAAACGGTCAGTTTTATCCTCACATAGGGCCTACTAAAGTGCCATTAAAAAGAATGCCTTTTACCAGTGCAACGGATCGGCCCTATGCTTCAGCCTCAAATCATTGTGTCTTTCCCGAATTAAGTCATTCTGCGAAATGCAGACAGAGCGCAGGGGGACATAATAGGGGTGATGGGGATAGTAAAAAAATGATATTTTATTTTTCCCGATTAAGAGAGAGTTTACGTTGAACGAGCAGAAACCTCCAGCCACTGCTTTACACAAGGAGATGCGCGAAAGGGTTAAGAAGCAAAGTACAGCAAAAAGGCAATGTAGGCGTCTGTCCACCATTGTGCGAGAAGTATGATCGACCTGAAATTTCTATCACTTTAATTTGCTTTCTTTATTCCTTCCTTTTTCGAATAGAGGTTAAAAATTTTGGGCAATTATTACACATGAGATATGGCAAGATAAAATGCGTCTTATCATTTCTTCTGTGAGAAGTACACTCATCTGTGTGGACGTAGGCACAAACACAAGGGCTTATGAGCCTACCTCTGCTAACATGTGTTGCAACATTTTAAGTGCAATCCGAAACGGCTAATATCAGTGTGCTTCCCCTTTTAAGTGTAAATATCCAAAGTGGCAACAACACCCCCATTTTTACGCCTCTCTGCAAGCGTTGTACATACATTAGAGGAAAAATGGGAAAAAATGCATGCACCTTTTTTTTTTTTTTTTTTTTCATATTTTCCAGCAGGTCACTTCTATTTTCACTTGTGTAGTGAAAAATGCGTCTTTCAATTTTAGGAGTAATTAAAATATCGTTTGAATGAAAATACGTCTTGTGCTACTGCACAGCGGTGGTTTGCTTCCTCCGCGCGCAGGTTTACACTACCCTGTTTTGTTTTATTAAAACGTGGAAGGCTAAAAAGGCTTCACAACTGCGCACAGACGTGCAAGTACAAACATGTGCACATGCATTTGTATATGGTCATATATATGAACACACAAGTGTAGATATATTTTTGTGCACACCTACATATATGCACCCCCGCGATGAAAAGGAAAGAACGCAGTTCCTGAAACTGGTAATAGAATCGGGAACTTTAATTTGTGGGGAGGTGGGGGCGCAAATTGAGTTTCTTTTCTTCACCCAAGAATGTAACACTTTTTTCGTGCAGTCATGCATAACGTCACTTTGGTCATTAAATAAAAAAATTTAATTCATTATTTAATTAAAAACAAGTTGCGCAATCTCCTTGTCCATCGATTCCTAGGGCACGTGACAATGTGCGTGTATGTGTGGCTCATTTTCCTCTTCCACTAGTTTCCACAAAGTGGACATGCCTTCACGAGTACAGCAGAACAGCACTCATGAGAACACAAATGATACCTGTTAGAAGAGAAGAGAGGGGGGGGGAAACATTTTACACATTTTTGGCCCAACGAGGGAAATGCAGTTGGAAGAATGCGCAAAACAGGGGTGAATACATAAACGGCAAAGGAGTCGCCATCATCGCAAAGTCTTACCCAGAAATTCCAAGAAACCCATCCCGATCAGCGTGTACGTAAACAACTCGTCCTTGATTGAAGGGTTCCTACTCGTTCCTAACACCAGGGCTGAAAATAAATTACCGATACCTTGCGCAACCTAAAGGGATTTTTTTTTTTTTTTTTTGAAAGGTGTGGTTAGGATGTTTTTAAGACGGTTAATGGGGTCGTTTCATATTTGGTTAATCATTATGATCTTCCATCCCCACTTCAAAGTTTATCATTTTGACGTATTTCTCAATAATGCCCAGTTATTCTCCTTTTATTAACAAGGCTTGTTGGGCTAGCCAGCTAGCTATTTTTTTTTTTTTTTTTTTCCTTTGCTTGGTTCTCCCTGTGACTACTTACCCCTCCCACGGACATCAGCGCAATGGCTGCGGACAGGCTCGCGATTCCACTGTCATGTCTCACGCCTAGTTTCTGGTACAAGCAGCTTCGTTCGTCATTGTTCTGTGTGTAGATAGGGAAAATGATAAAAAAGAAAAAAAATGAACAACGTGAAAAATGTGACAAAAAAGGACAACCTGCCGCTCAACATGCTGCGCCACTTGGAAAACGTCACAGAGTTAACACAAAAACAACACTACGACCCCCATGGCGCTCATTTGTGAGGAACGAAAGGATGGGTGGCAAAAAACCAGCGCAGTTCTCCAAACGGGTTGCACGAACAACACGCACAGCAACTGATGCAGGTGAAAAAAAAAAAAGGGAGACTCTCAATTACACATGTTTGTGCAAATTACCTGCAGGAGCGCATTACAGTTGGTAGCATTAAGCGTCCTACTGATGAAAGGAGACGTGTGGTAGTACTTCACGAAGTTGTTGGGTTTATGCAGTTCGCTGCAAAAGGAGGTGCCGCCAATTCTGGTCGAGATACTGCGGTTGGCCGCAGAATATCCTGAACTCAAAAAGGAGCTTTTAAACTTGAAGTTTTGAAACAGCGACGAATTTAAGGTGTTGAAAAAAAATCTATTCATTTTGACGAGTTTGGCTTGTGTACGTGTTGGTGTAATGAGTGTAAGGGGGTGGGGGGAGCGGATAGGAGTGGAGCACACAGATAACTCAACGCTACTGAGCAAAATGAAAACAAAATAAGATAACTACACTTCGATGGGGAAATAATTTTTTCACGTAACAGCTATATGCTAAGCATACAAAACTATATGTGTAGGTTTTTCAGGTGTTACTTAAAATCATGTAGATGCGTGTATCCTCGAAGGGGCTTTTTTTTTGTATGCCTGTATTTGCACTTTTGGCGAAATGGTACGGATGGTGTAACAAGAGTGCTTGTGCTTCCAGTTTTTTTAATTGCTTATCATGGAAGGTGTTTAACGAGTGGCAGAAGAGTATGTTAATTTTTTTTTTTTCACACAAAGGATGATAAAAAAAGAAAAAAGAAAAGAAGCAGATGTGGTGTTTCCTTTCTGTGCAGAATGTTTTCTTTTTTGTTTTTTTTTTAATCTTATCGAAAATCTCTCATAAGGTACACCTCCCTCGAAGGTAATTTTCGAATTAACTGTGCAGCTTCCTCACATTATGTACGTGTACCGCTGCGCGGATTCGGCGACGCAAGGATACGTCGATAAGCGGACTGTGGATTTTTATATGCATTACGCACATACACGCTGTGAAATATCTATATAATGCCCCAGGTGCTAAATTAATTTTTCCTTGTTCTTAAGGCACACATGAAATGCACATAAGGGTCAAACGGAAACAAAATGTGAGATGTGCTGATGTGCTAAATATGTCAAATGGGTAAAACAGGCCAAATGGGCAAAATAGGCTAAATGGGCAAAATAAACCAATCCAACCATATCTCAATCGAACAAACCAAATTGCCAAAAAAGGCAGAAAAAGTGAAGAAGAAACCGCATAATTTTTTTAAGCCCGAATGCATACAATAAGGTAGCAATTTGGGGAACCAAGCCAAGCCAAAGCAAAGAAAACCGAAGCAGAGTGGCTTAAAAAAAAAAAAAAAAAAAAAAAAATCATGTTCACCTGTACATCATCTCAACTTGCGCACCAAAATTATCACCCCCAACTGTTTGTTCAAACAGTTCTGCAAAGAAAAACATATTTCTCATTTTTCCACTTTTTCATCGCCAGCCGAAAATATACCCTCAGGAGTTAGTTTCCTTCTTTCCTGTTTCAGGCTGAAAAAAAAAAAAAAAAAAGAAGCCGGCTTGAACGAGATGATGTAATTTCCGCGCCTCATTGACCCATGCCGCGTTTGCCAAGTGAGCATCTCCTTCCCGTATAAACGGACACGCATATGTTCATTTATACAAAAGTTCCTGTCAAAAGTAGGGGAATTCGTGAACCGTGTGAAGTATACCCTCACGAGTAACCGCTGCATGGAAAAAATAATGGAAAAGGAATGAGCTCCTTTTTGTATACAGCTGTTAGCAGAATCGTCGCGCACGCTTTAGCAAAATAAGCGGAAGGGCCCATCCCCAGAACTTTGTGACGTTTCGCGAAATTACTTGCAAGCAGGGGTGTCCGACCACATGCGCATGCACGGCAGGGTATAAGTACCATCCCCGTTTTGCCCACGGTTCAGCACTCATTAAAAGGAGGGACTCACCCCCCCTTGTGTTGACATGTTATATATGCATTCCGCCCACTTGCGCGACCACGCTGAGATAAATTCCAAACGGTGAGATTCCACTCGCGAGCTTCACAAAACCAGAGCCGCCTGCCCCCCCGCACACGTGAAAGAATAACAGCTTCCAAATTGTCAGGAAGAAATATTCAGACAAGTGTTTAACCCTCCTCCATATAATATCACCTTAGAGACGCACCATGAACAGCATCCTGAGTACGGAGAAGCTGTGTGAAGTGTTGGAAGGATCCATCAGCGCGTCTAAGGAAAAGAGGACACAATGCGAGGAATACTTGAAGCAGGTATGTAAAGTGGAGGGGTACATAGACGTAATTCTTAATATTGTAAAAAGTGCCAACCTAGTGGATGACAACATAAGGATTTCAGCCCTGATTTTTTTAAAAAATACCATAAAAAATAATTATGAGACGCTGAAGAAGGAAGAGATTTGTGGCCTGACTAAGAACATATATGAAAGTTTCCTGTACCTAGAAATGAAGGACAAGCAAATTTATATGCAGCTCTTCGAAATAATGAAGGTCTTAATACACAATAGCTTTCCTGATCATTTTGTCATTTTGGATAATATACTTAATGATGTTAACCAGAGGAAGGATGTGAGGAGATTGTATGTGAGTCTTTACTGCTTGAAGTTAATTTTTAAAAAATTAAAAATAAAAAAAAAGAAAAACAATGAATTGTACACAGAAATGCTGAACAAGTATTTTTATCCACTCATTAATTGCCTTTACGATTTAAGCTCCCTTGACATCAATAACAATGAAGTGTCAGAAATACTTTGTATCATTTGCAAAATATATCAATATGTAAATGACAATTTTTTTATTAACGAAGTAATTATTTTGGAGTACATGGATAATTATTTTAGTCTGTTCGATTTTATCCTCAAAAATGAAATTGTTGTTTCCAATTATATGGAGGATGAAACTTACTTGAAAACCTTACCACAGTACAAATGCAAGAGGATCGTTTTGGACATTGTGACTCGTCTCTTCTCCCGATATGTAAATACAAATTACAACAAATGCAATAATGAAATTACGGAGAAATTCTGTCAGGCATTTCTCAACAAATGGCTATGTCCCTTTTTCGAAGATCTCATCATCATCCTACAGAGTTATCACAAAAATAAAAAGACACTAACCGATGAGTGCTTGGTGTATATTCTCCAGGGGTTATCTTATGGAGTTGAAAATGCCCTTATCTACAAAAATTATATAAAAAATAATTTTGAGTTTTTGGTCCGCGATGTGATCTTCCCACTTCTCTGCTACAACGATGATGATGTAGAAAAATTCCTTTGCGATCAATACGATTTTACCATGAACATTTTTAACACCTACATTGTGGAAGATAAAAAAGTCAGCGCTACTTCTTTTATTAAAGATTTGACTCGCTACCGTGGATCCAAACACATCTCGGAGTTATTTCACCTCTGTGAGAATGTCATCAATACGTACAACCAGAATTACCATATGGTGTATAGCAAATTTGCCACTCAGGGGAACCAGGATGAAGCCGTGGTGGAAGAATTGCTTAGAAACGAATTCTGCAAATACAAGTATGGCGCGTTGAAAATCTTGGAGTGCCTCTACAGCCGACTATGTGATAAGAAGAGAAATATGAACATCGAGCAGTTTCTAAAATCATATGTAGAAAACGACCTGAACAACCCCAACCATTTAGTGTGTTACCAATCTATCGTCACCTACTGTTGCTTCATTAAAAAGGTACAACACTTTAGCGATGTCAATGGTCTTGTTGCTAATTACGAGATTGTTTTAAATCATATAGGTAGCCCTAGCCTACTGATCAGGGTAGCCAGTGCATCCTACATAAAAAAATTCTTTAAGATAAAAAATGAATACCTCAAAAATGTGATTATCAAGTCTATTCCTATTCTAATTGAGCGTCTACTCAACGTAATTAAAGAGGTCAAATGTGAGTACATCGTTATGACGCTGGATAACTTGGCGTACACATACAAAGACTACATAACGCCTTACGTGAACGACGTGGTTATCACCCTTTGCACCAGTTTTGTTTTTCTTATTAACAAGAAGGATGAGGAAGAGGGTGCGCAAAACTCGCTGGAGAATGATCTGAGGCATAACCCCGAAATGATTGGTCACACACAAGATGGTACGCTCAGAAACGATAGATATTCCCTCACCAATGACGATGAGTATTCCATGAAGAAAAAGGAAAAGAAAACGGAAAATGAAGAACTAGATTTGAACTCTGTTATTCTGTCCATCCTGACGGCCATTTTAAGCCTACTCGATTCAGTAGATGAAGGAAACAAAGAACAGATTTACAAAAACACCATGTCGTATTTATACGTTGTGGTGGACGAAACGTTTAAGTCACCATCCATCGACTATCTCGAAGAAGCGCTCTCCCTGCTGACGAACATTACCTACTATCTAGATATTGACAACGACGTATACCTCCGCTTTGAAAAGCTATATGACATTTTCTATTTCAACACGGATGAAAATTTAAAAATGCAAGAATTGAATTGTATTAGAAATAACCCCCAATTAATTTTAAGCACCGATTTGATACTCTCTGATAAGAATACGGATGTGTACTTTTACGACTTCATCTTTGACCTTTCCTTCAGCATAGGTGTATTTGACAATATTATTTCAAAGGCAACGGAACAGTTTGTTAATATGTACAGTGAGAGGTATGGAATGAAGTATATCCACATGGTTTATCGATTAGGTATATTCGCTTTGCACTCCAGAATAGTTAAGGATAGTTGTAAATTATTTTTTATTTTGTTTGAGGCAACGGTGAAAATCAGGGGAGTGGACGAACTGATCGTGCCCATCCTCACTGCGTACTCCATGAAACTCTTTAAGCACGATGAGGCATCCGCCCTGATGAACCAAAAGAAAAAAAATAAGGAACTCACCATGGAAGGCGCCAATAAGAACGGTGATGAGGACGATGGAGCGGATAGCATATGTAGTGAGTATGATGAAGATATATTGAGCAAAACCAGCATTGAGCACATTAAGAAATTATTCTACTCCATCATCATATACGATGTGAATCAGTTCTTTCTTTTTTTTAATAACATAAATAGGACTACCTATATTCTATCCTTGCTGTCTAACCTTACCGATGTCCAAATGAACGGCACCAGGAAACTTTACATTCTTGCCATGAGCAGCATATTGGATAATATGCACAACTCCCATGTCAGTATGCACATCGCGGAACCAAATTCATTTATTCTAAATGTTATTAATGTGGCTAAGGAGTACTACGAAGGTAAGAATGAGCAGAAGGAGTCATCGGAAAAGTCCTTCGATTCAGAATCTTCTTCCGGGGACGAAAATAGCGAAGTAGATATTGATGAAAATGAAGATGCTACTAATGATAAGGCTTTCAAATTAATTAAAACAATTGAAGCGTTAGAAAAAAAAAATGACTTAAAAATTAAGTTAAAGGAAAATGTAAACCTCAACAAATTGGATGAACTGGCAAACCAGCAACACACAAACAATTCTGCTTCTGCACAAAACAGAAGCGATAATAACTCGTTTAGCCAAAAAGATATGTTGAAGCAATTTGGAACTAGTGAGCAATTGTTACAGCAAGCAAATGCACGCAGGCATCACGATGATGAAGCCGACGATGACGATAGCGATGACGACGACGATGATGATGATGACGATGACTGCTCAGACTATAGCCACGATGAATACAGAAAGGGATTCTTCGATGATATCAATGCTTTCAAAATTTTGCACGACACCACCTCCAACTTTTACACAAAGTACGAAAGTGTTTACAATAGTGATATTATGGGCAAGATTAAATACCTCGTGGATGCTGACCTCACCGCGCAGATGCAGGAACCCACCAACTGACCCCGTGCGGGAGACACAACAATTATACGGCCACGTTAGTAGGTGAAGAAGCACTACTGCCACCTACAGTGCGCATGCATGAATCCCGCGTTTGACGCAATTCCACCTGCGTCATGCACAGTCGCCAATTCAAAGGTGCGACACGCGCTTACTGCCAACGTTGCATTCCCCATCGTGAAGCGTTTATTCTTGAAACGACCTTTATTAAAACGTTCATTTTTGAAACCTGCCATCTGGGGACGCCATTTGGTGCTCCCCCTCGAGTCGCAATTACAATAAGGCTCTATAAAAAAAAAAAAAAAAAAAAAGAGAACATTTTTGCCTGTCCTATACGTACCGAGCGCACGGAACTTCCGCCTCTGGTATCACCCACCAACATGTTGGTCTCCTTTTTCAGGAACCCCACACCCTTACTTGTTCAAAATGTCCATGTAGAGGAACTTCTTCTCATCGCTAATGTTCTGGTAGGAAAATATGTTTACCTGACGGGTGCGCGAAAAAGGGGAGCGGCACACGGTTACATAGACAGAAAAACGAAACGCTACACAAGTGTGATCACTCGTGTTTGCACCAGCCACCGTAACTGTGCATGCACCCACATATTTCTACGCAGTTGTGTGTATATTATGCAAAGCCGCCGTCTTCTTACCAGTTTTTTCCTGTTCTCGATATCCACGTCTGCAAAGTTACTGTTGCTATCGACCATTTGTAGTTTGATCAGATTATAAATCTCTTCTACACACATCTGTCACAAGGGGCACGAAAAAGAGTTCATAATTTAAAGGGGCAGCCGCAATCGTGACAATGGTGCAACGGGCATCCTCAGATGGCGCCTTGTCATTAGCGTCGTTCTAATGGGGAATCTCCCATGGCACACAGCTGGCATGCAAAGTGGCTGTTTCCTCCCCTTACGTCGTATTGGAACTTGTCTAAAAGGGAAATGGCTTTTCTGACGATGGCATTCTTCCTGCAGGGGAGAAAAAAAAAAAATATACACACATATATACATATAATAAATGTACAAATAGTAATCCCCACGCAGGGGAAGATAGGTACACACACAGATTCATTCACATGGACGCACATGCGTCTGCTGCTTCTCTGCTCAAAGAGGAATGCGCAACGCCACTATCCACAGAGCTAGCAAATTCTTACAGAGCTTTCATAATGTGACTCATGTGCACATTTTCTTGATCTCCTTTTATGAGCATCTTGATTTTGCTCAGACAGTTGTTCAAGTGCTTTAGGTAATCGCCTATCAATCGGGGGGTGCGGGAAGCGTCACGCATTTTTTCGAGCAGCTATGCAAGCACATAACATCGCACTTGTCCACGCCGCTATTCTGGCCGCTATTCACGATGCTATCCACGCTGTCATCCGCGACGCCATCCACGCCGCGCCTTCTGGGGACTTACGGTGCTCCGAAATGAACGCCTCCGTCTTCTTGCTATGCAGGTACTCATCGACGCAGGCAGTTAAGAAAGCATACACAGCTTCTGCACCAACAGAGGACACATCGAAAATGTTCTTCCTAAGCTGAAGGTTGTTATTTATGAAGAGAATCACGTCATACAATTTGTGCATCCTCTCCTGGAAACCGTCGCCTGAGGCTAAGTGAATGTCCACTTTTTGTCTCAGGTGCTCCAGGACTATTTCTCCCTGCCTTGTTTTGTCCATGTTGAAAAGGAAGCTGAAGAAAGCGTCCATGTTGTTGATGGCGTGCAGTTCTTGGCCTTCGATGTATTTCTGCACAGACGGGGGGGGGTGCACATTATTGTAGAGGAGTTAATGTGGCGGTGTTAATGTACCGGCATTATTGTAGGGGCACCGTCGGCGCCGTCCCCACCACACTACATAGCACCGCTGCTGCCTCTCCTACCTTGTATATCCGCGTGGCAATCTCATCGATGATCTTGGGGCTGACGCGGAAAATTGCAGCGAGGCGAAAAATGTTCTCCTTGTACAGGGACCTGTTTTCATCGTTGATCACATCAATGACGTAAAGAACATAGCGCTCTATGATGCGATGTAACAAATTATAGTTGGACTCGATGAGGGAAAACTTCACATAGTATTGCTTCCCCTGAGGTCTAATCAGATCGAAATTTTTATATATGGTAAGAATCTCGTTAATGTTATTTACGAAATCGGAGTCGTTCCTGTAAATGTAGAACTTCTCCTTCACAGCGGAAAATATTTCATAGGTCTGCAAAAAAATGCACCTCATTTCAACATCAGCTGCTTTTTCTTCAGACAAATTTAAAAAATTCACAATTTTTTTTAAATACACATTTTTTATATTCTTATAATTTTTATTCAATATATTTGTTTTTATAATGTCCTTAATCATTTTTTCATATTCGTCAATGAGAAAAACGTCGTGTATTTCCTGCGCGTTTTTTATGTTTAGTATAATTTCATACATATATAAATCTTTTCTCATGTGGTATAAATTTTTTTTTGCTTCTTTAATTTTGTTTATATACATTTTTTTGCAAATTTCTTCAAACGAATCATCATCAATGTGCTCGAAAATGTCTTCCTTCCGAATAACGAAACTGTCCTTCTCAGGTAAGCTTCGTTCTCCTCCTTTTTTGTGGCCCCTTGTCGATTTCTCCCTCTCCAGGGACTGCATAAAATTCAGATTCTTATAATCGAACAAATTTTCCTCTCCTATAATTTTGTACCTGTCGTTCACTTCTTTCATGTTGCTTAAATGTTTTGTGCAAATTTTGTCTAAGAACCGTTTGATGATATTATCTTCCACCTCCCTGTCCACATGGTCATAATTTATATTAAAAATTATTTTCAAAATTTTTCTCTCTGACTGATTTTTCATGTGTTTTATTACAAATTCTTCGTACAGTTTTTTTCGTTCCTCTTGGGAGAGTAAGGCGCCTTTTCCATCTCCTTCCTCCTCTCCCTCAAGGTGATCTTTGTACATGATCCTTTTGAGGATCTCCTCCTCGTCCTCTCCGGCGGGAAGGGTTTCCTCCGTTGCTACGTCGGGAGAAAATTCGTTAGAATCTAGTCCGTCGCTAGGAGATAGTTCGTCAGGGGATGATCCGTGAGAAGATAATCCCTCCTCGGTTGACCCTTCCCCAGGTGTTTTTTCCCCTTTCGTCGCTGCCCCTTCCTTGGCGGTCGCATCCAGTGCCCTATAAGAGTTACACGCGAACAGATCGTCGAGGCTAAAAAGGTCATCGCTGCGAACCCTCAACAATTTCTTCTTCTTCTTAATCTTCTTATACACATGGACCAAATTCTGTATAAGGCGTAGACATTTTTCCATATTTCCCAACTTCAAAAAAATACCAATATTTTCCTTTGTCTTAATTACAAAATTCAGCAGAATATTTTTGATGATATTTTCCGTTGCGCTGTTGGATATGGATATTCCTTTTTTCAAAAAAAACAAATGATCATTTTTATTCTTCATTTTTTTAAAAATTAAATTGTTAATCAAAATTTTGTACTCCCTGTATATATAATCGTAAAGATATTTTTCTAAATATTTGTCCATGTATTTCTTGTCCATGTGTAAATATTTCCTCAAAAAATTGATGTCATTCCATTTCTTCAGAAACAGCTTCTTGTCCTCCAGGTCTCTTTTTTCCCTCTCCACAATGATACTTTTCTTGTCTTTATTTTCCCCCGATTTGGCCGCGTCCTCGTTCACGATGTAGTCCACGGTGTTCTCCACATGTTTGTGCATGTCGTCCGAGTCGTCTATCGCGGGATCTGCCTCCGCGGCGTCATCATCCAGGTCAGCGCCATCGTCCATGTCAGCGGCATCCTCCATATCAGTGGCATCGTCAGACTGCTCCTCCGCATCACCTTCCTCATGGGCGACACTATCTTCTCCTACCAATGGGGTGCCCCCCTCAACTATGTGCTTTCCACTGACCTTGCTATCCTCACTCCCTACCGCAATCGCCTCAACCTTGCCTTCCCTCTCTTGGGAAACAGAATAAACAGATTCGTAATTCTCATCTTCCATGATCCTTTTAAGGGTGCTCAGGAAAATTCCCTTATGCACATCCTCCAAAATGGTATCATCTAGCGTCAGCAAATCCATTTTTTTCGCGTCGTCCAGGACACTACTTGAGTTTTGCTTCTTACTGAGGAGCCGCCGAATGTGTGCTTCATAATTTCCCTTCATCGTTTCCAATAAACTATCATTGATCGTTTTTTCTTTTACCTGCGCAAGGGGAAACATGAAGTGGGAGCGGTGTGTTAAGCGGAAAAGGTGCTTTCATGGAAGGATAGCAAAGGCAGTGACTGGTGTATGGCCTACTCACCCCCATTTGCTGTGCGATGTGAACCAAGAGGAAGTAGCTGGAAATCCGGTTACGTCGCGCGAAGAAGGGAATGTGTAGACTGTTCCCACGGTGGAGGTTCAGCTTCTTCACCGAGTTCACATCATATTTAAACATGACATTCAACAAATAAAAAATGTAAAAAATTCGCGAAAGCACAGAGCCCTTATTATCTCCCTTGTCAGAAATGTCCGCATTGTACTTGTTTACCACAACACTAATAATATTTTTTATATTTTCCTTGTTGTTTCGAAACAGCTTATGGTACAGACCCACAAAGGAGTTCAAGGCAACAAGGACGTCTCCATCCATCGTTTCATTTGTGCATATTTGTCTAAACAAATAATGTGAGAAAATTTCATTCATGGAATTTAAAACATCATCCAGGGTGTAGTTGTACTTGAGCATGAATTCCTCGATTTTCCTTTTGGTTAAATTATTTATTCCTTCATAAGCAAAATAATTCGAAAATAATATTCCGAACAAATCTTCTGTCACGCAGAAATATTGATTGTACTTATTTATAAATAAAAAATTCATTAGCAAGGAAAAGGCCCCTATTTTACACACATGCATATTTTTTAGTGAGTACACCAAATGAAAGTGGTTTCGTAAGAGGAAGAAATCTTCCAGCTTGATGCGCCTTATGAGTTCCTTCAAGGAGAAGGTCAACAGTCCGCTAAGGCACAGGAACGATGCGTACTTTATGATGTTTGCGTTTTTCAGGTAAAAGGAGATAAAATTGCACAGCGTCTTGCGTGAAAATATGTTGTCCTTGTTGGCTGGCTGGGCTGCGAAGGGAAGGAATGAAGAAAGGACACGCACATATATACGCACATATATATATACACATTTATATGTGTATCTGCCGTCGCAGCTCGCCCACTCTTACGCACCGTTCGCCATAGACAGAGAGGAACCTCGGTTGTGCATCACATCATTAATGTAGTCGTAGTAAGACTGAACACTTTGGTAATTCCTCAAGGCACCCTGTCCATTCGAATTCTTTCTCTTCAAATAATAAGACAGAATAAAATTTAAAATGTTGTGGTTCTTCTTCTGCTTCCTCTCCTTTAGATCTTTCATTTCATTAAAGTAATATTCCATGGACCTTTTTTCGCTACCTGAGTAGCCAAACTTGGAAAAAAATTCTTCTTCATTTTTTAGGGTTGGGAGGTAGTTAATCAATTTAATAATTTCCTTTTTCCCCTCAGAGTCTTCGTGGACATCTTCAAATTGGTTCTTCTTCAAATATTCTTCAACGTCTTCGTACGAAATTTCATCGTCCCGGAGGTCGCCATCGTTGGGGTTATCACGGTCCAGGTTGTCTTCCTCTTCGTCATCGCCGCGATTCCCATCCCTATCCTTCACATGCTCGCTGAACAACTCGAAGGAGCTGTACCATTTTGTCCTCCTCTCGGGGGAAATGCATCTCGCGTTTTTCCTTTCCCTCCGGATAGAATAATTGAAGTGTGTCCTCTTTGGCCATACCTGGATATATGGCCTCACTTTAACCTTATTATAATTTCGCAGTGCGTGGGAAAAGAATTTTATGAGCAGCACTACCAGGAGGGTCAGCAGGAGGGGCGAAGGATGCATCATTCATTTGTGTTGTGGGGAGATCTTCAACCAAGTTGGCGGGCGGGCGCTCCTGCTTGGGTGTTGTCTATGCAGGAGAATGCACGTGATCTCACTGGCCTTTGGTCCCATGCGTCATTGGCCTGTCCCCCCCAGGTTGGGTCCGTTTTATGCTCCCTCTTATGCCTTCGTTTTAGGGACTTCTTCCTCTGCTTCGCTTCCTTCCTCTTTTGTCCCGTTTTAAGAAACCTAACTTGCAGCTGCCTCGCTAGGGCTGTAATGTGTAAACCGTTTTTGCTGACCAAAAGATAACTCTTCGCGGAGGCGTCAAATGGGCAGGGCCGCATACGTCCGTGAGTACAGGCAACGTGAGTGCACCATTTGGAATTTGCCTGGTCCAGTCACTTGACAACAAGGCTCCACGTGAAAATTCGCGTAAGAAACATCAGTAGCTCCCTCTTACGCGATCTTACAAAATTCGTTCCACACTGAATGATCGAGTTACCCCATCTCGCTCTTTATAATAATTTTTGTCACTGTGCCCAAAATGTCCTCACACGGAGAGGCTTGTTAATTGGGACATCTCGGCTTGTGTGTTTTATTATTCATGTTCTTAGTGTGCCTTTTGAGGAGTCACTATTACGTGTGCGCATCGTGTTGTATTATCCTTTTTGTTCCGCGTGCCTTCCCTTCGCTGCGTTGTGTGTTGCTTTGTTGTGCGTTCTCCCTTTTTCTTTGTTTTTTTTTTTTTTTTTTTTCCCCTCCGGAAGCGATGTAACACATAAATTAAAAAAAAAAAAAAACTTATGTACACGTCCGAATTTTATCTTCCACGGAAAGCGTCATCCTAAGCGTGCACAGTGTAGGTAATTATAGGCTTACTCATAGGGACAACATTTTTATTTTCTTAAAAAGGAAAGAAAAACTCCATAATGAGAAGTGGCAGCAACGGAAAAGTATCACACATGGTAAGAGAACAAAATTGACGACTGACAAAAAGGTGGACTGCACGCACACATATTAGCAATTCATTTCATGGGCCATTTTTTTTTTTTTTTTTAAAGCAGCGTCAAAACAATGAAGGAATATTCGAGTAATGCTACATAGAAGATTGGCTTCTTTTTGTTTTTAATGATTATCCGAACTAATTAACATTACATACATGTAGCTCTCCCTGTTTTCCCCCTTTTTTTGGATCTTTCACACATGTACAATTTCAAGTGAGGACACATATGCCCACTCAACCACCTTCCATTTCCTATCTCAGTTGAACACAATGAGGACAAAGGCGAAGTGACAAAATGTGAAAGCGAGTACAGTGCGCTGCTGGAGTGTTTGGACACCTTCGATAGGTTTGACTTCCGTGAGGGGGATATCCCCAGCGCGATGGCTATTACTATCGCTACCGTGGGGTCCTTGCTCGTAGGTGTATACCTGCACATGGACCTCCATGTGTGGTTAATCGCACTGTGCAGCCTTGCCTTTTTGCACATCTCCACGTATGGCGCGTACTCCCTTACCCATGACCACCCCCGCAGAAATTGGGCAAAATGCCAAAACGAATTGAAGACATTCCGCGCGTGCTATAGTGTGGATAGCAGACAGAACAATGGGCCAAGTGGTTAGACGAAGACTCGATCGGGAGGCCATTTCTGCCGTTTGCACGCGGCATCGTCGGTCATTCCTTAGTTTCAGCGTTACTGCGTGTCGCCGTTTCGTTGTTCGTCCTTTTTTTCATTCCATTTTTTCGTTACACTCGATTGTGCTACATATGCACATGTGCACACACGTGTATGTTAAATACCTACCACTGGGGAACGACTCCTTTTTTGTCCCGCGCGGACAGGGGGCAACTTCCACCAGCTCTGTTACCACTGAATTGGATGCACTTAATTATGGGTGAATGGTAAAAATTTGTTGCTCTTTTTTTTTTTTTTTTTCCCCCCCGTTGTTCTTGTAAAAATTGTAACATTTTTTTTTTTTTAATTTCTACTAACACTGTGTGCGTACTGGCACAGATGTCCAAAAAAAAAAAAAAAAAAAAAAAAAAAAAATGTTGCAATTTTTACACCCATGATGGAACAAAAAAAAGTTGCTGTTGTTTTTCACCCATCATAGAACAAAAAAGTTGTGATTTTTTCTAATGTCCAAAAAAAAAAAAACAACCTTTATACAATTTTGCAAAATGTTAATTCTGCTAAATATAGTTATTCATAGCGACAAAATGAGAACTCCTTGATGGTCGCCCGCTGGGACATTCCAACCGCGCGACCATGTGGCTACCCTTGTGTGTTTATTCATATTTGTCCATAACCCGTGTTAACCCATTTTGACTCATTTCTGCTCGGTAGACGGCTCCCCCTCATATGTTTGCACAGCTGAGCGTGGCAAAAAAAAAAAAAAAAAGAACGCTCAAAACTGCGCACAAATAAGAATGCCTCTACTACCAGACAAAGAAAATACACGAAACAGTTGAAAATCTCAAAATGAGCACCAAATCTAACGAAGACATAGATAATAAAGAAGAGAAAAATATCGAAGTTAAGAAGAAGAAAAAAAAAAAAAAAAAAAAAATTATAATAAATGTGCGAAAGAAAGTTCTCCGAAAGGAGGAATTAACAATTGAGGATGTCTCCAGTTCGAATGCGCTGGGTGAAAGTCTGACGGATAGTCGGAATGGGAAAGGCGCTTCAAAAGGGAAGTATGTTCGCAGCAATGGTAGTCCCAAGAAGCCTGTCAAGGCAACCAAGAAGGCTCGCTTCTTCGATAAAGAATACGACATCCGTGAGGTAAGGAGGGATTGCGGCAACAGAGCAAAAATACAAAAAAAAAAAAAAAATAAGGGGTGCATATAAGTGTGCAATATATATCCGTGGACTTCCTTTTGTTGCTACTTCCCTACACTGTCTCATCCGAGGTACACAGTTGCGCGGGGTATCTAAACGTGCGGCGCACAAGTGGGACCGTGCGCACAACTGTGCACATTGGTTCATCCTCCACGTTATAAGTTTCACTTAATTTTTGTCTTTTCCCCCCTCCGCAGATTCCAAACTGCCCCATTTCTGAGATGCTCCTAAAGCGCAAGAAAAAACAATGAACAACTGCACACAAGATATTTTCCCTACTCACACTCTGATGTCTTCTTCAAAAACGTGAAGGCGATAATTTTCACTGCAGAGGACGGTTAGCCTCTTTACTAGGGATACCCAGTACGAGATTACCTTCCTTCTAACCGTTAAGTGGAAGCTTGTAAATGTGTTCCATAATAGCGTACAACGTGGAAATTGTGCAGGGTATATATGGGGGTACCACCCCTTGGGCCATTCAACCCGCAACATTTGTTGATTGTCATAAAGTACGCGGCCTCTTACGTTCCCATGCAGCTAACCCATATTGCTTGCAATTTTAGTAAGACCAAAAAAAAAAATTCCTTGCCTTGTGGTGTATATCCATCTTCGCGCCCATCCCTTCATGTACAAAAATGAAGTGCCAACGCTGAAGCAGCACAGTCAAGACGGCGTCAGACTAGTCTATGCAGTTGGTGTTGCGCGAATGTGCCCTTAACCCTGGGGAGTCCTACAGATGTGAAAACCTTACAGCCACCGCTTTTATAAACGTGCAAGCCGCATAAGGGCAAATGGCCCATTTTTAACGAAAGCACCACTTGTAAGAAAATTCGCCCGACCCATGTAAATAACGTCGAATTGGTGCTAATTTTTTTTTTCCTCAAAGGAACTTTCTGCTCGTCTTTGCAACGTCTACAAACCACGTTTGTCACCACGTTGCACCATTTACGATTCTTAACACATTTGCTTTTTTTTTTTTTTTTTTTTAAAAAAAGTTAATTTTTACAAGTGAAAGTTGTAACAATACACACAAAATGCATAAAAAAAAAAAAAAAAAAAAGAAAAAACGGCACCTCTGACTTGGCAGGCAGCTGCACAAGAGTATATATATGCGCGCATGCATACATATATGAATGCATATGCGAATATACAAAACTTGTATATGTATAACGTGACCACAATGAAACAACTTCGCTGCGATAAAGGTCTGAAACTTAATTCAACAGTTATCATCTCCCTCATAATGACGTGGTTTCCGCGTTGCCCGCGTGTTTTCATCCCGGGATTTGCCAAGCATGGGTCAATGCGGCTACAGTAGCCTCCATTCCAAGCGGCCAATATGCACTGTTCAATATTTCTTATCTACGAAACGTTGTGGGAAAAATTTCTCAAACGAGTACTCGTACTAACAGTGGTAATTTTCCCTTTTCACCCACAACTGCTCTCCCCACGGCGTTTTTATTTACTATGCCGCAAGGAAATATCATTACCCATCTGACTCTAATCAAATCATCTTTGCTTCGGTTTGGGGGTACTTCCTTCGGTGAATTTATTTTTTAATTTCCTTCTCAACGTTTTAATATATCTACATCGGCCCGTTCCAATAGTGTTTCTTCTTTTGGCTTTGATGGACCAGTTGAATCTTCTCTTCTTGGCACTGGGGTATCCACATGAAGCGCATTTTTTCTTTTGCAAATGATAACTCCTTTTGCCACACCTGATGCAAAGGAAGTGGCTCTTTCCATTTCTCTTTCCGAATGATCCTGTTCCTTTTCCTGCCTTACCCATTGTTTACGTGCAGATGGTATGTGATGAAGCGGCAAATGGCGAGATTGTTTTTGTCACGCGCTGACGGTGGTCACAATTATGCTTAATTTACTTATATTCTCGTTAGTTCAATTAAGAACATGTACACTTAATATAATTTCGTTGTTTTTTTTTTTTTTTTTTTTTTTTTACGATGGAAAATGAAATAACTTATGTTTCTCTACTTTCTTGCGCGTGGGAAAAAAAAAAGCGCTTCCCTTTTTTTTTAAAACAATGAGATGGATACAATAATGGTCAAAGCGTAAGTTTTTTTACGATGAACGGGTAAAAACGCTAATATATAACGGGGTTTCCCATTGGGGTCATTTTTTTCTTTTTTTTTTTTTAAACCTTGCCTTCGTGAATGGGAACGAACGCGCACAAATGCGTTTTGTATAGTATGTTTCTTGCTTTTTGTTATGCTCTTATTCCTCTGCGTCGGGGCCAATTGTTATTGCAAACAGGTGGGAGGCGCTATAATGTTTGCGGTGGGGAAAATTCATTCCCATGCTGGGCATACATCCACGGCTGGCCTTGTACACCGAGCGTAACAGAGCAAAATATATTTATACGTACATATATTTATTTCCTTACGGCGTGCGCTTTTGTCGCACCGTGGAAAAAAAAATGTGCTTTCTCCACAAAACATGGTATATGCCTCCGGCATACTTTCTTTTCCCCATTCGGCGTTGAAAGAAGCGGGGGCATATACGCGCTACCCATACGGTTCTTTATTTTTGTTACGCATTATTTTTCCAACTGCTGGGTTATATCTCCATTTATTCTCCCTCCCCTTTTATAAAGCATAACCCTAATCCAACACCTGTTTAGCGGTTGCCTTATATGAATAGTTATATTTACCCCCGCACCGCACGTACAAAATATACGTCATACATATATGTTACGATACCATTTTGTAGCCCCCTCAGGAACGAAATTTTTCTATGATGTTGCACCTTCCACATACCACTGTCATTTGGGTATTACGTCGAAGTACGCACCTGGCTCTGGGTGGCAAGCACCCTACTTCCCTTCAGTGGGGGCATTGCACCGCTTTTACTTTAAAGCCTGTTCATTATTACCGCCACGGGGTTAATATACCTTTGCGCCCTCAAAAAATGGTGCAGGCGTGAGGGCGGTGGTACAATTAGCGCATTATGTATATTATATATATGCCTCACTTATCTGCAACCGTCATTTTGGCGCGTTTTTTTTTTACCCCTCGAACATGGTACCCGTTAAAAGGCATCTATATAAGGTTATATACATTATAACACAAATATTCGTATATTTCCATTTCACGAAAAAAGTTGAGAAAAATAACTATATTTTTTTTCTTTACAAAGCAATTATTCCATTCCCATTTGATCGAAAAAAATTAACCAAAACTTGTTTGTGACACTTCCTCCCCCTTCATCACTCGAGTAAATTTGACTCAAATTTTTTTTTCTTAAAATATGCGGAACAAAAAATTATGAACAGGTCATATATATTTTTTCTACAAAATATAAATAAATTGCTTCCCTTTTAAATTGGCCACATTTCTCACATCACGAAAAAAAAATGTTTACATTGAAAAGCCTTTTTAAATAGAATAACCCAACGCAGTGAAATGTGCATAATGCTCCCAGCCGCACACAGACCTGTCGTGTGCTGCGCTTATTCTTAATCATAAAAATGACTCTTGTCCCATTAGGTCCTTTGCTAAGCAACGTGCCTATATACCCAGCATATTACCGCTTCGCATAATGTAACGGTAGCTCATTTTTAACGGGGACGAATAGAAAATTGTGGAACTACAACTTTACACAGCCCCCTCCTATGAACATCCTTTATTGACCACCTCATCCACCAACTAATGTGCAACAATTGCGATAGGTTAATCCATCCGCTGCTTCCACAAACACATAATTATATGTTCACACAGTGCGCAGTTTATCATTGTTATAGATATACCCTCTTGTGATAAAAGTGGTTCCAAATGCATTCTCCATTTCCAGCGTAGTCGAGTTCACCTTTTCCGTATTTTACACCGTCAACGTTTTAGCGTTTTAACCAAGTAGACGCAAGAGGGGCGTGCAAAGGAAAAGGAAAAAAACAGTGTGGAAAACACGACCCTTACAGAACAGCGCATAATAAGCAAAAATGGTCAGGGAGGCGACTACCACCAGGGCTTTTTAATGCCTCATGTTGTGTCTTCTCTGCACACACGGATAACGCAGCAAGTGCGGCGTTTACACAGATTTACTGCTCCAATTATACTTTACACTTTCAATTGGTGTCCATTTCGTGTTTTACCATGGGCCATTTTTACTACATGTCGCTTTCGCATATATACATCATGCACACGGGGATTAGCACATTCGCAGATTGGCAATTTTGCAAAAAAAAAAAAAAAAATCAAAAAAGAAAAAACAAAGATTAAAAAAAAAAAAGAAATGGGACAAAACGGTCCATTATCCCTCAAAAAGAGCGGCCTCCTTACACCTTTTCACTTTCTGTCCTTTTTTTTTTTTTCTTTCCTGCCTCATTCGCAAATTAAAAAACGTTTAATTTCCAACAGAACTGATCGTCGCGCTTTCTAAATAGGGAGACATTCTCCTTCATCAGCTTGTCTATGCACTCAGGAGGGGCATCAACGTTGGTCAATTTTTTGCACGAATCCATAATGTCCACATAGGAGTACTTCTTCCTATTTTGCGTGTTGCCACTGGGACCACTGTTCTCATTAGCCGCGCCGCCTACTCCGCCAATGCTGCCATTTGCAGTAGCGTCCTCCACTTTGTTCTTATTCTTTGTCGCCTTCTTATCGTCCGAGTTGACTCCACCTTTGTCTTTATTAGTGGCCATTTTGTTGGCGAAATTTTTCTTCGCAGCTCCGATTCTTGGGGACCCTCTGTTGGAGTGGTCCTTGGCATCATTGCTACCAGGCTGGTCACTTTTTGCATGAGAATCCTTCTTATTCTTTTTCTCCACATTTACATCATCATGTTGGTTGTTACTTTCTTCACTCTTATCAACTTCGGTACCTTTTCCATGATCCTCCTCATTATGATTGCTGTCATGATTGTTTTTCTCTGTGCTGGCGTCATTTTCGAAGTCGCTCTGTGCGAGGTGGTGCGCTTCCTCCGCGTCATTCACTTCGCAGGCCTCGTTCATATCGAGCGATTTCTTCCTCTGCTGTAGATGCGGATGATGGTGGTCGGCTTGATTAGCCACTTCGCTGCAATTATCGTCGTCCTTCAATTTCTGACCAGCCTTCTTCCTCTCGTCCTTCATTTTGGCAACCTCATTGCTGGCCAAGTCTGTGGACACAGTGGCCGAGTCGTCCTTCTTCTTACTCTCACCCTTTTTCTCTCCGCTTTTCCTTGCGCTGTTTTTTTTATTATAATAATTTTTTCCACTTTTCTTGTCAAGCGCTTTATTTTCATTTTTGCCCATCACACTGTTACTATTACCATGACTGTCGTACATGACGAGGGGGTCTTTTTTATTAAGCTTGTTGTTGCTCGCCATTATTTTGCTACCGCTCTTGCTATACTCGCCGTTCGTCTTCATGGCGCTCTTATTATTACTGCTGCAGTTGTTTCCGCTCCCTCCGTTTCCACCCCCGCTTCCAGTGCCTCCTGCATTTCCATTGCTCCCACTGCCATTTCCATGGTTGGTGGTATTCGCTGCGCCGTTGCCGCTATTCCCATTAGTACCATTTCTGTTGTTGCCACTTCCGTTACTGTTACTGCTCGCGCCGTGTCCGTTATTGTTCCCGCTGTTATTATTATTATTGTTATTTCCATTATAAGCGCTACTATTACAGTTGCTGCTGCTTCTACTCCTATTATTCTTCCCTCCGCTGCCTCCATTTTCATTGGCGCCTGCCCGATTGTTCTTACTATTCCCATTACTACCCGTGGCTGCCGCACCCATGCCGCCTTTTCCATTATCAGCATCCTTAGCACCTTTATTCATTCTATTATGATGGTGTGTTGCTCCCGAGCCAGTAGTCGCCCCTGCACCCTTCTCATTAACTCCATCTAAGTGATAGAACTTCCTCCCATCTTCCACATACTTGTCACCCTTATTATTACCCCCATCATGATACACATTACCGTGCATAATATTTCCATACATATTATTTGCGTACATATTATTACCATACATGTTACTAAAAACATGGTTATAATTACTATATGCATTGGCAAAATATCCTGGTGCATTATTATTTGCTCCACCTGCACCTCCTTGGGATGATGCTCCTGCACCTACTGAGCCAGCCATAGAGCCGTTATTAAAACTATTGTCGCTCATTCTTCCTGCATTGTTACCGTCACCACCTCCTCTGGAGAATTTACGCCCCTTGCCGTTATTGTAACCGTGCTTGTTCTTCATTTCGTTCAAAGGCCCATATGCATTCGAATACATGTTGTACCCACCACCAAACGTATCACACAAATTCACATGTTGATACATGTTGTACGCTGCGGTGTTCATACCATAATTGTAGTAGTTCAAATAGGCATCAAAGTTAGAAGCAGGATTGCTCGCTGAACCGCAGTGTCCATATAAGGTACTATCATAACCATTCATCGTGTTGGGCAGGTAATACATGTTGTTAAAATTCATGTACCCCTTGGGACCCATAGGCATTCCTGCATTGGGTATCATATTTAAATGACTGCCACCGGTCGTTCCTGCTATGCTGCCGTTTGATGTCGCCGTTGCTGCATTGTTAGTGCTCGTTGATCCACCAGCACCAGTGGAGGAGGAAGAAGCCATCGGCTGCACACCATTGGGGGAGCTCGAATTTTGAGATCCGCCCACCCCTGAGGAGATGGACCCATTACTAGCACCTACACCTGCGGCACTACCGCCACGTGTACTTCCTCCACTCACACCCGCACCAGCACCACTCACGCCGTTGATAACACCTCTTCCGTTCGTTCCCATGACCGATGCGTTCGTATTGCTGCCCCCATTAGCAGCGCCAACGCTGTGGTTGTTCCCCTGACTGCTGCTACTCACATTGTTACTGCTCCCCAGCATGGTACCCATCGACTTGAAAATGTTGTTTTCAATAATATTTTGTATCCTCTGTGTTGTCTTAATTCGAACATTTAACTTTTTATCATTAACAGATTTGGTCTTTAAATATTGCGCTAGCGATTCCGTTTTCTTTTCATTCCTGAGGGTGATGAAGATGGTGTTATTCACATCGTTCCTCACATTCAGAACGTCAGTCGGCTGGATGTTGGGGCTACTCAGGACGATGCTTTTAATCGTGTTGATGTAGTGCGAATTGATATCTCTAATGATAATTACATTTCGTTTATTATTCAAATTCAGCAAGAAGTTCTTGTTGTCTTCTTCAAAGGGGTTTTTCGTGTTGCTGGCCAAATCAACGACTGCATCCCCTTTCTCCACGTCAGCTGAGCCTTTCTCTTCACCCTTATCACTACCTTTACCTTCGACATTTTTGCTCTTATCTGCAGCAGAGGAGGAATTATCTCCCTCCACCGCTGTATCCGTCGCTTCTTCCACAACTGTGCCATCTTTTCCATTTGCCCCCGTCGCGTCGGACTCTACCACGTGGTCCTCTCTCTTAAGTGAAGAGGACTCTTTCACAGAACCCTCCCCATTGTTTTCATCAACAGATGGGGCGACAAATTTTTTATCTTCTTCTCTTTTATCTGGTTCATCCCCTTCCTGTTGTTGCTGCTTTGCCTCTCCGTCTTGTACCGATGATGTGTCATTCAACTCCACATGGCTAGCACTACCATTAGTGCTTCCTTTCCCATCGGTAGTGATACCCTGTGCTCTGGTCACCTGTGCAGTGTCACCATCCACATCTGCTTCTATTTTGTCCGTCTCTCCCCCTCCAGAGCCGTCCTTCTTACCCAAGTTGATGCACTTCAAATCGTTTAGCACGTTGGCCAAAATCGCGGTGTTGTTTTGCGTGTTGCTATTAACCAGGGGAGAAATGTAGGGATGCTTGGCTATCACATCAATGCTGAGTTTCACATTATTGTACATAAAGTATAACAAGTAATCATCTGTCATGATGTTTTCCCTTTTAAAAATTTCAATAACTCTGTTTTTTATTTCACTGTACATATTTGACGAGGTCATATTTTTGTAATTTTTTTTTTTATTTTTCTCATATAGGTACTTTTTATTTCTTCTATTCTTCAAGCTGTCATGGTAGGGACTGTTGTGTGCATTAGCATTATAATTCGATCCACCAAAATACATATTATTCATATTGTAATAATAATAATTGAAGGGGAGATAATTGTAAAAGTCGTTCACCATGCTGTTGTAGTTAAAGCGGGCATCATAATTACCATCGTTGTTGTAACCGTCTGGTCCAACTGCTCCCGTTGTGGCGGCGCAAGATGCTGCAGAAGCCGCTGCAGACGCGGCTGCAGAAGCAGCTGCGGGAGGAGTTGTCCCTGAAGCACCTCCAGCACTACTGCCAGTGGCGGCACCACCCGCCCCACCACCGGAAGAAGACGCTCCGCCGTACATTTTGCTCGACGAATAATAATTAGCTAACTCCACATTCTTGCTGTCATTGTCCTCCACATAATAAGTATAAGGATAATTGCAGCCATAGTTCGGCAAATAATTATAACTGGTGTTATTATTATTGTACATGACCATGTTATTCATGGGGTCCATCATCATACCATCATTGGGGTTGTTACTGCTACCGTGGTTGTTGAACCCGTCATAGTTCAACGAGCTGCTATTGTGACTATTGCCGCTTCCATTGCGGCTCCCGTTGCCTCCCCCGTTGCCACTGAAATTTCCACCCATATTACTGCTCATACCACCACTAACGTTGCTGTTCAGCATACTGGGGGGTGGCCCTTTGTAATTCTTTCCCCCTCCGCCTTTCACGTTGTAATTATTCTTACTATTCTTATAGTCATATTTGTAATTAGCTTTACTTGGGTAGCTACTACTCACATTATTTCCACTGTTGGCGCCTCCATTACTTGCGCTTGCATTATAACCCCCGTCAAAATTCTTACTGTCACTTTTGACAAAGCTTCGTTTTTTATTTGGATCCTTCCCAGCGGCACTGTTGTAATCGTTCTGTTTGTCCCTATTTGCTGGGTGTTCACCGTTCACATTGCTACCTTTGGCGTACTGGTACACCACCCCACTGTTCTTTCCCCCGTCGAGGTTACCACTACTGTTATTTTTGCCACTCCTCCAGTCATTGTTAAAATGGAAGCTGCCATAGTAGCCACTGTTACCGGAGGGGGCGTCGCTCTTGTCCGATTTGTTACCAGGCTTCTTCTCCTTCACGCCTTTTCCATGGCCTTGGCCAGCGCCGCTCTTTCCGCTACCAACACCATTAACGTTGTCATTACTCGTGATGGCAGACGCATTGCTGTCCTCTTCGGCCTTTTCCTTTTCGACGTTTCCTCCCTCAGCGCATTGGTTCTCCTTCTTCCTCGTGGCGCCACTACCATTTTCTACGTCATCTGCGTTAGGAAGCTTATTATTATTTTTTTTCTTCTTTTTCTTGTCCTCCTCTCGATTATTATCATTCTGATTTCGCTCCTCCATCTTCATGTCATCACCCTTGTTACTGCTGCTATCCTCCTCCTTCTCCTTTTTCACGTTTGTCACGCACTTGGCATGGCTCTTTTCACTTACATTCTGCTCCATCTCATCACTCCTGTCAGCACAATTCTCCTCTCCTACACTTCCGCTGTCTTTAATTTTGTCGTCACTACTTTTGGCTGTTCCGTTATTCTTCGAAACCTTCTTTCTGCTTGCGCCGTTGCTGCTGTTCTCTCTGCTACTGTTCATTTTTTTTTTTTTTTTTAAATGCGAATGTTTAAAAAGAGACTGTTCAATTGTTTAAAATTGGGGAGACAGCGACACGACGCCAAGCGGGAGGGGGAGCTATACACATACAGGGGTGTGTATGTACAAAGTGGGGAGTATATATAGAACGGGGTTACGGGGGGCGCGTAAGGCGCACAAAAAATACATCTGTACGAGTTTTCCTTTCGAAAAGGAAATCTCTGCTGGGTCAGGTAAATGCGATTACACACACATACACATACACATAAACACGCGTGCTGTTGTAAAAAGGCACTCGTCTCTGTCACGTACGCTCTTTCGCACGTACAATATGTAGCACATGCGTGGTGAGCAGGTTCGGACAATATTTTTTATTCATGCCTTCGCACCTGCATATGCAAGGACGGACGGGCGGTGATGTAGGCACACAAACAATACGGCTGCACGTGGACAACACACACATGCGCCAACGAATTTTTTTTTTTTTTTTAAAGTCTACGTAAACATGTACGTATGTACGTATATGTGTATGTTGTTTTTTTTTATTTTTTTAATTTTTATATTTTTGTCATTTTCTTATTCTCCTAGTGGGAACATTTAAAAGATAGGCTAATGTTGGTCATGAAGCAAAGGTATATATTAAAATAAAAGATAAAATTTGAATTTTTTTTTTTTTTTTTAATTTCATTAATAAAGTGTTTAATATGAAGATGGAATAAACACAAGCACTCTTGATTCTTCTTACATATTTTCTCTGATATTTCTTTTTTTGGGGGGTTATTTTTCTGTGGTTATGTTATTTTTTGTTGTTTTTTGTGACTGTTTAGGGTTATTTTTTGTGACTGTTTATTGGTGTTTTTTGCTTTTTACTTCTTTTTCTGCTGTTTTTTTTTTTGTATTTGGGTATACATAACACAAATGGAGGGGAATGCACCCTGTAGACCCCTTCTCTACATTTGGGGGGTGCACAGAACAGAGGCGGCACACAACGCAGCGACATACACTCGCATAAATGCGAAGGTGTACACGCGCCTGGATGCGTGTGTGTATACAAAAGTATGCACATACAGCATATGCACACGTACGTGCGCGCTTAAGGACGCATATGTAGATATATATATATTTATATATATAGGTACAAGCACATGCACACGCGCGGCTCTACGCGTATGCTTCACAAGCACACGTGCATACACGTTGATACGTACGGACTTAACTTTTTCACGCACTGAGGGGCATACACGCAGGAAGCGCGAGTTCAAAGTATATGGCCCCTTATTGCGTTAAACAAACTTGCGCGTATATATAAGCCTTTCAATTTGGCATATATTGTATGCTTATAAAGTTATAAGCATGAAAATAGATAAAGGGTAAAAATGAAACGAAGGGAAGGGGGGAAAGAAAACAATGTTGGAAAAGGGGGGGAAGAGGAAGGGAAAAAATTGAAACAATTTCGTTCCTCTTAATTATAACAATACATAACGTCCATTTAACACATGTACACACATACTTATATATGTACACGCATATCCCGTGGGGCATATGCACATCTATATTACTTATACATGCATACACACGTGCGTGCGAATACTCAATGGCTCATTCACTCGTTCATCTTACAAGAGAGTGAAAACAAAAGCATGGTTCACACGGGGACGTACTTACAATCGGGGGTTGCTCCTTCAGTCCCTTTAAGCTCTAAAGAGGGCACAATGTGCGCACAGGCGGGATCGGGCAGCGTAAAGCGGTGCAAAGCGACATCAAGCAGCGTACAATACAGCGTGCATATTTATCATATACGTATGCATGTATGCACTCCACTACTAACATGCCTCTTCACACTCAAGCAAAATTACTCGCTCCAGCCGTTATATATATATATTATCACTACAATTGTTCATCACGTGGGGCAGTACTTAATTGCTTATCGTATAGCCACGGTCGCATGCTCCAAGCAAGCATTTTAAAAAGGAGCAGCATTCACCACGTGTACATGTGTTTATCCGTACATGTGCAAATAAAACGTGAACATAACGTAGGGGGACGGGTGCCCAAAAGGCAGTACCAAGGCAGTTATTACTTATAGCGCCCTGAAAAGGTAACACCACACAATGTTATAAATACCCAGGAGGGCAGCACCCATCAAAAAGGGGTCCCAATTTTGTACTCAAAAATGTACATACAAATATGTACCACAGGCAAACACGAACGAGCGCATTTGCTCCTATAAAAAACTTACTAAAATATCATTACAAATTTTTTTGGGGGGAAGTTTACAAAAAGATGTACGCATGGAATAAAAACTCCGCTTCCTATAAAAAAAAAATAAAACACATTTGTTTTTTTTTTTACTGCTGCAGTTTTATATATAAACACTTATTTTTAATTTGTCGAGAATTGTTAGTAAACTCTCGCGAATCTTACAAAATTGAATAACCTCACTTTACAAATTAAATGTTCAACATTGTATATATACATATGTATATATAATGGCAAAGCGGGCACAGCGCATATGAAAAAAGTTATGGGTTAATTACAAGTGAAGAAAATATGCGCCCATCGGCCATATGCCAACATTTGCTATAAAAAAAGGCTAAATGCTATTGCATACGTAACGCTATAAAAAAAAAACAAGCGCATCGTTTATGCATATGCGCTATATTTATTATTTTATGCGTATTTTAATATAAATGCGCACAAAAACATTAAAACATGCACGATTGCTCGCTTATAAATATACACGCAATCCACTTCAAGTCGCGTGCGTTCCTGTTTTTTTTTTTTCAACATACGTGCATATATATTATATGTATAATAATATTATATATATATTATCATACATAAATATACATAACATTATGCATTGCATACCCCGTATGATGACACGTGAAACATGCATAACCTGACATGGGTATATTTTTTTTATACCGTGCGCTTTATATTCAAGCATCCCTTTTGCGCCCGTATGTTCAAGGAAGGCATAAAAAAAAAATGCGCTAAAGAAAAAGTCGGCCTCCCTATTTTTGTTATAATGGGAAAGGAGTACAGAGAAAAAAAAAATGGTGCATGAATTTGAGAAGAGTAACTTTTATTTCCATCTCCGTACTTTGGTGCGCTGTATCTCCATAGCATATAACTTATATATATAGTATATGAGGCAATCCTGAGCACATGTATGTATATTCTACGTGCGTATTGTTAATTAAGCAAAGCGAATTTTGGGGTAAACGCACGGAACATATGATCATAAATATTTATGCTGCATATATGTACATATATGCGTACTTGGGCGTACATGCGGGGATTTTTTTTTTTTTTTCGCCCTCTACGCGCTTATATTACATGCATAATAATATGTATATATTATTTATGCGTATTATATACATATATTAATATGCCCTTTGAGTGAACTTCAAAGGGGAACTGGCCAAAATAGGGGCAAAACGACTGAAGCGGACGCACCTTAACAAGTGTGGGGACTGGTATGCGTAAAAAAAAGTCCGCGGTCGGTACTACATATGTACGCAATGCATATTATATATTAATGTAGTAAAATATTTTATGTGCGCACAGGATGGAGTGTAATACAAAAAAATGATGGCATGAATAATAAATAAATGTAACTTTGCGCACTCACTCCTATGCGGGTCAAGCGGTGTACATGCATGCTTATATGAACACAAGAGTAATATAAATACTATGTAGTAGGCACAACTTTAAATCGAAAAATTTTGGTGCGCGCTTGGGAAGGACATACAGCTATGCATTTACAGCATATACCGTTATGTTGTTCATATGGTTTTACATATGTGCGTATTTTACTAAGCATTATTAAAGCCACGTGAAGCCACTTGCGTGTAGGGTACGAAATTATATATACTGTCACGCAGAGGTATGCGGGCGGTACATTATATAACGTGCTAATTAACACCGCCAGGCATGTCATGCCGTTCTCCGAGACACTGGTTTGTCGCTCCGGGGTCACTTCATAACATACAGCGAAATTATGAAACAAAACAAACAAAATTTTAACAAGCGTTTGAAAAGAAGAACAAAGGGGGGCGATAGGTTCTAATGTGTTAATGCGTGTGCATATTATATGTACGTATGTGATATGTACAATGTGCAGTATCAATACGGCGCGGGTTTTTTTTTATATATGTAGGGCGATAAAACGCTACACTTTGCTTCTCAAGGGGGATGGAAAGGAAGAAAGCACTACTTAAAGTTAAAAGAAAGAAACGTGCATGTAATTATGGTGAATAAAAACAGCTCTATCAACGGATGGGCCGTACTTATTTGCGAACGCGTCATTACGAATACAATGTATTATGCACATGTGGCTGTGGTACATTGATCCCGTACGAACAGCCCACATATAAATAATACACATGCATAATATTACGTTATATTATATACGCGCATGTAATCATACGTATATATAGAGAATGTTGGAACGCGTTTCGCATTGACAAAATTGCATGTCCCGCCCGATTTTTCATCCGTTGCCACTACTCAATTGAGCACTTTTTAAAGCATCTCCATTGTGGGAGACTCACCTTTACGAAGGAAAAAAATGAATCCAAATGCCTTCGTATCAACTTGAAAAATATGTAAACAGTGAAAAAAGTGTGGAGTGCATATGGGGCTGAAAATTGTGCAATCAAAAAATAGCATAACTTCAACAGGAAAAGGGGAAAAAGAAAAAAAAAACAATTAAAAAAAAATGTGTATAACTGTTTATGTATACCTCTTTGTACCGTTAACCATGTGATTTGAGTTAAGGGCCATTTTTTTTAAAATTACACACATTGGAACAGCACGCATATGGCTACATATATCTACAGCACAGTTGCGTTGGCATGTTGTTTTTTTTTTTTTTTTCATAAACGCTGCATGGGTCAGGTAGTTTTTTCCCCCCACATTATTTCATTTGTATCTCTGCATTTAGAAGCATTTTAGCTTTAACTTTTCATCCCATTTTTGGGAAAAGGCAAAAAGGGAAATCAGCCCGATGTGTTGCTCATTTTTTGTATTGTTGACGTGCCCGCCCCGTGGTCCTACTTAATCGTCTTCTCATCTATTAAGCGCTTCATCGTCAACATGTAGAACAAAACAAATTGCTCAGCCACAACGCTGCAAGATGGGTGAAAATGTGTGAAAAGAAAGGCACATGATAAATACACTCAAGAGGTATTTCAAGACGATGAAATAAAAAAAAATAAAATAAAATACAATGACCTCCTTCAAATGTAGAGCAGGGGACGAGCTGACTATAGCAAGGTGGGGGTGGCGTGCTTGCCATACTTGTGTGCATGTGCACCAAGTACGCTTATCCGTTTTATTTTCGAACATGTGCGGAACTATTATAACACAACTTATCAACAGAACGCAATAAATAATGATTAACAAGGCAGGCTGCGTCGTGATAGCTGTGAGAAAGGGGGGTACAATTTCAAACAATGATCGATATAAAAACACAATTGTGAAGACCTTAATCGAAAAGGTTACCAAAATTAAGGCGAAAAATAAATTCTTTAACTGCAACGGATATTACGATTTTTTATTTCGTAACTACGCTCTGCATATTTGTTTGGACGACTCCTTTAAGCTGCTTTATTTGCAAAATAAAGACGGCTACTTTAGCAAAAAATTAATGGCACACATATGCTACATAATCAGCAATGCGTCCATTTACAGCTTACTAAAATTTGACAAGGAATACATAATAAATCACCTGTCCGAGTGTAACATTTATAAGTACAAATGCGTTTTTCAAAATGAGTACTATCATTTTGTGCATAATCTTCTCCTTCTATGCTGTCTACAGTTATGCGTGCCGTCCACATTGGAAAAGCTCGATCAAGAAAAGCAACAAAAAATAAGGTTAAAAAATTTGCACAAATTTTGTGATGCCATGAATTATGTAACACCACAAGGTTGGGAAAGTGAAAGGGAAAAGAACACACCATGTGATGTGCAAATTTTTTCTAAGGTGTACAAATGCTTCTGTGCCAATCATATAAGTCCGTTCCCGTTTGTGAACAAAATTATGTACCTACATTTGTGCGCAAATAATTTGCACTCACATTTGGACAGCCTTACCCTGAGTTTTCTACATGGAGAAGCCTCTGAGCGGCCCCCCACCAGCTTACACTCACAACGCGATAAAAATGAAAACCCGTTACCAATATGCCAAATTAGCAAGATACTGTTTTACCTGTCCAAGAGTGACCTGAATTTTTACTATGAATGTTTTATAAATAGGTACTTTTACGTTATACACACGTATCTGTTTCGCTTGACTGACGCACCAGTAGAGGATTCACCCCGGACGCATGTCAATATTAAGAGTGACATATCTCACAGTGAAGAACAAATTATAGATAGGCTATTAGTCAGCCTAGTGAACTTTTTATCCTCTTCGTATATAATGAGCACTGTGGACGGGAAATTTTCTACCATCCTTCTATGCAATTACATCACGTTAGTTCTATTCAAAAGGCTATATGAGCAGCATTTTGCCCATTTTAACTGGGCCAATTACGATGCACCCAAGAAGGAACATGTAAAAGAGCGTGGCTTTATTTTGCTAACGCAGAGGAGTAAGTCTCACTTGCTCAATGTATCATTCGCGAAAAAGTGCTACCTACTCATGTATATTATGAACAACCTTGTGCAGAAATTGCCTGAACGCGTCATACAAAAGTGGAATAAATGGAGCGGTGAAACGAACATGAGGACAAAAATATGTAACACCAATGATTCACTTCAAAACTGCATGGGGGTAATAATGCCTAAGCGTATCCCCAGCCGCTACAATAATGCAACAGATTGTCCACGCAGAGGAGGGCTCCCCCCAAATATAGACAAATGTAAACAAAGAAGTGTAAACAGATTGGAAGAACTATTTCCAAACAGCAACTTTAATTTTCTCAAATTTGTGAATCTCCCCTTTTTGAAAGTGCTGCATTTTTACTTGTTACTTCACGAGCAAGGTAACAAAAATAACGCAAATGGGAACTGCAAAAAATCTGTGCTAGAGAGGGAAATTTTTTTCTTTTTACAACAATACGTAGGAAGACGTTTCCCCCAATGGGAATGCACAAGTGGTGAAAGTTCCCCCATGCCATTTTTTACCATCGATATAGAAATACAGAAAAGGCAGCAGCGAGGATGACATTCAGACGGGTGAACTTAGTGGATATCTTCACTTTTTATTCTCTGTTAGTATATTTTTTTCTGAGTTTGCTTTTGAAACAATTGTCATTTGCTTCCCACATTAGGGTACTCTGAGGAAGGTCTTCCCTTACCCAGTTGTATTTTGTGGGACAAGGAACATGGCTGTATGGACAGCGTGCCTTTTTTTTTTTTTTTTTTGTTTCTGTAACTCCATTAGCTGCGCATACGCATGTACTCATATACGAAGGAACCATGTTTGCGTTTTTCCACTGCATTTACTTTTTGACTCATGTTTCCGTCATCTCAAGAACAGACGGAACACACCTCCACGTTCATTTGCTATTTAAAATGGACCCCATTTTGTTGTCCCCCTTTTGTCGTCTGACTGGATAAATAAGACAAAGTATAAAATATATATATATATTTTTTTCTTCTACATTATGCGTGAAATTTTGCCAATATGTAGCATATCAGCGTCCACTTTGTGGAGAGAAAATTGTGAACTCTCGGATGTTTTGTTTTGTACTACCCATAGGAATTTAAGTGCATGTCAGCAATGGTGCAAAAAAAAAAAAAAAAAAAAAAAAAAACTACACATGTGTATGTGCTGCGATTCCGCGGAGAATAAGCTTACGCCGTGTAAATGCACGCACATGACTGCGCCGGGCGAGCAATAAAATTATTCCTACATTGCTAAAGTTCGCTAAGTCGATTTAAACACCGTGATGTTTTTTTTTTTTTTTTTTTTTTTTTGCGCGTGGAGAAGGCAGCACGCACTTTCTATACATGTACGAGGGAAATTGGCTGACTTGCCTTTTCGCAACGTTAATTTGGTGTAGGATATAGTGCAGGGGTGAGTAGTCCACTCCGTGTAATCGCACAGCTAACTTGTTTTGGAGTCCATCATTAGTGCTTGGTAGGCCCATCTGGCATTTCTACCTGGGAAGCCACAACTTCTTTTCCATTTCGGAAGCATCTTTGGAGGCACCGCTCGTAGCTACTACTCCCTCTCGATTCGCAAAAAATGAGCGAACATATTTTCCCCCAAATGGGGGACCCCCAGAACGGGGTACCAGCGGTGGGAAGCATCGCAGTGGAGACTGCGGACGCTGACGCTGCTTCTATGGACTCCAACAATGTGCGACCCCACACAGTAATGAGCTTTAACATGGAAATAAAAAACAGCATCAAGTACGCCGGAATCTGCGTCTATAATATGAATACCAATGAGTTCTCCCTATGTGAATACATAGAAAATGAACACTTCACCATTTTAGAATCTCTGCTGATACAGTGCACACCGGCCTGCTTCCTGTATCTTTCATGTAACGACAAACTGGACGACAAAAGGATAAAACTAATTCTAACCATGTGTGAAATAAAACATCGCGAGTTAGGAAAGACTGATTTTTACAACACTTGCTCGATGGAAAATGATTTGAGTAAGTTATTAAAACCAACAGAAGACGTGAAGAATTGCATCTCCTTCTTCAAGTTACAATTGGCTTGCCGCTCATTCACCAGTATCGTCAAATATATGAACCTCCTGAATGATTACAGTGCAACGAATAAGTGCCTGCTAACACACTACAACATAAATCGGTACCTAAAACTCGACATGGCAGCCACCATGGCGCTGAATGTTCATGAGGAACATATGATGGCAGACAAGAAGACGAGTTGCAGGAGGGGAAACAACCCCACCCTCTTTACCTTTTTAAACAAATGCAAAACAAAAATTGGGGAACGGAAACTTCTGCAGTGGGTTATGCACCCAATAAGGGACGAAGTCAAAATTAACGAGAGATTAAATATGGTTAGCATATTAAAAGAAGATGGGGTCATGAGGTCCATGATACAGTCGGATTACCTTCGAAAGATTAGTGACCTTGATGTTATAATTAAAAAGTTAAAAATTGTTAACGGTAGTGTGGTAGGGATGAAGGAAGAGGGAGGTGCTCGTAGAATGGACGGTAGCCGAATGGAGGGCAGCAGAATGGGGGCGGGAAAAATGAAGGCTGGAAAAAATATGTGCACTATAGAAGACTTGGTAAAAATGTACGACTCGGTCGTGGTTTCAAAACGGATCTACTACTGCCTAAATGAATATCAAGGAAAATACAGAAACACGTTGGAGAAAAACTTCCTAACGCCACTCAAGGAGGTTCTCACGAGCCTGGACTCCTTCGTGAAGCTAATCGAATTGACCGTAGACTTTGAAGAATTGTGTAACAACAACTTTTTAATATCTCGTAAATTTGACGAGCAGCTGGAAAGGTTAGCTAGGGAAAAGGATGAAACGCTAAAAATAATAAAAGAACACAGACAGGAGGTGGAAGACGACATTAGTCATCTCAAAGGAGTCAGCAAAAAGAACACCGCGAAAGAAGATATCAAGTTAGTGGACTGCAATATTAACACATTCCTATTTAGAGCTGTTAAAAAGGACACGTCCTTAATTCAGCAAAGAAAAAAAACCTACTTCCAAGTAAGGATGAATAAAAGTGAAATACTTTTTACTACGAATAAGTTAAAGGAGCTGTGCAAAAGGTATGAATACATATTACAAGATTATAACAATTCGCAGGAACAGCTAGCTCGTAAGGCCATCCAAGTAGCTTCATCCTACTGGGAGCCCACCACAAAATTGGCAAAACTCATTGCACAGATTGACGTACTGAGCTCATTCGCCTTCATCAGTGCATCTAGTTTATCGGTTTATGTTAGACCTATTGTGGAGACTAATGGGCAGGTGTTACAACTCATAGAATCAAGGCACCCCTTAGTGGAGTCCAATTTTTTATTAATGAATAATTTCATCCCAAATGACGTACACATGAATAGGAAGGATAAACGATTAAATATTATTACGGGCCCAAATATGGGGGGCAAAAGTACCTACATAAGGCAAATAGCTCTGATATGCTTAATGGCGCAAATTGGGTGCTTTGTCCCTTGCACGTATGCTAAGATGCCCATTTTTTCTCAAATTATGTGTCGAGTGGGTTCCTCCGATATTCAACTTAAAGGCATATCGACTTTCTTTTCAGAGATGATAGAAATTTCAGCCATTATAAAAAATGCAGATGAAAATACCCTTGTCATTATAGACGAATTGGGAAGAGGTACCTCCACTTATGAAGGATTTGGAATCAGCTGGGCAGTAGCTCAATACATTCTGAACAAAATAAAATGTTTCTGTTTATTTGCTACTCACTTTCATGAAATGTCTAACTTGGAAGATGAATACCAAGGGGCTACTAACAACCATGTGGGGGCCAAAATTGATTCAGAAAAAAAAAAAATTTCCTTCCTCTACGAAATTAAGAAAGGATATGCTGATAAGAGCTACGGAGTACATGTGGCTCAGATAGCCAAACTACCACAGAACGTTATCGACAAGGCCTTTGAAAAGTCCAAGGAGTTAGAGTCTGTTGAAAATAGGCACTACTTTAGAACCAAAATGACTGGAACTAATCAGGACGATGTGCAAAAGACAGACTCGCAAAATAAAACACACGATTTGTTGAGCACGATTTTCTGCGCAACAGACGAGGAGCGGTTCATTTCGCAAGTCGGGCAGAATACCACTGCGCTGAAGGAGGTACTTCACGAGATGTAGCGCCTGGGAAAGTGAAGTCAACAAAAGGTTAAGCAGCTAAAAGTGTGGCGCGCTTCTTCAACATGAGCACAAGACAACTGCTTTTGATTAACATGCCAAATGTGGGTGGCGCAAATGAGGAGAAGGTCCTTTTTCGCTGCTTCTCTGTTTGGCCTTGCTCCAGCAGGGGAGATACCAAATGGAAACAAAAGGTGAAACAAAATCAACGAGGGACAAAAAGAAGGGTCTTCCCACCTTTTGCATGCACTTTTTTTTTAAGGAGCATCGAAAATGGCCACGCAGGAGGTATACACCATTTTCGCGCAGTACTTTTGCCGAGTATTCTATTTGCCTCTTTTTTTTTTTTTTTGGCCAACTTAAACTTTGAAATGATCGATATGCCGATCCGCTTCAGGATCGCCTCTTGGGTTGAAAAAATACAAAAAAAAAGGAAAAAAAAAAATCAATTGAAAATGCTGAACGCATTGTATTATTGCGGAGTCAGCCGATTTGGATTATCCGAAGGTGGCACAAGCATGAACCCAATGTTAGTAAGGGGCATTACGATAAGAACTAAATGATTACACATACGTTAGTTACCATTTCGCGTATAAATACTTTTGCTTATGAAGGGCATGCCCATAAATGCATACATATGCCTGCATAGCTTAGTTGGTAGAGCATCCGCCTAGTAAGCGGAAGGTCATCGGTTCGAATCCGGTTGTAGGCTCTTTTTATATGAAAAAAAGGAAATAAAAAACAGAGTAAATTGGACAATTTTAAAAAAGGAAGTATTTTTATTTTTTTTTATTTTTTTGTGCTTATTAAAAAAAAGCCAAAGCGGGATTTTATATATTATTGTACGGAAAAGGTTATTTGTTAATAATTGCAGGCACTGTGGTGCCTCCGAGTTATTTTCTGCACAATTGAGGTCGCCAATATATTACGTGCTTCTCTTCCGTGGGGAGAGCGAAAAATGGATAAAACTTTTTAAAGCTGTACTTTGTATGAACAAAACAAAAAAAAAGGCTTAAAAAAGATGGTAATAAAATAATGCCGAGTATTCTAATATATAAAATAAGTAATAATATATGTGAACATATATATTTATACGCAATTTTGTTGTTCTTTCTTTTTTTTAATTTTCTTGGAAAAAATTTGTCCAAAGCAGGATTCGAACCTGCGTTGCCACATCCACAGTGTGGAGTCCTAACCACTAGACGATTTGGACATTCTATTGGCATTCGCACCTCTTAACTTATGTTCACATTAAGCAGCAGTAAGAAAAAAAAACAAAAAAAGCACAAAATAAAATTTTAATACCGTTTTAATCATTTTTTTTTTTTTTTTTGACCACTTTATCCTCTTTATAACTCCCCCTTTTTTTCACTTCCGTGAGTCAAATAATTTGAAATTATAGTTCCAATTGTTTGTATACCCTCCCCCCCGCGGATGCTTAAAAAAGAAATTTTTTTTTTTTGTCGCCCAAAATAGGTTCAGCACAGTTGATACTGCATGAACCCAATTCATCAGCATTTTCCGTACATGGTAAAATTGGAGCAACACAATTTACAATAACTGTGCTAACCGTCGCGTTACATAACATACTGTGCCGTAAGCATGTACTCATTATTGGCATCATGGACACGCTTCTTTATGCGACGCTTTTAGCGGTTTTAGCGCGCTTGTTCACCTTTCATTACTGGTGCATCGGGGACAGGAAAAACACTTCCTCTGTGAGACAGCTGCACGAACATCCTTCCCTTGTGATAGAAAAAAATGAGTATATAAAAAGGGCGGAAAAAAGGTTAGCATAAATGGGTATAGCCCCTTATTCCCGCACCGCTATAATTATTTCCGCGGGCACATGGGCAAAGCGGGAAAATATGCAAGGGGGTATCCCCAATCATCGTATTACTTGGCACGGAGAAAAAAAAAAAAATAAGGCACCGGAACAGTCGTCACATATTACGCTACATATATATGTACATGGAAATACATAACGCCTAACTTGGGAATTTTTTTGTTTTTTCTTGAAGCTAACGCTCCTGTCGTAACCTTCGTATAACGACTATTTATTAATGCTACCTTAGCTCAGTCGGTAGAGCGCCAGACTCTTAATCTGGTGGTCAGGGGTTCGAGCCCCCTAGGTAGCTAGCACAAAAACGAAAAAATGTTTACGAGAAAAAAAGTTTTGAAATTTTCCATATAAAAAGAAGACTTTTAGTTTTTTTATTTTAAATAATAAAAATAATATTATATTATTATATAATGTTGTAAAAATGATTATAATTGGTATATGTGATGCTAATATATATATTTTTGGAAATAATTTATTGTATGCATAGCATACGGCTGTTAAACCATGAAAAGGAGCACAAATTGTAGCGATTTCTTCTTTTCCTACAAGAGGCAAAAGAAAGGACAACCAGCTACTTAGTAGTTCACGCCCACGGTACAAAATTTGTTGCTGCATTTTGGAGGGGGCACCATAATTTGGCCAAACCGACAGGAATGCCTCTTAACACATGTGAAGGCTAAATAAATTTGGACTCATCCTAATAAAAAATAAAACAAATGACGAAAACGCGACAAATATAGTGTGGATTTCTTGTTGCTCAGGGGAGCAACATGAGCCGCATTCGAGCGTATTTCCACCATTAAAATAAGAATATAACTCTCATCAATCTTTCCATTCCTGCGTGCAAGGTGTTCCGCGTGTGGCGAAAATGTGTCCTATAGTGTTATGCTGTGCTATATAATGGTATGCGCTACACAAATGCATATGCATGAATTCATCAAACGCACCACACGGGAAGAAACAAGAATGCACAATTATTCCACTTCAATAGTTTCGTGCGCGAAAATGTCAGTTCCCTGGCATAAAATAGTATCTAAAAATATATTTTTTTTATTATTTGAAAAAAAAAATAAAAGTTAAAAAAAATATTTCATTTTTAAATTATCAAATTTGTTGGTAGCCTCCTAGGGGACTCGAACCCCTGACCACCAGATTAAAAGTCTGGCGCTCTACCAACTGAGCTAAAGAGGCATCTATTTAGATACCCTTACGTGAACATTATAATATTTTGCTCTTACGCGCATGAACATAATTTTCCCTTCCCCATTTCATAATGTACATCGACATAACAATTTCTCCGTTTCGCTTTTGCAAAAAAAAAAAAAAAAAAAAAAAAAAAAAAAAAAATCTAGCCAAACGAAAAAAACAAAAAATACCCCCAAAGTGCGTAAAATGTATAGCTCTTCCTAATGGAGAAGTTAAAGCAAAATGCGTTAATTTCGTTTTACCCCTCCATGAACCTTCTTGACACATTTCACTTTGACTAAAAAAAAAAGCGGAAAATGCGAAACTTGTTCGCGTCATTCGAAAAGAGTATTTTTTCTGGCCAATCGAACAGTTTTGCAACTCACCCTTTTTTTGTAATTATTGAACAGTTCATACGTCGAATCGTACATCAAAACGAAGTTTGCAAAAAGGTAATCACATTTTTGTCATGCCACGTTAAACGAATTCATGCTTTTTACGTGTTGTATGTCCATATGTTTTTTCTTTTGTTTTTGTGCCAGTTTTAAGAAGGCGGCGCGATGGACTCGTTCAAAAGACGGTGAAAAAAAAAAAATATATGCACAGCTTAACAAACAAAAAAAAAAAAAAAAACTATCAAGGAAGACAGAAAAACAAAATGGGGCCACATGGCCGATTTGGTTTACGTTGCAGAAACTGAGCAGCTGTTCCCTAACCCGCACATTAAAAAAAAAAAAAAAAATCACCACATTATTTAGTGGAATGTATCACACATGATCGAACTCGAAGCTTCATTCTGTGGGGGGATTAAATACCACAAGACGCAATTCTCTCGCGGAAAACTTTGCAATTATAAAATAATACCCCCCACGTGTGTGCACGTTCATCATGTCAAAGCGGCCTCTTCACTGCCCCCTAAATTCGGATGGACCGTTTTGCTCATTTGGCTGTCCCTGGGGCCCTTCATAGTTAGGTCCTTGGTCACCCACATGAACGTTAAGTTCGGCGTTTGATCCGATTGCGTTTTGTCTAGTAGATTCCGCATACATGTGGGGGTACACATTCGGGTTGGTTTGGAAATACAGTTGGTTGTACATTTGCGGCGGAGCCTGTTCGTATAACTGTCCGTACTGCTGTTCATATTGCCGACCGGGAAAAGGCTGCACTTCAGTATAGATCCGCTGACTCGATTTTCCCGTGGCCTGCAAGTTGGGGTCGCCGTACATACCCGCCTGCTGCATTGATTCGGCGGAGGGGTAGCCGTATGTGCTGACCTGATGTGCATGCTGCTGTGGGTAGCTGTTTGAGCCGCCCTGATCCATTTGTTGGTTGGAGTAACTATACGTGCTGGCCTGCTGCTGCGGCTTGCCGTACGCGCTGCCCTCGTAAGGAGTGTTCTGGTACCCCTGTGGGGGCATGTTCTGCTGGGCATGGTTATACACATTCGCATAAGAACCCCCGCTGTGCAATCCCCACACTTGGCCATTCGCCACTTCGTACCCACCCCTGCTTAGCTGATCATTCGGCTGCGCAATGGCGTCTACGCTTGCCTTCACCTCGGCATTCATATGGTCATGAGCCCCCACCTCATTCACTTCACTGGTTGGCTGAGGAGGGTCTCCCCCTTGGTTTGCACCCATCCTGGGGTTTTTAAAAACGTTTACATCCTCCACGTTCTGCATGTACTTGCGACAATCAGCCACATTTTCATAAAGGAAAATTAACAAGTCGGTAAGTTTTTCGAATTGCATTTGTAACTCTTTTTTTTCACTGCCTATCCTTTCGTAATCACGTAACACACGGATGTGTTCTTTTTTCAGATCGTCCATGTCGTTGGAGGCGACGACTTCATATTCCTTCTCCTTCAACCCTAAGTCGATTCTGACCTTGACCAGGTCTGATTCTACCTGCTCGTATTTCTCCTGCATCATTGAGTAGGTATACAACATGTTATTTATGATGTCATTTTTTTTTTCAATAATTTTATTTAAGTAAATTTTTTCCTCCAGATGTGTAGCTTCTTGTTCGTTTAGCTTTTTTCTGAGTTGGGTAATTTCCTCACTCATGTTTGTCACCCCCCCTGCCTTGGTCTTCTTCATCGCCTTGTTCTTGAGATAACTTTGTTCCTTTTGTGCCCCTCCTTTGCTGCTAAAAAGGGGTGCTTTGTTTCTTGTGTGCCCTTCGCGGGTAGTTTCCTCTCCGCTTGAATGAGTATTGTGGTGGTCCTCATAAGGTGAGTAATCTTCAAATCTCTTCCTGTTATAAGGATCATCATGACGGTCATCCTCGCTGCAGTCCTCCAATTCGATTCCTTCGCCGTCAAGCTCAGCTTGGGAAGATTCCCCATCGTCCGATTCACTCAACATACATTGGGCATCCCCCCCGGAGTGACTCCTCTTCACAGAGTACCCATTTCTGTTCTTACCTGGAGGGTCCTTTCGATATGCACTACCCTTGGATTGCTCAAAGAAGTAGGTCAACATGGAGTGGTGAATAAAATTCGAATAAATAAAATGAATGCAGAAAATTGCTATCTCCCTTGAGTAATTGAAAAAATACTTCTGCCTCCTCACATCACAAATGCTTCTTATATTTTCATGTGGATCTTTCGATTTTTCAAAAGAGACAAAAAAAAAATATTTTTCATCAAATTGGAATTTGCAAAAATGATTTAAACAATTATACATGATGTTAAAGAGATCATTCTGCATAAGAATTTTTACAATTTTTTTTTTTTCCTTTTCTTCTTTCGATTTGAATAGGTAGACAGCTATATACACGCAGATCAGACAGCTGTTCTTTTTGCTTCCCCATTTATTACTTAACATGGGTAGTAAGAATTTAAGCGAGTCCATTTTCCCCTGTACATTTCTTCTGTATAAAATTGAATTTATCCTAAACGTTAAAACGCTTTCACTGAAGCGTTCATTCGCTTTCTGCATATGATGCTTCCACATGCCATTGTAATGTTGTGTAAACAGTTCATTGTAGTACATCATCTGTTCAAAGCTTATTTGTGCACTCTGTAAAAATTCTTCAGCAGGGGATAACCTTTCATGACAGTTATTTGTGCTCGCCAGGTTACAAACCCTAAGTAGCAAATCGGAAAAATTCATATATTTTAAAAAAAATGTTTCCTGTTGAGGAATTCCATTTTCTCCTGAAATTACCAACTCGTCGCTATTTTTAACGTCTGATCTGTTTTCCAATTTCTTCCCCCTCTGAAAGGCCTTCTTCATTTTGAAAAGCAGCTTCGATACTCGGCGCGCAATGTGCAGGACGCAATAGTTGAAGACAGTCTTCCGAGAGAAGAGAGACTCCATTAGGTACTTGCCCACTTGTGCGTGTTGCCCCCCCAAGGATAAAAAAAACTCATAAATGGTGTTGGAAAAAACCTTCTTCCGATCATACAAAAACATAATCAGCAGAAGGTCTGCATATTTAATTTGCTTCAAATGTTTCATGTAATACGTTATCACGTGTTCTAGGTGGAAGTAATTCTTCTGCTTCAGTGAGCTCTCCACGTAAGAGTGCACCTCGTCGTGTATATGCGTTGACTTGGATGACTCCTCTCCACTGGTACGAGCAAACGGGGTGAAAAGAACCTTTACACAGAGGCTCTCATCCTGGAGAAGAAATTTGCAACACATGTTGAGAATACCAACAAAGTTGGTATTCTTGAAGATTCGCATAATTTGCGCGCTTTCGCTGTACACACTGCTACCGGGGTGAAGACCTCCTGCTTGTCCACTCCCTGTCTGATTGCTCCCTGCGAAATTCCTTCCAACACTAGCACCCAAAGGGTTGCTTCCAAGCTGTCCTCCGCCACTGTCGCTATTAGGGAAGACGCTGCTCGCGCCGCCGCTTACGGTGCCACCCACACTGCCACTACTGCTACTTCCTGGTATGGGCGCATTACCTACTCGACTGAACTCCACACCCATATGGGCCTCACTACCAACTTCATTATATGAGCTATTTTCATGCCGATGTTGGCCAAGCTGATCTGCTCGCCTACCGCCATGCGCATATTTCTCCATATAAATACACATAAATTTAAAAAAAAAAAAAAAAGAACTTTCGAAAAATTTCTCCTTTTGCAAAATGAGCAAAAACTTTTGACATGACAAACCTGTGTAGCAGCTATTCACTCCATCCACTTTACATGAGCTAGCCAAAACATCTAGAAATATATTCAGAACAAAAATAGAATTTGAAAAATATTCTTTCATATCATTTTTACAAATGTATATAATAACATTATACATGTTAAGTACCAGCCTGATGAACTGCTCGAATATGTTCAATTCATAAATGTACTTGAGGCCAAATTCGCTGCTGATTATAAGACATTTCAAAAGGAGCAAGCTGCTCCTCAGGTCTATGTTTATGCATATATTGTCTAGGTATATTTCCATTTCATTATGTTCGTTCGGAGCTTTCTCCCCCTGTAGGCCTATCATTTCGTTTGAGCTAATATCCACTACCCCCACTTGGGTGTGATCCATTTCTTGCCTTTTTGCAGTCCCTTTGTTGGAGGCCGCGTGGGGAGAAATTTTTGTTTTCTTCTTCAGAACAACCACGTTGCTGTCTTCATATAAAAAGTACAACTCACTACTTGGTTTAAACAAGTAGGCATGCTCATCCTGAATTATTCTCATCACGGTTTCAATAAATCTGTCATACGTTATGATGTTTCTAACCTCCGAGCTGTACTCAGACACAAGCAGGAGAAGTAGAATCACTTCATTTATAAGATACGCGTCCTCATTAGAGTCTATTATTGCCAGCAATTTGGAAAGGAAATTATTTTTGCTGAGTATTAGCTTATCGATTGTGCTTCTCACATTTTGAATCTTTCCTTCTCGGTGCATTATTAAGTTTATATTTTCTTCACAAAATGGAATTTTTTTTTTTTTTTTTTTTTCCCTTCTTCCTCTATCTCTTTATTCACTGTTATCAAGTCATTCGAAATGTCTGAGCTGAAATATGAACAGCTGTCATCATGTCGATTATCATCATCACTGCTCGTGTGAGAGGGTAAATTTCCATTTGAAACGTCTTCCTTTGTACCTTTTTCATTACTGTTGTTGTGGTTCCCTTGGTTGGTGACCTCGTGAAGTGCTGAACTGGAAGATGATGGGAGTCGACTGCCTTGTCCGTGTAGTGCATTATCACTTGTGCTTTGTTCATCAGAGGATACTGAGTAAGCAGTGCACGAATCGTACTGCCCCAGGAATTCTCCCCACCTCTGTGCATGGTGTAACTTTTTTAAAAGTCTTTTTATCTCGGCGTCTTGTTCATGGGAAAATAATGTAGACCCGAATTGTTTACCACTCTTGATGGAGCAAAATTCGTCCTTGTCGTTAATGTAATAATGTTCATTTTTGTTTTTATATGATAGCTTGCCTTCGGAGCAGTTAAAGGGGTAACTAATCAAATGAGGATAGAAAAACTTTTTTTTTGTTAAATTTTGAATGACGCGTCTGTACTGTTCATAAATACTTTGAGCAACTTTCTGCTGCCCCTGCAAATGCACACCCTTGTTATTCGAATGTGCATCGTGGAACAAAATTTGGAAGCACCTCAATCCATACAAATTGTAGTAGTAGGGGGAGGAAACATCATTCGAAAAGACAATATTATGATGCACGTAAAAATAAAAATTGACATTGTCATATATATAAAGCTTTTGCAAAAGGAGAACCAACTCGTAGGTGATAAATTTTGAGCTTTCCAATTGGACGTGAATTATTCTGAAGAGCAACTGGCCTTGGTTCGTGTCCTCAAAAAATACGTTCAGGTAATTTATGTACCTTTTCAATTTGTTACAATTAATTTTTACACTTTTTTTTTGAAACATTTCTTTGTCCAGGCAGATAATTTTGTTTAGGTATTCTGCGCTGTTCAGGATGATTTCTTCTAATAAACTCCACACCCCATTTTGCTCCATCAAATCGGCTTTGCGCCTTCGGGCCTCTGGCCCATGGGGGCCGTCCCCTGTCTCTAATGCGCCACTGGTATTAGCGTTTGTGTTTTCGTTTGAACCCGCTGTTGCGACAGTTGGGGTAGCAGCACGCTCGCTTTTCAACTTCTCAAACACACTAATGACGCCCATGAGTTTGCAAAAGTTCTTAATGCGCGACGTAGCCAGGTGCTCGTCCTCCAAGTCCACGTCATTTATTTTGTCGCTCTGCTCCTTCTGTTCATTCGTGCCGCTCTTCCCACTTATTATTTCCCCCTTTGAGTTCCTCCCGCTTTTGGCATTCTCGGTGTATTTCACAACTTGATTAATGACGGACAGGTAGTCACTCAAGGAGATGGCGTCATCAGGTCTTTCGTTGTTGTTATCCTCGACGATGTCCTTATTCAGCACGTCGTGAATATCCTTCAACCACCTCTGTATGTCCTGCGTCCTATTTTCATTTTTCGGTTTGCTCTCTTTGGACGCGCTGGCTTTTTGTAGCCTTTTGAATAGGTGGTACGCCATGGAGTGTGTGTATTTTTTTTTTTTTTTTTTTTTTTTTTTTTTTTTTTTTTTTGTGTGGAAATGAGCGAATATCTGTGCACATATTTGGATACCCGCGTGTGTGTATTTTTTTTTTCTTTTCTTTTTTTTGTTGCGCGTTTGTAATTCAATGGATTAACAGGCAAGGTGCCGTTTGCGAGCCATCCGGAAAATTCCACAAATTGGGACAAACATCAGGGGGTGGGTCAATAGCGCAAAACGAACGAAACAATTGTTTCCCCCCCTTACCTTTGCGAAATTCCCTCGTCGATCGACCTCGTTGGGGAGTTCCCGCTTGGCAGTTTCTGTGAAAAGTGCCTTGTTTTAAGCGTTGGCAGTACAGCCATTTGTTCGCGTTTTTCGGCTTTTTTTTTTGGCCTTTTTTTGTCCCTTTTTGTGCCTCGTCAATTGCGCTGGTGCAATGGGGTTGTATCCCTTCTTTTTTAGGCGGGGCACTAAGGGACGCACTGAGCTCGCGCGAAGTCGTGCGGGTGTTGGCCACGCATCAGGGCAAACGCACATGTGACGTTCGTGCGCAGAAAGGAAACACACCATGAAAACCAATTTTAAGAACAATATGAACTAAACGATTTGCACCCATTTCTGCCCCTTACAAATCCAATTGTGACTGTGTTGACAATGACTTCTGTTGAGACTTTCATTGCTTGTTATAAAGCATATACCATGTGTGTTGCCTCGCCCGTTCGGAGCAGTGTAGGTAACACATCTGAGTTGTTACTCTTGTTCTCATGACCATGTGTGCCACACCACTTTCGTTGGGGAATGCTTGTTTTTTTTTTTTTGTTTTTTTTTTTTTGCATTGAAAATAGGAGTGGCAAGTGGATATGCAGGGAGGCCTACTCTTCACACATGGGTAGCGCGATGTGCTTTACGAAGGCAAAGGCACATGTTATGACCATGTGACATGTTCTTTGATTGCGATGGGGGAAGTGAAAACCATGTCCACACAAAGGACAACTAATTGCTTTGGCCCCTTCTCTTTCAAAGATGCATCAAAAGTGAGGAATGAGGAATGAGCACAAAAAAAAAAAAAAAGAACACATAAATGTGCTAATTGGCCTTGTAAGTTTCTCACATAATCTATTAATGGGACATGTTAACTCAAACAGGGGGTTCATTTTTGTTTTTTCCTTTTTCACGGTTCAGTTAGGTGGCTATTCGCATTATTCGTGCTTAACTGCGTACCGGTCTGTACGCCGGTTCGGGCAAGAACCAATGTATGAACATTTGTGACCTGCTTTTGTTTCTGCCCTCAACCAAGGTTAAGACTTGTATTTCTGTGCACATGTGTCAGTGCATACCGTACGCAAGCATTACAGATGTGTACACATGTACATGTATTACCAGGTGCAGGGGCAGGGGGGTATGCATACTGGGTCTGCTACGCATCACATGGCCCAGCCTATTTCAAATGTAGAATTGCTTACCCTTGGGAAGTTAGGCTGATCGGACAACCATGACAACTTTGTGCATTTTACAAAAATTATGTTTAGCGCGTATGAACATGCAACGAAAGGGGTACGACACATCTGCGCCAGGGGCACTTCGCCAAGTATACAAATAGCTTCCTTCAGAGTGCGCTTGCGCATGCACAAATTACACATATGTATGCGTTCATACATGTGCAAATGCCGACTTGCGCGCAACAAGGGCGGGAAATAACCCCAAAAAAAGAAAAAAGAAGGGAAAAAAAGAAAGAAATAGCTCATATAGATATTGTGCTCGCAAGTGCAACCGAAAAGTGGGGCATGTAAACGTCGCTGGATGTTCATATGCGGGTGGATGCGCACGTGTGTACATGCGTCAGATGACAGCTGGGGTGACCGCCCAGACAGACATGTAACATAATGCAGTATTTTTTTTTTTTTTTTCATTTTTCCGTTTTTTCTATTTTGCCAATTGTGGCCCCTTAACACTGTGACCATGCACTAATTGCCCGTCTCGAGTAGGCACTTCAAATGCATCATTTAAAGTGACGCTCATGCGGGCGCTGTTCCGGTA